CCTGAGGTAAGGTCTCATCATAACTAACACAACGAGCCCAAACTCGGTACACTTAGCTCTACTCGTTTATTGATTCCAGTTCCAGTCCAGTTCCAAATATACCTTCAGGTCACTCCATCAAGTCCGAAACGAAATGTAAATTTATAATCCGTAGGTAATTCAAGAAAAAATATAAGAAACTAAGTAAAATCTTACCTTGTTTGTCCGTAGTCTCGCACAAAACACGTAAAGTATCAAGTTTGGTATGCCAAATAGTTTGTTTTCGTACAGCGATCTTTTTCTACATGAGCTGTTGCTTACAAGCGACACAGTGTCCACTCACAACGGCGGCCGAGCGCAGACTAAATTTCATTACAAACCTTTGTGCAACAATAAATCACGACAGTGACCAGTAAAATAACCCTTAGATTCAAGCTTTTAAGATGCACGCGATAAAGCTAAATTCGTTAAAAAACTAAAATCGATTTGATTTTTTTCCTGAGACTATTTGGAACATTTTGGTAGTTCTTTCCGCCACATTTTTGAGTTGATCATGTCTGCTTACATAAAATATTTTTAAATAAATACATTTCTGTTATTAAATAGAAAAAAAATGTTCCTAAACTCAATACGATATCGTCAATTTTGTGTGAAGAGGTACCGGAAATGTTTTTTTACAATATTATAAATCAAAATTTTCTAATAAAAAATTGCGAAAGTTTGAAGATGAAGGAGTAATCTATCTGTGAAAATTATTATTTACATTTAGTTTAGTTTAGTTCTGCCGCAAAATGTACCGAAAAACTGCTTATTTTGGTCAGATTTGTAAACGCGTCCTTAAGACATAAATATTTTATCAAAGTCAAAGAATCGTTTATTCCATAGGTAAAATAAATTTACGCTTGAAAACGTCACTTTTAAACTACTGGAATTAGATCTAATTACCATAGCCATGGATACGGTAACTAGAAAGTTCAAATATTTTTATTATATTTTCTTATTTCAATGTTATTGGGTTATAATAAGCAAGAAAAATCAATGGCCACGGTAATTAGGCTGAGAACACTGAATGTGAGAATGGCCGTCAAACAAAAACAAAACTAGCGACATTTACAATTAAGTTGAACTTCGAGCACACACTGTCTTACCCTCAGATCTGTGTTGATTAATATCTGGGACATTAAGGAAACCCTTTAGTCAGCATAGTCTTTAATCAATTTTATTAGAGTAGTTAAATAGAATATTTATAACAAAAAGATGCCATTCTCTATATACAAAATGGCAACCTTTTAGGAGAGCGGTTTAAAGATTCTACGAACGAAATTGGTCGATAACTTATTTATGCTTAAATTGGAGAGTTATAAAATTTCACACATACGTAATTTGTTTCAAGTAGTTCCCATTATTTGTATGACTCTATGTGTGATAAAAGCACGTACGACGACGTATGATCACATATGGTTTTATTCCAACAAGGCTACAATACTATTCATTCAATAAACAAATAACTGACAAATGCACAATAACGTGTTATTATAATATGTTAAAAACTATCTTGGTAATATGCTTTACAATTGTGTAACAACCAAAATGTAGAACCATAGATTTGCATGCCCATATCGTACCACCGTTTGTGAGCCATATTGTACACAAATAATAACTAAATACGTCGGGATAGTGCAAATCCGCGTATGTAGTATTGGTAAAAAGCGCGTATCTTTTAGTGCAGATACGCGCTTTTTACCAAATTTTATAGGAGACGGATGTAACGTTATTACTTTGATATTTCAATGGCTACGACTTTCATGTCTGCACAGTAAGCATTAATTTGTATTATCTACGGACTGATAACAATAGATTCCGCTAATTTGGATGCCACGACATTTACGCGGATTTGATTTGGCCACTAAATAACCGAAATGGAAACTCATGATCAAATGCTAGTTACGCGTAATTGCACTATCCTCGACGATATCATTAAATTAATTAATTACTACAACCAACTTACATTAGGATCGAACTTGAGATTAGGTGCTGTGAGATAAGCTGCGCGGCCGTCATTCAACGTGATTCCGAACCCACACACTAGCGGCGAATATTCTATGTCGTTCACGTGCGTGTTATCTTCTAGGATCGGTTCCGCTATAAAATAATAAAAAAGATGTAAGAAAATGAATTCGGTCGACGTAAATAAAGCCCACGCACACTGAATATCTCAAGTATTATTAATAATAATAAAGATATCGAAATTTTAGGTTTTTGCAATTACTATACCTTGGCATTGAAAGTAAAATGGCGTATTTTCCAACAAACCAACCTTTCAGTCTCTTTAGGCAAGAAAGGAGGCAATCAGTCATAGTCATATCAGTAACATTGTAGAAAAAAAAATTAAATGTGGGTTATACCATTTTGCACTGACTGTTTCAAATATGGTCACGACTGATTGACTGCTTGAAAAACAAATAAGTATACGCGATCAAAAACAAAATGGTTTCATTTTCAATAATAACAATATTTATTCACTATCATATGAACAAGATTCTATTATCACTAGTTAAAGGTTTCCCATCATAGCATGACTTCTTATTACTTTCCTGATACCTCAGAATGGTTACAAACGTTGGACATTGTGAATATATTCGACTATGGAATCAAAAGAAAGCTCAAGCAGCTGACATTAAAGGAAATAACAGCTGAATTATAGAAATGACAAATTATACTTGTAATAGAACAAAATACTGCCTCAGTGACCGAACGGTTACCACGCCGGACTGCCACGCAAAGGTCCCAGGTTCGATTCCCGGGCCGGGAGAAATATTTGCATAGCTTACATTTATTTCTCTCGTGAGTTTGGGTGTAATTTGTGGTTGTCTATGGGTGTCCATGGCACCCGCAACACAGGGTGTTCCTAGTGCGGGGCTATGTTGAGTGAGTGCGTGCGTTATTATTATTATCATTATTACTTAGAATGCTTTTGTAGATTGCCTGGATATAACACGTAATCCATAATAAAATTATTAAATTACCGTTTTGTAAAACCTTGATATTTCAAGAGCGATCAAAATCAACTTGCGAGGTCTGAATCTGAAATACCAGGTTTAAGTATTTAAAAGTACTGGTATTTCCGATTAACATTCAACAATGCAGAATTTTGTATATGGGCAAAAAAGAAGAGAATACACTCAATTAAGGGACATGGAAAATATCCACGTACGAAAAATTTGTTTCAGAAAAAATATTTTTTATGAATATTTTCTAATTTTTCTGCTATATTTTTTAAATAAAAAATATATATTTTCTTCCATTTAAATGTTTTTGGACAATTACCCTACACTACGCTCAATACATTACTAAAAGACATTGTACAGAAAGTATTATAATATAATACAAAATCAGTTAAAGTTTAAAATCATTAAGTTCAAATTCTCTTTTTGACTATCACATGTCCTTTACAAAATAATACGTAAGAACATAATGCTGTGTAAAATGATGACTGAAGCTACATGTAAACCCGTTGTAGGGGTTGTAAATAAGTTACATTTCAAAAACACCACTGCATAATTTTTTTGTGTTGGAAAATAAATGAAACAATAAATTAACAATAGTTGCAGATTAACGCGTAATTTGCGTTTTCATGTAGTTGCTCCATTACTACTACGGCGCGTATACGCGCACATGACGCGCGTTTACGGTGCGTATACGCGCGTTGTCGACGCATACAAAATACGCCTTGAGCAGGCTCTTAATTACCTTTTGAAACTTGCTGATTAATAGAAAAGGGTATCCGTCCGAGGTCAAGGCAGTAGTCCCGATTCTGAGTCCCATCCCATCTATACCGCAGCAGGTGCGCTCGTGTCGTGCATACAAGAATCTCAGTGCCCGATATGCAGCACATACGAGTTATCTGACCGTCCCATATTAAAATTTCTTTCAACTGAAATTTAAAGAAAAAGACTTACCATCGTGCATCTCAAGTATTTTATTTACACAAATATCAGAAATATTTTACTGAATTGGATACTATATTGTAAAATATATTTTTTAATATAAGTAAAATATTCATATAGCGATCGATAGTTCTAAGTGCGAAAGAAAATACTTATTATAAAACAATTAAAACAAGTGTTCAATATTTTTTCATAAGTAATTTGCATCACGGAAAATTTAGTTCTGGCATAATAGAACCTTATAAGTCTTCCAACCCTGACATTGGCAAATCGTCGCGTAAAACGACGGAGCCACATCCACACAAAATTGACTTGAATTAGAACTGTATCAACCCGTACACCCGACCCACAATTGGAGCGCAAGTTTCCCAGGGTAAGCTGACCTACTCAGCAAGTTTGCAACATTAAAGTTTTATGAATTTTCTTGAGCATAAACTTGCTTGGATGTGATTGTTATCACAATTAAATCAACCAATATTAGTAAACTAAACGGTCCGGTATAGTGTAATAAGCCGTATTCCATAACTCTATGCAGCAGCACCTACTTTGCATGTAATAGTAAAGTGGATTAAAAAGACTTGTGATTAAAAAAGTACTAGTGTCCACGAGTTCAAATTCTCTAAGTAGGACGCATTCTTTCAAAACTGCTGAATTTTTGCAAAAAAAAAATCTAAAAATAAGAATCATATGTTATATTTTTCATTTACCAAAGTGATGTGTAGTGATGGTATGATTTCTTTCACAAATAACTCTGCTGAATCCCGGCGCAGACTAGCCGTTGGAGGGTCATATTGCTGATAAGCTGTCTGCTCACTCGCTGCTTCCACATTGTATAGAATCAGGTGGCCTTCTGATGTCTGCAAAATGTCCAACAATCACTAGTACAAAAACAATCTGCGCATTGAGGATTCATACAAATGAAAATAACTCAACATTTAATTAAAAAATTACATCACTACATCAATAAATTTATAGCACATTTACACATATTTTCAATCAAATTTCAATTGAATTTTAATCAAAAATTATTTCTGAATGTGCTAACCTTTGCTTTTTCAATAATCACACCATTATGTGATTTTATTTTATATTAGAAAACAAGGTTGGCACGATTAAATCATGATTTAAATCGTGCTTTAAATGAAATTATTTTTTCAATAAAATCAGTGATTTAACACACAATATTCAAATTTTTGTTTTTATTGAATTGATATTCAATAATTTTTTTGTGAAATTACTCCACTAGTTTGTTGTAATTATTAATACAAAGATCGAACTCTCAGAAAAAATTCAGTATTCATAATTATAACAAACTAGTGGAGTAATTTCACATAAAAATAATTGACTATCAATTCAATAAAAAAAAAATTAAAAGCAATGAATAGCGACATCTCTAGCCGGGGCTGGTAGCTGTAAAGGTATCTAACTGGGTGACGAAATATCATAGATTTCTCATAGGTGGGCACTACGGCTAAAAAGTCGTTGAAAAACCAAATACAAGGGTATGATACAAGCACATAGAAAAATTCGTGAGGTCCGCTGGTTCGTTCCATGGCTTAGTTGGTATAGCATCTGCCACGGTATGCTAGAAGACGTAGGTTCGAATCCGGCCGGATCGAAGGAATTATTTCTGAGTGTTCGATCGTTATATTAATAATTATAACAAACTAGTGGAGTAATTTCACATAAAAATAATTGTATATCAATTCAATAAAAAAAATAATGAAATACTATGAATAGCGACATCTCTAGCCGGAGCTGGTAGTTGTAAAGGTATCTAACTGGGTGACGAAACATCATAGATTTCTCATAGATGGCGCTAAGGCTAAAAAGTCGTTGAAAAACCAAGTACAAAGATACGACGCAAGTACATAGAAAAATTTGTAGGGTCCGCTAGTTCGTTCTGTGGCTAAGTTGGTATAGCGTCTGGCGCGGTATGCTAGAAGACGTCAGTTCGAATCCGGTCGGGTCGAAGAAGTTTTTTCTGAGTGTTCGATCTTTGTATTAATAATCATAACAAATGTGTTTAATTTTTTTTTTTTTTCACATAAATCAACATAAAATCAGACAAATATATTTTAAAGACTAGGGTCTTTTACATCTGAAAAATCAATATCATTATTATTAGAGATGCGCCGAGTACAATTTTTATCTAGTAACCGAGTACCGAATATTACTCGGTTTAATATTTGCCGACCCGAGTACTCGGCCGAATTATTCGGTTCATTACAACTGCAATGCGATGATCCTAGAAGTCCCATTGCTCCAGAATGAGACCGATATGTTAATGAAAGTTTATTGCCGCGAGAGCAGAGTCCATTCCAATGGTGGGCAGGGCATAAAACAAGATATCCAAAACTGATACAGTTAGCACAAGTGTTTTTATGTGCACCTGCAAACACTGTGTATAGCGAGCGGTTATTTTCCGAAGTGGTTAATGTGTATGAAGAAAAAAAGAACAGATTATTACCTGAATGCGCAGAAAGTCTTGTATTCCTACATCATAACTTGCCTTTGTTAAATTTTAAATATTAATAATGTAAACTTTCTTTTTAAATTACTAAATTGTTACAATTGTCTTGAATTTGTAGTAATAAATCTCTTTTGATCATTTTAATTATATTGTTGGTTTTACTTTATTATGTCTATAGCTGTAATGCTTTATTTTAATCAAGTACTCTTCTCATGAACCGAGATATTTGCCCGAGTACGAGTAGTAAAAAAAGTAGTAGATGAGTACTCGGCGCAACTCTAATTATTATATATTTAAACGAAAAACTAGCTTGCCGCGGTTAATTAACCTTTTTCATTACTATGTTTTACGCAAAAATATAGTTAAACAGTTTGATAAAATGATTAAATTAAAAAAATCGTGATTAATTAGGATGTAAAAAAAATCGTGCTTTATTAGATTTTTCAAAAAAAATCATGCTTTTTCCAACCCTGTTACAAAATCCTTTAGAGTAACAAAATTTAATGATAGAATTCTGGGGTACCACCCAGAACACGCATACCACAACTAATTTAGAAAAGTTTCCTGAAGTAGTCTGACTAAGAATCACAAGCACCAATAAAGGTAACTGCTGGGCAAAGGCCATAAAGTGTAGATTAAAATGCACTTCATAGCGATATTTAACCCATGTTAGTGTGTTGTTATAAGTGAACACCACCTTAGTGTTTTTCTTCTATTTATATTTTTCTACAGAGATTGCCACCCATAAAGGACTGTCTCGACCATCCCAAGGTTTTCTACACATGCATTCCATTTAGTGCAGTAAAATGTCATTTTTGTTTTCAATTACGTGGTAATCAGTATTTAGTTACAAAACTTACAGAGATGCATATCATTGAAGAATCAGGCTTCCATTCTACTCCGACATTGATTCCAAGCCTCTGCAGAGATTCCACACTCCTCTTGTGATACACTATTGGCACAGTTGGCTAAAATACAAGAGATTAAAATTAATTTACAAATGTTTATTTAATAGCGTGTTAATCACCTACTTTTGTATACCGACATTAGAAAGGTAAAACGTCTAACATGCATTTGGAAAAGGTTACATGAGAGCAATTTAAAATAACTTTTTTAAGAAAAAGAAATCATAACTCTTAATTTTATTTGTTAGATGGAAAAGTAGAAAGTTTCAGTATTTCTACATAAAAAAATTAGAGTTATGATTACCTTAAAAAAATTACTTATCTATCAATATACAGGAGAGCAATTGATATATTTATCAAATACACATTAAACATTTTACCTTTCCAGTTAGGTAGGACCTTATAAATGTTATAATTTGGGGATGTATTGCCAATAGAAGCTAAAAAAATCATATTAAGTCATACAAGCTGGTAAATAAAACATTTATGGACATTGATAATAATGCCACCTCTGATACTTTACCAATAACGAATATTTATACGGCAAATAGTAAGCCGCCTCTAGCAGCCAAAGAACAAAATACAATATTATCCAGTCACAAATGACCATGAACACTGTAAACACATGTGGCATATTATCAGCTATATTACTTACAAGCACAATTTATTCAAAGAGTTTTGCAAAATGTATAGACAATGTTTAAAAAGTTACTTAAAGATTACAAATGTAAGAAAACCATAGTGATAATGTACAGTCAACAGCACATCAAGCTGTACATTTTTGTTCAGCAACGCCTGTCATTGTGTACCTTTATGTGCTGCCGTCTGCACAATTCACAGAACTTTTTGAAGGAACCAGACTTACAAACAGTGTATACTATTTTATGGCTTCTAAAACATTAATTTAGAATAATGTCACTAAGCACAAAATGATCTTTTTTAAATGTGATTTGTTGAATATAAAATGTACATGTTTGTATAAAATTAAACCAATTTTCAACTATTGAGTTGATAACTGAGTTAAAACCAATGGTCAAAGTAATTGTATGGATTGATGACTATAATAACAAACGTATGCACCTTACAAAACCACACTGTGAGACAGTCATCGCTTAACGAAGCAAACAATATTTTATCCCTATTAGACACGATTTGTTTTATAATTTGATTATCTGCACCAACATTTTTGAGAACTTTGGGCCAACCTATTGGAAAGTACATTTTGAAACATATACATCGGCAACGCAAAATGAGATTATGGGAACAAATGACCAACTACTATCTAACTCGAAAATCCAAATAAAATATCATTTCAAATGAGAAATATAATAAAAATAAAGGCAAAATTCATGAAATACTCGTCAACAGCGATTATTTTTGACATTTGATGTCAAAAAAATTCCGGAACGAACATCGAAAATTAATAAACGATATAAAAAAGTAAATTAAGGAAGAAAATATTTGTGAAAGAGAATAGACATGAGAATTTGTTAATGTTTGATTATCTATCTCTTTTGCACAAATAATTACTGTAAATAAAAAAAATTGGTAATATACAAGGTGTCTTATAAGTCGACGCCAAGCCGGGACGGATATGTCATGAACGTAATTGCTTGTATAATACGTCTATGGTGATTGCCTACAAAAAAGCCCATGGTACTGTCAAGAGCACGTTAAGCTTGACACTTTGTACTTTGGACCTTTGTTATCGTAAGCGGCATAGAGTTGGATTTCAATCTTAAGTGTCAAGCTTGACGTGCTCTTGACCCTGTACCTGTACTAGGATAATATTCCCAACAGTTTTTTTTTATTATAGATTTAGTATGCATGACGATTTTAACGTTTTACACCTTTAACACCTTTGGTCGCGACTGTGCTCAAACTTAATAGTCTTTTTCTAACATTCTTTTTTTTTCATTATCTTAAATCAACCTGCTTTTTAATGGTCATTATTAGCTGAATTAAATTCCTTTCTAAAAGTTATTTTAAAAATATAGAGAAGTATGAAAAAATAAAAATATATTTTTTTAATTACTGAATGGGTGTAAGAAAATCAAAATGTATGACTCCGCATCTGCATTTAATTATAAAAACTTGTCTACTTTTTCATCTAATTGCTAAAAATAAATATGTACCTATTTACTTTAGTTACGGTTTAATTCAAAATTTCATCAAACAGATCGACATTACAGCCACAAACGGAATATTTGTTAAAGTCTGAAAAACCTAATTTTTCGTAATTTCAGTGTCTCAGATGATTTGTACCACTTGGGGTGATCGTTTCTAACTTCAAATCAAGGAATAAAACATTTCAAAATCATTTCAAAAACATTTAGTTTTTAGAACAATTGCAAAAAAGTTTTACATTTTTCACAGTAAATGTTCAAAAAGGCGTCTGCCGACCCTAATACACAGCCTGCACATCATGGACAGCAGCTAGGTCATATCGGTTGCACATTCCGCCTCGCTCCCCAGTCGCAGCAAACTGGTCCGACATAGCATCGTATAAACAATATGTACCGGCAAAACTGGTACCAAGTTTTAGATTAGTTATATCACAAACAACTAATTAATTACATTAAAAAAATAAGAGAATAAATGAGTATCAAGTGCTAGGCTTATATCATACTTATAGAATAACAACTAGAAATTTTAGAATAGCCAAATAATGATATAACTGTCTTTTCATTTTCCACCACGATAAATTTGCATTTAGCCCAACACGCACAAACAGCACTGATATTAAAATATTGCCAAATTGTTTTTTTTTTTAAATTTATTGCTGGCCATGGAAACAAAGTCCTTCAGTCGAAAACATAAAAATAATTATCAGTTTCTGTAAATATGGCCGCCACAAAAGAGGATAGGCAATTTGAGGCGGCGTGCTTGGATTGACTCGGGATTCCTTGGAACGGGCCGATACGGGTATTTTAATTCGAGATTCGTATAATTTCGCGTTTTAATCGTCGATTAAGGCACAATAGCACTATCCTATTCCACTTTAAACTAGATTTCACAAAATAATTGAAAGTCAAAATAAAAACGACACTTTTCCCTCCAAAAGGTCCAGAATCTCCTTGTAAAATTGGCGATTTTGAGTGTTGACATTTATCTGTTGTTTATATTATCGAATGTTATCTATTTAAATATATAGGGCCTAGTTGCACGCCGGATATCCGGTATCCGGCCAAATCACTATCCGTTTCATCTCTATTTAATAGACATCCTGTATTTTGCGGATGCTGAATCAAAATAAAGCCATTTAAAAATGATCATTACAGTTTCTATTTAACTCCAATATTAAAATTTGCCTAATTGACTATAAAATATTTTTGAAAATTATAAAAATTAACTTTCTACTACAATACATGTACACTCCTTATATAATAATTATAGATCTATACATTTTGGAGGGAATAATAATTATAAATTACTTGTATATCGGATCATAAGGATATTAATCCTAGAAATTGTGAATATCTACTTAATACTTGGGTCCTAGACCCCAAAAAATATATCATAGTCAGAAATGGCATACTTAGCCAGAAATGGCGTTTATGTTTTTGCTCTTTTACTCTAATCGTAACCTGAAGGGGACAAAACGAGATAAAAAATATATCATATTTAGATCACAATTTGCAATATTTTCACTTGGCAACTATGGTTTTTGTGAGTTGATGCTATAAAATCAACAAAAATTGTGATTTTTATGAAAATTTTCTCATTTATCGCCCGCAAAACTGTTAAATTACACAGTTTTCGTTGCATTAATATGTCTGTGTTATTTGTGTACGTTAAACCTGGTTTACGCGATCAAGATGTCGGAAGAAATTAATTTGGAAGCAAGCAGCAACCTCTGTACGACAGAAGACGCATTCGAACAATTTCAAGCCGCTTCTATTTACGAAGAAGAAGAAGAATTTATCACACTCTCCGATATAGTGCCGCCTACGCCAGCGGTTCCCGATTTGCATGCTGACTTAGGTGAGATTCCTTTCGCCGATGAAATTGAGTTAACGCCGTGTTCGGACAGTCAACTTAGCCAAATAAACAGTAAATCGGTACCGGATACTGAACAAATTACGTGCCCAGAAAATGCCGTGGACGTAGAACCAAAAGTGAATGAAGAAATTCTCACGCAATCGTCTAGGCCAAAAAGGGATCGAAAACAGAAATTACCTTACCCAGACGAAGATGTCTCATTATCTTTGGACGACGACAGTGCCCAAGGTTATCGCAAATTGCTTGCTCCAGTTCGTGGTCGAAGAGGTAGAAAACCTAAAATTGCCAAAACTAACCAAGACCAAAATGACATAAATCTGCCAGTGGTACTCGAGACTGACACCTCTTTGTCAAAAACACCAAAATTAACAAAAAGAGGCAGGAAAAAGAAAACTGTGAATATATCATCTGACTTAAAATTAGAAGAACCGGTAAAGAAACCATTAAAACAATATACACCTAAGAAAATGACACCTGAAGAAGAAACATCGGCATTGTTACAAACACTCAATGGACAAGAGAACATATCGGCCGAGTTAAGTCATGCTGATGACATACCAGCAGAGAAGAGTAAGGCAAAAAGAAAAAAAGTATCAACTCTAACTGATCAACAAAAACAATTGCCCCCTGTTGATTCTACAGCCACTGATCCAAAAGGGGATACTGTTGAAAGTGCTTTAAGTGAACTATTTGGCATTAATAATAATGATGCAACTGATGCCAAAACATCTGAGGCTCTTCCCAAGAAAGGGCGCACTAAAAGACAATCTTCGACAAGTACATCAGAACAACTGCTGGAAAATAAAAACAACACTTCTGACATTGGTGTAACTTTCACTGTTCCTAAAAAGCGTGGCCGCCCAAGAAAGAATGTTGAAAAAAAGGAGCCAGCTGATACTGACAAAGAGACTAATAAAGTCAATGCTTCTGATGATGATTTAGAGGATGACATGAGTTTAAGTACTTTAAGCCAAAAAAATTTTACTGCAAATCTACAGAAAGAAGTTGGAGAAATATCTGAAAATGTAAAAGTAGATGACTCTCAGGATAATGCAGATATTAAGACAAATGATTTAGCTTTAAATAAAATTGAGACAACACGCGAAGATGATTCTGAAGATATAGTAGTTGACGATAGTGACCCTCTGGAAAAACCTCCTTGTAGTGAGGATGACAATGAAACAAAGACAGTAGATACACTTGCTAAAAGGAGTTCCAAAGTTCCATTAAAGTCTGATTTCGAATATAATATTGACAACATTGTTAAAGAAAATATTAACGAAAATCAACAACAGGAGGAAGGAGAAGAGGCAGACAACTCCCTGCTAATTGAAGATAGTTCAAAAAGACCTGTGCGAAGGAAAGTGAAACAAAATACACATTATGAAGAAGAATCTGATGAAGATCCTTTTGCTAACATCGAATTATCTGATGACGATGAACCTAGAGGACGACGGAAACGATATTGTTCTGATGATGAATATGTACCAGAATTTAATGAAAGTAAAAAGAAACGAGGCAGAAAACGAAAGTCATATATCGACACTGACAGTGATTCGGAAGATTTGGATGCTGAAGATCTTGAACTTCCTGAAAGAAATAGTCGAAAAAGAAAAACATGTAAGAAACTAAAACAGGACATATTTCCCGATATAAATGTTACCACTATTTCTCCACAAATTAATTTACTTCAAGATGAAGACGATATTGAAGTTTGTTTACAATCTTCAATAATAAAAACAAATGAGGATACAAGTGAAAAATTGGGTTGGAGCTCCTCTGGCTCGCATGCATTCGAAAACTTTATTGCGAAGAAAATACAGGGAACTAATTTGCAAATAAAGAAGGTTTCTTCTAATGAGCCTTTACATAACACTCCTTTAGAAATTCCAGTAATTGACCCAGATGCAAAGAAATCTGTAGAAATTTGTACACAAACTAATATAATTGAAACCACAAACACTGAAGCGCAAACAAATACACCATATGAAGTTCCTATGACAAAAAATGTTGCTTTGACAACAATGCAATCTGAGAAAGCCTGTGAATTTCTACAAAATATCATTAAAACTACGTCTGAACTTGGTCAGTTAATGACTCAAAAATCTGAAGATTTCATCGCTAAGAAAATTAATACAAAAAACGTTACAGACACGTTTAAGATGGATTATTGCGTGCAGAAATCATTTTTATTGTTTAAACTGGCAAAAAGTAATTTGATCCAAATGGAGGAAGATTTAGCGAAACAATATGAAGAATTTTTGAAGGTTAACAATCTATCGGAATGTAGAGAGGAACTAAAAAAGGTTATTCCATCAGATAAAGTGACAGACAATGATAGTGATTGCGAAATTGTTGAAGAAACGCCATCGCCACTTCAAAAGAAAACTTTTCCGCCTAAGTTTAATCCCAAGACTGTGTTTCTCAATAAAGAGTTGTCAATCAAGATCGCAAAAAAACCGTCTGCAGCGACAAATAAAGCTAAAGCATGTAAAGATAAGCTTAATCTACAGGGTAAAAAATCTGTATGGCTTAGTAACTCTGTGATGGTGAAGAAAGTCAATCCTACGCAGTCTTTTTTAGCCCAGGACGGCCGAAATAAAAAACCTCCTGATTGTTATGTGACTAATAAAATGGTTCATGATTTTTTTGAAGATTATTATCGTCAGCAAGCTATAAAAGCTTGTGCTCCTTTTACATCAAAAGAGTGGCTTACTATTGATCAGAACTATATTTGTGCCTATTTCTTTGTAAAATCTGATAAGTTCAAAGAAAATACATCCAATTTCGACAATTTTAATGACAATTTCAATCACGAATCTGGTGAAGACAGTGATTCTGCAGAAGGTGGTATAAGTGAAGTTGCGAAAATTACAGTCACAAGAGAAATTTCAAGTCCTGCAAGTCTCTTATCAATATGCATGAAAACTCTCCAGAAACGTTTGACCATTTTGAATCACAGCAGAGTAGATAGTCATAGTCAAGAAGTAAGTAATCCTTTTGCTGACGTCACAATCCCCGAAAGTTTACTTCGGCTTTGTTTAAAAAGTATATCTGATTATTCTTGCAACACGTTAGAATGTTGTTCGTCCATAATGAATGTTAACATTGAAGATACATTTTTAACTGAAGAAAATTTAAATGAAGCCCATTTTTCAATAAGCAGTGGCAGCATACACGAAAATGAATACATCCCTGAAAGTTTATTTCGTCTCTGCTTAAATGTAGTAACAAAAAACTTTCATGATATTAAAAATGATCCTTTATCGTCCCTTCAAACTAAGTGTCATGAGCCTTTGGAAGACTTCGACGAAGATGTAATGTCACCTTTCTCAGAAAATAGTGTCGATTCGGGAAAAATTATGGACTATCGTGATTTGTTTCCTGGGCAGTTGAATCCGCGTGTTAATTATACAACAACACATAGCCCTCAACCCTTAAAAACATTGTGCTACAAGACACTCACTGATTTACTATTTGTCGCTACAGAAGTAGCAAATAATGAAGACGTTATGTTATTTTACTCCGACTCAAAAGAACAGTCTAACCAAAGACATTTCACAGAAACTAATATTGAACAAAATTATTGTAACAAATCAGTGCACTACAACTTTGACAATATTAAAATAATACCAATGCGTCTTTCTTCAGTTGCCAAAAACGGGATTAAATCGTTGTTCCATTTATGTGTCAAAAAAATGCAAGAATTTCTATCATCATCTTATTCTAAAATCTATGTTGATGATGATACAGAACTTAAGAAAACTATGCCTTATTATACTCCAAAATCATTAAAAATCATTACCCTGGAGTTCATTTGCGATATTCTTTGCAACAACGCAGATGATAAGCTAAAAGAATGTCATATTTCTTATAAGGAAACACCCGAATTGACGCCGGTAGTTGTATATGATGTGAAAAAATTAGCCACCATTTGCTTGGAAACTATATTATTACTCACCCATTATAGTATTAACAAGAACTGTGTCCAAAAAACTTCAGAGTTGACAATAAATTCCGTAAACACCTTGACAGAAGAAGCATTTCACAACATTGAAAACGTTTATGATCGAGGTTGTGAAGAAAATTCTCCGTTTGCTGAAGATGGAGAAGCAAATTTTTACGACGAAGATGGATTTGATCCTATATTCGATGAAGAACTCAATGCAGGAGACATACATTCTGAAACAAATGAAAATAACAGTTGGGCAACCCAGGTGCAAATGAAGGAATTAAAATCCTGTATTCTTAAAGTCAATAGTCAGAAGCAAACAAAAGATGACGAGAGCTGTGGTGAAGAAGAACAACCAATTATTATGCAAGTTAAGCTTGAACCTTTAGAATCGATGGAAGAGCAAAATGAGTGTGAAAATCCAATACATCCTGTTATTGTTAAGACAGAACCTGCCCTACCCCCTGATGAAATGATTTCTATTCCTGAAAATATAGTTACTAAGCAGGAATTTCAAGACGATACCCATGCAAGAGATGTTTTACAGCGCTATGATAGTTCGTGTTTTGACGTGGTTGCTTTTGAAAGGTTCGTTAGCACGAACAAATTAATGCACCCTTTAAACGAACCAAATGACGAAATTTTTAGTCAAAGTGCTTTAAGGATTCGAAGACAACACGATCCGGATTATATCAATGAGTATGATCCCAGCATGAGCTTACTAATACCGCAGACTTTTGAGCCTTTGAATATAGAAACCGCTAAGGACAAGCTTATGGAAAGTAGCACGGATGATGAAGCACGCAATGCTAATAAAATTGCAACAAAGAAAAAACATGAAAAAAGAGGCAGACCTAGGAAAAAGACTGTTGAAAAACAGTCAAAAACACACATAGCTGAAAAACAATCAAAAACACAGGCAGCTGAAAAACAATCAAAAACACAGGCAGCTGAAAAAAGTAAAGAAAAACCTGCACCGCTTCCACCACTCCCTCCTCTTAATGAACTGGCAGTGTTGACCAGAAGGATGCGAGAAAAAATAAGACAAGAAGAAAAGAAAATTGAATCTTCTGATTCTGAGAATGAAAATGTTCCACTAAGTGTTAAGAAAAGTAAAGATAAAAAAGCAGGCAATGAAAGTGTAAATACTCCCAACAATAAAAAAATCACAGATGAAGATATTCAATGCAATGATATTGACTCAACTGAACAAATTGAAACGCCAAGTGATGAAGTTATAGCAGACACCGACAGTCTAAAAAGCTTTACGGGATTCTCTGCTGTAGACCAAAACGCAGTTGCAAGTTATCAAAAATATATGAAGTTTGTATACGATAAAATTATGCCAAAGGATGCTGAGGTAAGTGAAAACAAAACTACCTCAGCAAATGTATCGACCGCCAACGAATGTGGTAGTGATAGAGCTGAATCTCCTCTAATCAATTTTGAAGACCCTGTGGAAATGGTAGAGTGTGAGCCTACCATGCCAATTTTCGATGAAAATGAAATGAGAGTAAAAGTACATAAAAAAACTAAGGCCAAAGCTGTGCCGGAGGCTGAACAGAGCACAAGCAACGTAGATGTACATAAAAACAAAGAATTTCAAAAAAAGGGACAAATAAATGAAGTTCCTGATTCAGAATATATAGAACGCGATGGTTGGAATTGTTATCCAATCGCTAAAAACGAAACAAAGCTTTACCAGACCCCTATGTTAATCTTGGAAAAATTGCCAGAAAGTTTTGTAGAAACATATTTCCAATACCAAAACATCTCGAGTTTTCATAAGGAGGACGAAGAAGTGGATCGGTAAGATTTATTTCAATTTATTTTCGTATATTTTTAAAATCATTGTTTAATTTATATTTACTTCTTTTTTCAGGCTCATAAATTTGAATACGTTAGGTAGATCAACCAATCTTAAAGAAGCCAAAGGTAAACCGAGAAGTAAAGCTAAAAATACGATAGAATCTGAGAAGAATTGTGACACCGCCAAAGCTGTAAGCCCAACTTTTTCTGAACCCTTAAATGAATTCTCACCATCCGAAGATGAGGGAGTGAATGTTGATGACGACATTTCAATGATGGTAAGTTATAGCTATAGGTAGATAAGATCCCTTGTTCTGTAAGTTAGAGAGACATGGTTCTCATAGTAGCCGTAGTGTAGTTAGGTAAAAGAATTTAAAAAAATCTTACATATTTAAATTATAGTTAACACTTTTTTCAGGTTACAACTAACCAAGCAGCATCGGAGAACAATTTTGCCAAAAATTCTCTTATGAACGACAGTGATTCTGACAATCCAATATCAAAAATTAAAGATGAAGTTATTGACGAAGATAAACCAATTAAGAAAAAGAAACACAAAAATAAAACTCCGGAAAAGAAAGTTGAGGATCCTGAGAACTTGACATTGACTGCAGACAAGATGATGAAAAAAGAACTTCATTTATTGCACGCACCGGTAAACATGAATGTTGAAGTACCGGAAACCAGTGGAAAGGGACAGATTTCTCATAAGAGTAAGAAGGTTAGTGACTTTTTACTTTATACAATACAAATTGAATTTAGGTACTTTTTTATAAACCACGTTTCAGTTATTATTATTATTATCATTATGTTCTTTTTGCTCTCCATAATAAGACATGATTACTACAAGCTTGACACTTTTATTCAAATATCGCTCGTAGTGCAATGGAACATAGCACTCCAGTTTAAAGCTTGATGCATTCAATGTGTTAAACATGATGTATACTTGTGCTACCTAAACATTTTGTAACTTTCGTGCATATTTCAGAAAAGCGGGTCAAAAAGCTGCTCCACTCGAGATCGCATCAAAGGCGACGATGATTTGTCGGATGAAGAGAAGCAGTGGGTCTATACAAAAGAGAAACTATTAAAAAGAATGGAAAAGAAACAGGAAACCGCCATGTAATATTTTATTCTTCTATATTATGTATATTTTTTCATTTACTATTACTAGTTATTAGCAGTTACCTGCAATAAACAACAGTATTATAATACCAAAAGAAGAGAAAAAGTACAATTACAACTACTTGATCACTTTGGTTACTTCCAAATACCTAACAGTTTAAAGTAATTGTATTAGGGGTTAAAGTATGAAATTGCCGTTTTATTGCAATAGGTTCTTTGAATTTTCATAGAATCTTCATGGTTTGAGGTTTTCGAATGAAACTTTTTTCAAATGGTTTGTGATTTTTTTTTTTTAAATTTGAAACATTTGAATATCGACTTTCAATTGTTTTTGTTATTCAATTTAGACAAGAAAGATGGATACTGCGAAAATTCGAGTGATTTTTGAATACGAGTTCCGACGCGGAACTAACGCGGCAGAAACAGCCCGCAATATCAATGCTGCGTTTGGAGAGGGGTCTACTAATGAACGCACCGTGCGATTTTGGTTTAAACGCTTTCGTGATGGAAATTTCGACTTAAAGAACGAGGCACGAGGAAGACCGCCCACCAACACAGGTGAATAACGATGAATTAAGAGAGATAGTGGAAGCCGATCCTAGTCAAACTACCCAGGAATTAGCGGCATGGTTTAACGTTACCTTACCCACAATATTGACTCACTTGCGTCAAATCAATAAAATAAAAAAATACGAAAAATGGGTGCCTCATGATTTGACTGATCTGCAGAAAGAAACGCGTGTTGAAACTTGTGTTGCCTTGTTGAACCGGTACAGAAATGAAGGAATATTGGATCGAATTGTAACATGTGATGAAAAGTGGATTCTTTATGATAACCGGAAAAGAAAAATGCAATGGCTGACCCCAGGTCAAATGCCACAACAGTGTCCTAAAGCAAAACTTACCAATAAGAAGGTAATGGTAACTGTTTGGTGGTCTCAGCATGGTATTATTCACTATAGTTTTCTCCGATCTGGTCAAGCAATAACGGCAGATGTCTATTGTGCCGAACTCCGAACCATGTTGACAAAACTAGCAGTAAAACAGCCCCGACTCATGAATCGATCTTCACCATTATTGCTCCACGACAACGCGAGACCTCACACAGCACGAGAAACCATTTTGACCCTTCAGGAACTGCAGTTAGAAACCATTCGTCATCCTCCGTATTCACCAGACCTTGCTCCAACGGACTACCATTTTTTTCGTGATTTGGACAATTATCTACGTGACAAGAAGTTTTCTTCCCAGGAGGTAGTACAAAATGCTTTCACACAGTTTGTGCAGTCTAGATCGTCGGAGTTCTATCGCAAAGGCATTAATAACCTTCCCATTAGATGGCAGCAATGTATAGATAATAATGGCAACTATTTTGATTAAATAAATTTGTTAAAAATTTAAAAAATAAACAATTTAGATTTTCAGTACAAATCGGCAATTTCATACTTTAACCCCTATTATTATTACAAAGGTAAACTTCCCCCAATATGCTTTCTTTCATCTTCTCACTGTTGATGAATGGTGCGGGGGCTACAACTTACATCTTGTATTTTCAAGTCAAACGCTCTCTCGACTATCATTGCTTGTTATTTTCATTCATTGTTTAAAATTGTCAGAATGGACGACGCTAAGCGCACGAAGCTAGTCAATGAATTTATCGTGAGGCGCGAGGAAGGCAAAGGACGAAGGAACCAGCGATTGCTTGGCCGCGTTAAAGGAAGGAACTCTAGACAGAGATTAGAGAGGGAGAAACAGTTAAGGTAAATCCTACTCGTGTTTTGTCATATACCCTATCTAATTGAACAAATTATGATTAATTTTGGAGCTTTGCATATCGAACGCCAGTTGGCACGGCGGCGCGGTTTTCATATAAAATTTACTAGAAACAACTGCACGCGCGAATTTCGCTGGCCATTTTAGGTGAAGCTGTACGAAAACCACACTGAACCGTGTTCGTTGCATCGCGAATAAATAACTTCAATAACCTAATCGAACGACATATCGATTACAAAAACAGTTAAAACGGTAGATTAGGAAATACGAGAGACGTTCAATGTATTCTTGGTATGGGCATGAAGGAAAACGCAGAATTTTTGAAGTAAAATTTATTTTTCAATATAGTTTCCCATAACCTCAATACACTACTTTGATTGGGAAATAAATTTTTCAATACTTTCTAAAAAATATTTTTCTACTTTGTCTGAAAAGTGTTTTTTTTTTTTCTTTATACATGACAGGCAAATGACTCCACTCCACCTGATGTTAAGTGGAAAGTGGTATCCAAACGCGAAGGAAGGTGCGTTAATTGCCGCCTACATCTCTTCATCGCCGGAAAAACACTTTCCACGAAGATCTTTTTTAAGATTTGGGAACAGAAAGTAGTCATTGGAGGCCAAGTCTGGGCTCTAGGGTGGATGGTTCGTTTCTTCAAAGCCACAGTCACGCACAGCAGCCTTTGCAACACGCACTGTATGAGCGAGTTGCCGTGGACGCGCAACACACCTGCGGTCAATTGTCCACGTCTTTTCTCTTTAATAGCTTCTTTCAGATTACGCTGAATGTTTGCTTAAGATGCGGTAGTAATACTAGATCTTTTTCTGTGTACTCAATGAGCAAAAAATTCCCTTTGAGTCCCAAAAAATTGTGACCATGAGTTTTCCGGTCAATGGAGTGACTTTAAAGTTCTTTGGTGGCTCTCCTCCTTTTTTATTGGCTCCTGCCTGCTCTTAGGATTAGATCGTGTGTAGAAAAGTCGTGTTCGTCATCTTGGATTTAGAAATAAATGCTATATTCGTAATGAGCACCCCAAAATACCTCGAAAACGATACCCAACTTGCCATTATTTGATAAGTCGTGCCCGCCATCCTGCATTTAGAAAGGAGTGCCATATTCGTTACGGGAGCACCCCAATTACAGTATATTGCCCATGCTATATTCGGCCACGAAGGCACTCACTCACTCACTCCTCACTCACTCCCCACTCACTCCCCACCCACCCCCACACAGCAATTATGAAATAATTATTTGTTAATTGTGTTCTCGCAATTAACAATTAATCAATTGTTAGTTGCTGTTTCGCAATTGACAATTAATTAATTGTCAATCTTTAATTACCTGCACAATTAAATTTTGCCCAACACTGAGTGTAGAACAGATTAAAATATCAATCGATTTAATTTATTTTATGTCTCAAGAGAAAGAGGGGTCAGTCATTAAAAAAATGTGACTGTTTAGATTTATGGTCATAGAGAGAATTCGTCACATTGAATTAATGGAATTGAAGAAATCATTAACATTGTCCTTTTATTTTTATATGGTAAAATGATTATAAAATTTTAGAATCTGGTTTTCTGCGTCGCTTAGCACGTTCTGAATTAGTAACTAAATTAAAATATATATATATTCCGTATTTCCAGCGGTGAATGACTAATAAGTGAAGCCTAAGAGTGGTTACACACGGTGTAATTAGCAGCTATGCAAACTCGCGTTCGTGAAACGCGCGATTGCTTTGCTACACTTGCGATTTATAGGCGATTGCATGGAAGCAAACGCGCGACTGCACCGATACAGTTGCTTAGGTTGAATAATTATGTACGTTTTTGTTTTTGCACATTATTTTGTTTTGTTAATTGTAAATTTAAAAGGGAAATTAATAAATTCATTAGATAAATAAATAAGATATTTTTTTTAAAACGTGGACCGCGTTTGTATTGCGATTGCATCGCGTTTATATCGCGTTTGCGTCGCTGCTAAAAGTCGCCGTGTGTAACGACTCGAATCGGTCAAGAACATACATACAAAAAAAACATACAGTCGAATTGAGAACCTCCTCCATTTTTGAAGTCGGTTAATGAGTGAGAAAAGAGACTGCAATCCGATATTTTGACAAAACATCGTGAAGAACAACAACGGAATACTTTTACTCTTCGTCATTCCGTTTAGGTAGACAATGACCTTTAAAGGATGGTGGTGGTGACACGGTTTCGTGCAATATACCAAAAGTGTGCGGTCCATCCATGTTGTGCACTATATGGTGTGGTTTACATTATTTCAGAGTATTATCACATGAGCTGTATGGCGAACCGTCCCATTCAACGAAAAGACAAGGACAAAGTTTGTTTACAGGTCGTCGTAATATTAGAAAGGTAAATGAATATAACATTTCTTTTTATTTTTAACCTTTAATCGCGGCCTAAGAATTATATTTTGAACTGATGAGCGCAACTCACATACAATTTACGATCTTATTTGGCACATTATTTATACATATTATATATGTTCTTCTCTAGATAAGCCAACAGTTCTGCAACAATATCAAAATTTAATACGAAAGCTTATTCTCTCTCATATGGTACTTCTCAATACTCGTTGAATAGCAGAACCTGTAGAAGCCTATAAAATTACTAAGCGAAAAATTCGATACTGGCGTAATCCTAAAAGGGCTGACAAAACAATAAATACAGCAGAATCGCTTAGAGGGCGTGTCACGTGTGCCAACAGTACGCGGAGTTTCGCATATTTGAGCTGAGTCCGCCATTTTGGCTTTGTACGTTATGGTTGTGTCAATTATCTCGCGCAAAACCTCGAAAATAGTGGTAGATGCATTATTTTTAGGGTTGAAACGGATATCCGGCAACTATCCGGCCTATTTTTACTATATCCGGTTAGATACCGGATGTTGAAAATTGAGAAAAATTCTAAATCAGTACGCCAAATAAACTGATTTATTGCCTAAAGAGGATAGTAATAGGATAAACGGCAACTACAGGATCGTTGGCAATCTCTTTATTACTTGTAACTGAAAGAACTATGAAGTTAGATAACGTTATCTGTAAATTTAGTATTCAAATTTCAATAAAGGTAGATGATTCATGACGACCAGTTTTTCAGCATTATAAGTGGTAAAAATCGGTTCTGTTTATTTTCATAAACGAGACCAGATTTTTTTCACTATAAACTCTTGCAAACTTTGTTAAATTTTAAGTACTACTTGTTATTGCCATACGACCAAATGAAATAATAATCGATCTTCTGTTTTCTTCTATATAATGTGTACCTTCAATAATGATCGAACGTCATATGTGTATTGTTGGTTGGTAAGTATGGCGCTTACGTCATAAAGTTGTATCCTGTTACGTTATGGCGAAAAGTCGCGTAAGCTATTGCCCCTGCCCCTGACTACAGTATTGTAACTTATGTCATAATTTTACAGGTTATAGATAAAAAATCATTAGCCAGGAGCACAGTGATCGCAAATATGGAAGAATTCGAAAGAAAACGCAGATTAAATCAAAGGCAAACAAAATTGGTAAGTTTTTAAATCAAACTATTATATTCAATGGTTATTTATAGTTTTAGTTGAGATTTAAGGTAAAGTGAGAAAATAAACATTAGTTTTTCGACCACACGGACAATCGGTTTATCGACGTTACAAAAGATTGATTTCAACTTGTTTTTTTTAAGTGATAATAAAAACAGAGCCCACCGGTAGAGAACTAAGGGGACCAAAACTCTTCTAAGCCAAACACTGCCAAACACTTTGACTAAACTTCGCTCGATAAAAATAAACACAAATTTCGGCAAAACGTCCATCGTTTTTGCTATGTTCATCTACATAAAAATCAGTTTAATTTTATTGTTATTAGAGGTATTTAAATAAAATTTTCTCTCCCGTGTTCCGTAACTATGAGTCTATTTTACAGTAAGAGAGTATGTTTTATTTCTAAAAGGAATTTAAATATCGTGCAATCAATTTATAGGTGCACCTCTCCGCGTTTACTTCACATCAATTAAAATCATTTCGCCTTAAGAGTGGAGATGGTTAATATAACATATAGCGCAAATTATAACGTTAAATAAAAAAATAACAAAATAAATTACAATTTGAAACAAATAAAGCTGCTAAAAATGGAGAGCTAATATGTAATTGTTTCAAACGATGACCAACAAAAAAAAATTGACCAGCCATTCTGACGTCAGGATGACTGATCGCCACATTGTTCAGCATGAAGGGAGCAGATTTTCCAAAAGTGTGTATTGCCAATAATTGCTACCTATTTGCTACCTTCGCGAATTAAAGGTATACGCTTCGTATCTACATTAGTTAAAAAAATATAAACGATTGAAAATTTTACGAAGAAATACCAATGCCTGCCCTTTGTTTTATTGCAATAAAGCACTAAACACTTTGGCTTTTTAAATTTTATCATGCACTTCTTTATAAAATTTTCAGTCGGTTATATTTTTTTAACTAATGTAGATAATAAGCGTATACCTTTAATTCGTGAAGGTAGCAAATAGGTAGCAATTATTGGTAATATATACTTCTGGAAAGTCTGCTCCCTTCATGCTGAACCAGCCACTCTGGCTGGTCAATTTTTTTATTTCTCCGAAAATATCAAAGGTAGCAATTAATTAGAAAAGGTAGCAAATAGGTAGCAATTCTCGAATATAGATTCAGTGCCAGATGCGACAGGTGACCAGCCATCCTGACGGTCACGGAATGTTGGCAAAATTTTGTGTGTTAAAGCGAATTAAATTAAGATCTATTTACTTAGGTTTTTGTTTACTTAATTAGTTATTGTAATATTTGTAACAGAAAGGATCAAATCTGTAAATATTAGGCAAACAAAAAAGCGTAAACAGAAAAAAATGAAAAATGGAAAAAATAACATAGAGATAAAACATGTAAATATAATTAATTTTACAAATCTATGAAATCAATCAATCAATGAACTTTTATACTCCTGTAACTTATATATGCGATTTGGTACAGATTTAAGTAAATTAAATTAGACCATTCAGAACAGTCCTTATAAAGTATTAAGGTGAAGCTCATTGATTTATCTTATAAAAACCTATCTCTTTTTAATTTATAGTTAGTTACAAAATTAAAAAATAGATAATGAAATCGGTGGTAACTAACCATCAAAAACCGTGGCCTATATAGATCATAGACGCTATAATCTATAACTTAGTAAGTCTATCTCGCTTCAACTTGAACCGACATTGAACCGTTATAATTATAACACTTTAAATAGCACGCCATACAAATTTAGCATTTAACATTTAGCGCGCTATGCGAATATAGCAGTTAATCTCATGTTTGCTTAAAAGTTGATACTGCCTCAGCTCGTATTCCAATTTTTCCCGTACTAACACGATTCATTTTGATTGGGTCGAGCGGCAGGGCTACTGGCTTTATTTCATAATTTATTTTTTACAAAAGAAATTAAAGCCATTTGCAAAATGTATATCGCATAGTATACGTGTACTATTTAGTTCTGTTGATATAAAGAAATAATTGGTATATGTAAAGTACCTATTGAATACTGCGATTTTCGTGTTGTGAAAAGTTTTAGGAATCATGTTACATCCTCAATTTTACTATATATTTTTTCCAAAGTGATTGGTTCAATACTTTCGCTGTTATGAGGAATCAACCAAAGCGATATTATATTTTTAAATATCCGTGTTCACAAATGTATTCATTGTTTGCAGAGAGAATTACTCGGAGTAGAGGAAGGTGTAAACGTATTGGTGATCAATGATGAAGTATGCCTCGAGTATGACTTGGAAATGCAGCAGCCCGTCGTCACTGTTCATTCCTTTTTCACTAAAGTCATGAAGGCGCATCAGGTTTGTCTTTATTCTAGAGGATAATATATTTAACAAAAAATGCATGCAAAAAATTTATTACCCTAGAGGATAATATATATTGTGCATATTATGGAAATTTTTTGAAAATGAAATGAAAATTTACCTAGGGCGGCCAGATATTAGGCGCGGCCAATCGTTACAAAAAATTCACTGCTGACAACAAGAAATAACTCAAAAGTACCTAAATATTCTAAAGGCTCACGCACATTATGGCGGGCCGCACTGCACCGCATCGTATAACAATAATCTTTCGTACATTTTTTGTATAAAATATAGATATGTTACATATCTACAATGTATTGTATAATCACTACGTCACTACATATATAGATAAATTAAAAAACTAGTGACCGGATTTTCATGCGGTTTCCACCAATAGACAGACGATGGAAGGTTTCACTGTATAATTTATTTAGGTTTAGTGTAAGTTGGCTCAAATATGACGATAAATGTTGAAGATGTCGGAAAAAATCATGCCGGCTGGGCGCTTTACTGGCGTGCGCCTCGTAAACTAACAGACATATATCAAATCAATGTTCGAGAAAAATATTAAAAATATTAAATAGTAAATTTCTGAATCGATTTCGATAAAAATTGGCAATAAAGTAAATTCATTATGTAGTCTACCAGTATAATGATGAGTGCTGAGAAAGGGGCGGCTGGTACTGACTATATCGCCAGGGGCCTAGGGCCTAGACTGCAAATCCACCATTGTTAATACTTGTTATAAATTGGGAATGATACTATTTCTTCGGATCTAAATCGCGTATACAAGGTTATTTTTAATATACTAACAACCACTCAGGACTATATTACTAACATCATAAACAACAACTTTTGTTCTATGACTTTTAATAATTAATCAGATTTGACTTACAAACAAAAATAAAATATATTTGAATAGATCGCCCTAAACGTAATAACTCCGTGCAGAACGGGGGTGGGAGTCGGCGGAGTAGAGGACGTTTGCGCGTTTGAATTTATCTTACTACCAAATACAGTTCTAAAAAGTGTCAGATGGTACAACAAAAACTTAAAAGTGTATTTTGAGTAAATTTATTATGTTTTGTAAAATATCATGGAACAAAAGTTGTTGTTTGTGATGTTAGTAATATAGTCCTGCAAGGTTGTTGAGTATTTTAAAAATATTTATGTTTATGTTTTTTCAAAGAAACCAACGTTGACGTGACTTTAGGACTTGTATAGGGCCCGAAACGTTGGTTTCTTTCAAACAAATTGTTTGAAATATTTAAATGACGGGACGAACAACTCGTGCGCATGATGGTAAGCTACACGCCTGTCCATGACAATTACAGTGCCACTCAGAGCTTTAAATCGCAAAGATCTGAGGGGCACTTCCACTGCGCCCGTCACCCTGAGATGTAAGTCGACAACTCCCATGTGGCTACAATTTCACCAGCACCCTTACCCTTCAAAACCGGAATACAGTAATGCTGACATTACTGCTTGGCGGCAGAAACAGGTAAGGTGGCAATACTACCCTGGATGAACTCTTTCACAAGGAGCTCTATTGCTACTAAAGAAACAATTTCCAATGTGTAACAATTGCGAAAAACGAGAAACTCGATAAATTGTTATTAAGTTCATCTTTCTGTGGACTTGAACATTTAAAGTGAAGATATGCTATATGAGACACCGTAGATCCAAGACAGGAAGAAGACTTTTCTAAAGCGGTTTAGAGATAAATGGGAAATTACAGGCATATGGGACTTGTCAATTGTCATGGGACTTATCTCTCAGGGTGACGAGTGCAGTGGCAGTGCCCCATTGACTTACAAATAAATGGACGACGGGTCTAATACAAAAACCACGAAAAAAATGTCCCAAGTCAACCTATTCGAAATTTAAATTGTAATGTCATCGCAGTATCGCGCTGTCAGTCGAACAAATGAAGACTAAAGCGGAGTTTGGCGCTCTGTATACGATTTTAGCGCCTTACAAGTGCGGACACTTTTTAGCGCGGACCCGACGTCCATATAATTGTAAGTCAATGCAGTGCCCCTCCGATTTTTACGATTTAATCCGATCCGATCCATAACACTAGATTGTAGTGGCACGCTCTGAGTGAATTGTTATGAATCAGCGTGTAGCGTACCATCAGGTGCACAACTCGTTCGTCCCGTCACTAGACATTAAAAAAAATGGTAAGAAGAATATATCATACCCTTGATGTAATAAAGCCACATATTATCGTACGTCGAAAGTGCTTTTATCATATGAAAGTTATAAAAATAATCCGAGCCACATGAAACAATTTATGTATATGTGAAATTGTATAACTCTCCTATTTAGGCATAAAAAAGGTATCGACTAATTTCGTTTGTAGAATCTTTAATCCTCTCTCCTGAAAAGTTGTCAATGTGACATTCTGACATAGGTACGTTTATTCTTTAAAAAATATTAATCCATAGTTACATTGTTGATAATTAGTACGAGGGGGTGAAGTTCATGTGGGACGCTTGCTTCGAGTCCCTGGCGAGCGTGGAGGCCGGCCATCCAGGCGGCGGATGTATTCTCGCGCACTGCATGGGGCTCGGCAAGACGCTGCAGGTGCTGGCACTGTTGCATACGGTGAGTCATACACATACATCACCATGTTTAAGTTTATAACTTCGACAGACAATAGCCCCTTTTACACAGTCACTCTATCGCGCGTGTCGGTATTTGTGTATATGTCGGTAATTTTGTGCTCAGAACCAAAAGGTCAGCAGAGTCGGCTTGGGGGTCAGGTATCTTGTGTATATGACTGTACACGCGTGAGATGAGCGCAGTCGCGCGGTCTTTCCCTTTTCCTTCCAATGTCTTTACATGAGTGCTCAACCGCGCAAGATTGCTGTATCTCAGTGTTTTTGTTTATCAATTACTCATCCAGTGACTAATTTTGACAATAAAAAAACCCCGTGTAGTATTAAAATACACTGTAATTAATACATTGTTAGAAGCAAAAAAGCCGGTTTAAACTTTAAAGTGGACTCGCCGCTGGTGGTCGTTTAAAGGCGTCTCATTATCGGAGCTATAACATAAACAATTACGTTGATAACTTTAATGAAGGCACAAGAAAAATTCACAAAATAAATTCATCACATCAGAACTGCATCGGATAAGTTTTTATTTTAATTAGAATATGATATTCGCACTAGAGTAGCCTATAGGGCTACACACGAGGAAAACAGTGATATATGATTTGCATCGTAAAATTTAAACCTAATTAGAATTGTATGCATTTTTCTGACGCAGTTTCATGGGAAAATGCATTTTGGCATTATTGCGCTGCACTGTCCAAAAACATCTCGACATTAGCGCCATCATGCCAAAGGTTAAATCCTCAAGCGTGCAAGTGCTAGGGCACACAGGGTATGAGGTGAGCTAACATTTGAATCGCACCGCACAAACAATCCGGGCTAAAATTCCCACCTGAACAAATTGTCCTTACTCCATCAACCTATTTAAACTACGACTAGTGACTACTGGAACAACTAGACACTCTTTTGATGTCACGTCGTATGCAGAAACCGTCGTAGGGCCACGGGAAGGAGGGTTTGTGTTAGATGTAAATTCGTTGATATGTTAGCCATTTCGCGATAAGACAGAGTGTTTAGGACATGGAGGCAAAAAGACCTTTGCTATTCTTGCCGCGACATGTTGATGTTCCCAATGTAACCGCTATCTCAAACACTACACTTTGTACTTTGATACGAGGAGAATTTATGTCCTTAATTATTTAAAAAAAAACAAGATACTATATTATTAGACTTAATTCCATGCTCTTTGTAGCCTAGTGAAAGCAATCTGAAGCTTAATGCTTGCTTCAGGTGCTAACACATCCTCGGGCCGGTATGCGCAGAGTGCTCGTGTGCTGCCCTCTGTCGACCGTGCTCAACTGGGTCGACGAGATCCACAAGTGGATTACGCCAGTCACTAACGAAATTAAGGTAAGACAAATTAGAATTTTGCCACAAATATCGACGCATTTCAGGGACATAGTAAATTTTACATGAAAATTAATCTGACCATGGAATGTGATCACAGTAGGATGCCAAATCCGACATTTGGAAACCCATTTCAATCTCATGATGTTGAGGAATGTGTTTCCATTGGCTGTACTGACAAATCTCCTTTCTTCTACGCTCTTATTCACCTTACATGAACCATGAATATTAACTCTATTTTTGCTGAAGGTTTACAATTTTGTTTGATAAACATGCACAAATTCTGTAACAATTTTTTACTAAATAATTACAAAACATTAATTACAAGCCGCGCAAAGCAAAAAGGAGACTGCAGGTATGCAAAGCTCACATAACACCCGGTTAGCTCCGTGCATAACATTACCGCTCCACTAAATAATATTGTAATTCTTCAGGTCTTCGAGCTATCCAAATTAAAGAAGACCTACGAAAGAGCGTTCCAACTCGAAGATTGGTACACCAGAGGAGGGATATTCATAATTGGTTACGAGCTCTTCCGAAGTTTGAGCACATTGGACCCGGAGTTGGACGATGTTCGGCCAACGATTATAAACAAAATCCGCACGGCCTTGTTGGATCCCGGGCCGGATATAATTGTTTGTGATGAAGGTAAACAGTTACTTTTAACAAATGACAATACTAGATCGCCATCCGCGATTGCCCAAGAAGGAAATTTTAATTATCTTATTTAATTAATAATCTTATGATTTTTTTAAATTCATAAGATAACGAACGTTTGGCCGCAACCTCCCGATGTTAAGCGAAATTATAGTTACGTATTATAGCCACATTGGAACTTGTCAATTTATGTCTCGGGGTGACGGGTGCACTGGCAATATTCCTCAGATCTTTGCGATTTAAATCTCTGAGTAGCACTGCCACTGTTATGGGTAGGCGTGTCGCTCCTCCAGTAGCCCGATTTGCTCGTTCCGCCGTTTGGTATCTTGAAAAAAAGCGACAATATGGCCTACGTTGTTTCGTTAAATTGTAGCTTTCGGAAAATACAGATGCCGGCGGAGTATTTCGTTCTTTTGCAGTTCTGTATATTGCAAAAATAAGGAATTCCTAGAATAGACACAAAGCAAAATTCCTTCGATCGGACTGGTACTCGAACCAGCGTCTGTTGCATTAACGCGGCTACTCTTACCAACTGAGCTACAGACCGCGTCAGCAGATTTTAGGATTTCTCTGTGTAATATATAATATATAATTTCTAAAAAATTTTCTGACGATATTCAATAACAAGTTGATTGAAAAAAATACTTAGCAAATTAAGTGAAACGAGAATAAAAAAAACTATTTCATTGATAATAGAAACGAATAATCAAGCTATTTGGCATTTTTTTAAATCAACTTCTTACTGAATATCATCAGAAAAATCTTGTTGAAATTATCTCGTGTGCAACACGACATTTTGTTGCGTGAACTGTCATTCCTCCCGCATTGCGCAGATACGTTAGTAATCGACTCAGTTAAGCGGTAGACCTTTAGTGGAATATTTTCACAAAAAATATAGAAATATCATGGTGGTCCAAAAAATCATAATATTCTATAAAGAAATATATATTTTATATTCAATAAGTTCCTAGAAGTTGAAAATAGTTTTAGTCGATTCTAGAAAACAAGTTTTGTTCATTACATACTGATTTAGTGATGGTGCACAATCTGGCAATCTTTTTAGCATAATGTGTATCCAAAACCTGAATTTTTTAATTATATTTTCAATCGTAAGTTTTGAATGTTTTCATTCAAAATATATTTTTTATAATATTAGTTGACGGGACGAACAAGTTGAGCGCCTAATTAAAATTATTGCTGTCTAATTTTTAATAACAATCAAAAATCAACATCGTCCAATTCAGAAATGACATTGATATCCAGAAATGACATTAAAGCCATTCGTCTTAACTAGTTATTCCACAACGAACAATTAATATTATTATTTTAAAATTAATATATTTTTATTATACCAAAGCCAAATGAATACGATTTTGGTACAGTTTAATAACATTGTTTTACGTTATAATAGTAATAGTAATAACGCACACACTCAACATAACCCCGCACTAGGGAAACCCTGTGTCGCGGGTGCCATGGACACACACATAGACAACCACAAATTACACCCAAACTCACGAGAGAAATAAATGTAGGTCATACAAATATTTCTCCCGGTCCGGGAATCGAACCTGGGACCTTTGCGTGGCAGTCCGGCATGGTAACCGTTCGGCCACGGAGGCAGTTTATATATATAATACATTAATGTTTAAGACTACCTCGGTGGCCCAATGGTTTACAATGTGGTCGCTGGATGAGAGGTCCTGGGCTAGACACTCAATAATTTTAGAAATGAATTTTTCTAAATACGTTCTATTCTGGGTAGTGCCCCGGTGTGAATTTCATTGCTCTGGTACTTATAGTACGGGAATTACCTGGTAATTGGTATGGTTGAATGGCGCTGGTATTATTCTAGTTGACAGCGGTTAATGTTAAAACCAATATGGGAAACGAATTATTCTAAAATTGATCCTGATCTGGGTGTTCTGGGTAGTGCCCTAGAGTTAATTTGGTTGCTTTGGTACTCATAGCACAGGGAATTCCCTCGTTTGAGACCAGGTAATTGGTGTGGTTGTGTCAGTGGGGTAGCTTGGGGGGTGCAAAGGGGGCCATGACCCCGGGCGGAACAGCAATGAGGCGGCGAGCGCGCCAAGCTCTAACTTGTGAACATATTTTTTTTACTTAAAATTAGAAAATAAATTCCACTATTTGAGGAAATGTTATCCTGAGCAAGACAAAGGTGGCGACGGCAGGCGAACATAAAAAACACAATCGAGCCGAGGGTCTCCGAACAGACTATGTACTTTTGTAATCGTCGTAATCGCCCCGGGCAGCAGAAATCGACGCTACGCCACTGGGTAGTCTTGCACATTATTATGATAAAATTCAAGAAATATATTTCAGCTTACAATCACCGCTAAGTAAAGTCCCATTTTGCAGACCCTTCATTCACCTCGTCTCTGGCTTTATTCCCACTGGCGACGAATGGGAAAAAAAAACCATAAGTTACCAGGTGGTGATAAATGGGGTAAAAAATCTCAATTGTTGTCAGAATCGCTAACACGACAAGGTACTACTTGCGCGAGAGCGACATAATGCGGGAGATCTCTCGCTTTATGTCGTTCTCGCCCTAGTCGCGCCCTATCGTGCAAGCCCTACAGTGGTGATTTCCACTGGCGACAAATGGGAAAAAACCCATATGTTTACCAGGTGATGACAAATGGGATAAAAAGATCTGTTGTTGCCACTGGCGACAAATGGAATTTAAAATATCCCAGTAGTTACCAGTTGTAGCAAATGGAATAAAAATCCCAATTAATGTTTGTTTATAGCCGCCAACGAAAGGGAATAAAATTAAAATCGAGGTTAATGATAATAAAAGCCTTATTAAAGAAATCAGTCTGAATTGGAAAAATCAGTCTTCAGTGGAAATCACCACTGGCAACAACTTTTATCACGTTTGTCACAAAGCCTGTAGTGACAAGTGGGAATAAGCGGTTTTGAGCCTTGGCTGTTGGCATAAACTGTAATAAATTTCCTCAATTTTGAACTTACAGGACATCTCCTAAAGAACGACTGTTCAGTGCTTGCTGTGGCCATGAGCCGCGTGGCGACCAAACGCCGCATCGTACTTACCGGTACACCGATGCAGAACAATCTGCGAGAGTACTATTGCATGGTCAACTTCATTAAGCCGAACCTGCTTGGTACTTATTCTGAGTATTCTAATAGGTAAGTTGACATAAACTGCCTTCGGAAGAAAGAAAGGCATAAGCAGTAAACTCTAAATTCGTAGATAAATGTGTTTAATCGGACGTTTTTAAAAATATCGTAATTTTCTCTTTTAACATACTGTGAAAAAAAATTAAAATATTATAACTTCATATAAAAGGCATAACTAATTTAAATGTGACTTTTAATATTTGAATCATGAATAGCACTACAGGGCACAATTGTATTCAGTTGCGCTTTTTTTGTGTTATTATATTGTAATTAAACTACCATAATAACCAATGGAACCATTTTTTTTTGGTGGAAATATATCTCAATAATTGGTGAATATCATCGAGTATATAACCAGAATAGAGACGAAATAAGGGCCATCCAACCCTGGCAACTCATCAGGCAAATGGGCCTTATATCACTTTTGAATATCAACTCTCATTTGCGCTGAAATCACAAATTAGAAAGCTGAAATAGTCCAGCGCCAACAACTGATCTGTGTGTCCGTAGATTCCAAAAATATTTTGTATTTATTGTAATATAAATAATATCTCTAGCAATGGGTGGTTGGTCCATTCGGTGGCGTGGGAAAAATAGCAAAACATCTAATTACAAAACAAACATTATAAAATATGTAATTTTTCAATTTTCGTCCATTATAGCAAAGCTCAAGTCAAGGTTTGATTTGAAGTGAAACAATTGACGACACCCGTCAATTGTTTCGAATTCGGACGGCCCAATCGGAGCGCAGTTGTCACCGTAATGATTTGGCAGACTGGTTTTCAAATAAATTGAATGACATTTCGTCTCTATTTCTGGTTATATACTCGTTGGTGAATATACAGCAAGCTTTTTTACTATAAAAAGTTATATGTGAAGTTTTTGTTATGTTAAAAACATTAATATCCAAGGATTTTATTTAGTAATAAACGGAACTGTGCCCTTGATATAACCTTTTTTTAATGAAAATTGAAATTTTACGAAGGGCTTGTACGGGAAAAATGTGCAATTGTCAATTTAATGACTCGTGTGAAGTTCCCAATCCGCATTAGGCCCGCGTAGGGACTACAGCCCAAGCCATCTCATTGTGAGAGGAGGCCTGTGCCTAGCAGTGGGACTCTATATAGGCTATAGTTTGCCTTTTTTGAAGTCGGAGTAAAATGACACTTGTCGAGATGCCAGTTTCATAAAATTTGAAATAGGTATGTAGTTGTTATCGATTGTTTTATCGATAGATTGTGAAAGAAGATAAAATTATGCCAAAAGTGATTGAAATTGTAAATGTTGCGACGTTCTTATGATTACTAATTACGTTATTGCCTTCTTTATTCTTACTTTGATAGTTGGCCTACTTGTATCGTAATCAATTTTTTTTATTCATATACATTTTAACAAGAATGGCCGGTTTTGATAATCTACATTGAATTAGAATTCAAAACTTAATATGTCTCGTCTTTGTATTTTTCATATACGTCGTTCTTTATACAGTGCATATGCTATGTAGGAACTTACAAAAATTATCAATTTAAATGAACTTGTTTTCAATAATTGGTCGAATGAATAACGGGTCGACGATGATATTTATTCCATAAGCGTGACCAATATTCAGTCGATGGTCGACAGAATATTTATCGACTGCAATCACTAGCTGCTCGCAAGCGGGCAACACTTTTGCGTAGTGAACTGTCATTTTACTCCGTCTTCAAAAAAGACTATAACTAATATATTATAATCGATTAATAATTTTTCCAGATTCGAAAATCCAATAATGAACGGCCAACACCGCGACTCTATAGAAGCCGATATAAAACTAATGAAAGAGAGAACGCATATTCTACACAAAGTCCTAGAAGGCTGTCTTCAGCGACAAGAAGCATCAGTCCTTTACCCGTATCTACCATCGAAACATGAATACACGTTATTCATATCATTAACTCCCGTGCAATGGGACTTGTACAAATACTACGTACAGAACTATGCAAATCAGAACAAACAGTGTGTGCTAAAAGACTTTCATGTGCTGCAAAAGATCTGGTCTCACCCTCAAGTGCTGCATAACTTCCAGATGAAAGCAAGAAATCAGATTGTTAACAAACTTGCCACAATGAAACGTAAGTTGTATTATTCTTGTTTGTCTCTTTTAACAATTACTCTGTTATTTTGTATATATTTTGCTGTATATATATATTGTATATACATATATATATATACAATTTTCTTAACCTAATACAAATATATTGAAATATACGTGTGTGTGTGTGTGTTTGTTTTGTGTGTCATATGTTAAAACCCAGACTACGATGATTAGAATATGTTGTATACACCAAGGTATATAGGTAAGTGTAATGTATAAAAGTATTTACTTTATAACTTAAGTAGTAACCTTCATTAGAGCCTCAGTCTCTTCATAATTTAACTTATGTAGCCATTGAACTACAGATCTTTTACAGTCATGTAAGTTCATGTGATAGATGTTTAAGATTTTATTTATACGGTTATATAAATGAGTTGATTGCTTTTTAAGTTGACGACTGGCAAATGTTGTTTTTACAATATGTCGGGGGACAACAAGGTATTGTCTTCTTCTGTTCACGTTGTTAGGATCGTATGGAAGATGTTTATGTACTTTTACAATAGTCTGTGCTATGTACAGTTTTTTGACAGAAAGAAGCTTACTAATCGAGTATAAGTTGGTCAGTTGGGAACCTATAGGATGTAAAGAGCATTACTTTCAATAAAAACCGCTGAGCCCGTTCAATTTCTATAAATTTTGTCTTTGCTGCCCCTCCCCACACAGAAATAGAGTAAGTGATCACAGACTGAGCCAGAGCGAGATAGATAATAATTATTAACTCTTTTGTTGCTATATGTCTAAGAATTTTAAACATCCATGTTAATTTCCGGATTCTATTAGCTACTTGCTCAATATGCGCGTACCAGGAAAGACGTTGGTCTATTATAACACCCAGATATTTAGTGGAGGATACTTAACAATATGTGCACAGTCACAATTTTGCGCCGTGATTCTTCCATGAATCTATGAACTTTTAACCCAAAGTCGCTGCCTGGCTGTGTACTACTGTACATCGAGAAACATATGTAATTGGTTTTATAGGCGTTTAATGTAAGAAGGTTTGTCTCAAGCCAATCAGCGACTCCGGCAAGCCCTCTCTCAGTCTCTTCACGTACCTCGTCCCATGAGGCACCCGAAAAACAAGAGCTGTGTCATCAGCGTATGGATGACATTCTAGATTCAAAAACCAATGCACGAAATGAGCTACTTGAAATTAATGCAGGTCGGAATGTTATTGATTTCCCCGTCTTTTTCAACAATTATCAATAATAATAATAACATTGTTACATTTAGATAGAGATACAACAAAGGCTAATAGTATATTATATGCATAGACGTGTCGCTTGCCACCCGGCCCACGACTTGTTCGTCACTTATAAAAAAATTATTAAATTCTCCTTATCATTGAACAGCGGAAAAGTTAGAAGACGATCTCGCCCAAGCGGACCTTGCGGCCTCGGAAGACATAAAACCCGAAGATGTGAAACCAGGAGACATGGACAGGTGGTGGCTGGAGTACCTCGACGGAGGCAATATGCTCGACTCGTTAGACAGCTCCAATAAGTTCGTTGTCGTTTTTCGCATTCTGGAAGAATGTATATCGCTTGGTGATAAAGTGTAAGTGTATGATATTAATATTGCTGTTATTCATTTCTGTAGCAAATAACTAGTGTCCTAAAATCACATTGTATATCACAATGGATTTAGTACTTTCTATTGTTTCCACGTACTCCAGTTTCAATGAAAAGTGCACCTTAATTATATTTACATTAGGCATATTTTTAACACCGACCATACATCTCTGTCACGTAAAAAAAGAATGCGTCCATATTCATGAAAATTTGCTTTTTCATCGTCCTTTTTTACTTTGTGTTCTAAAAGTACAGTGTTTCGTTTGTACCGACACGACATAACATGTACATTTTTCTTCTTTAATCTAAAGGTGTTCCGTTGATGTGTTGAAATGTGTTTTCAAATATAATGTTACGGCCAGTTTTGGATAGGATTGTAAATGCCTTGATTCAAAGTAACAACTTTGATCAACCGTGATCCATTTCTGATTATGATACACGATATCTATGGTATTCATTACCAGGAGTACAATTAAAGAGTTAACACCTTAAAGGTTTAAATGATTTTTGCAGACTTATATTCTCAACATCTCTTTTCACCATGGACTCTTTAGAGTACTTTTTGAAAAAGATAAACAAGTGGAGCTTAGGCCAAGAATACTACCGGCTAGACGGAAGCGTGCCCGCCGAGGTGCGGCAAAAGTGGTGCCGTGAGTTTAACGCTGAGAACAATCATAAGACCAAGTGAGTATGCTGATGGTTCCGTAAGATTATTTTCACCACACCTGCTCATTGTTACTACGAAGTATAACAATGATTTTTTTTATTGGGACAGTATGGGGAAATGAAATCCGAAACTATAGGAGATACAGGGATACTGTTTTAGGAACAATTAAGTATTTTTTAGTCAAGCGCGAATTGTCCATAAAAATTAATAAAATTGATTATTTTTGTGTTAATCGACTCAGTTTCTTGTAAGGATCATTTCATTGTATTGGAAGAAAAATTCGGGACAGCAGAAATTGGTCAAATTCAATAAAATGTCTTTACTTCATACTGTCCCACTTAAAAAAACACACTGTGTAAATTGTGTAGTAAAACTAAGTGACCTAAAAAAGCTGATTTTTTTCTTTTTAATGAAGATTTAATTTATTGGAACTAATACAAATGGCTTTATAATTTGTTGTTTTTATAAGGTATATACTGATATCATGGCATATATAAATTTAAAAGATTTTTTCCTTTATTCATATAACGTCAAAGCAAAATATTTAGGCTCAAATAAATCATTATTTATTCTGTGTATAAGTTTTTCATCTTATATATTTAATTTTTTTGAAATATAGTATACATAAACTATAATGTAGTATCCATAAACTATAAAGTTAAGTCCTAATTATCCTTTTTTGATATGGCTTTGTATGATATGGTTGTGTCATTCTTTCGTGCGAATTCTCTAAAATCCGAGAAAAATGCCTTATTGCACTGTTTTGGAGTGCAAAAGTGATAGCCGCACCAAATATATTACCTGTGGTGGTATTTCCTATTATCGGAAAGTCTTATTTAAAAAAATTTAAATTTTCTGTTTATCGAAATATTTTTTTGTTACAAGAAACGAAAGTAAAGCTTATACCCCTGCAATATGGTCGATTCGTTTTTGGAGAACTAAATTAATAACTCCAATTCGTCGTCGTTCAGCCATTAACAGCTAGATGGCGGTGCATTGATTGAAATTTCAATATAAAATCAAAACGTCGTAACTTGCAATAATAGGTATTCATGGTATTGAACTTTCAACGATATGCCAACAGGGTAAAGTTTAAATTATATTTAGAATCCAGAATTTGTTATTTCTTCTAAATTTGAAACTACGACCAATCAATATCAAGGTTTTGTAGTGTTGCAAATGAAGAATGTGTGAGTTTTGGCGACATCGATTCGTATAGTATTCGAGGCTTATGGTTCAACTCACACTGGCGCAGAGTCGAAGCGTCGCGTCGCGTCCTGTTTTTCAACTACAACGCTTTGCGACGCGCGACGACACTCTCATTAGTGCGCCCGAATCACAGTGTGGTCGGCGTCTGACGCCTCACTGCGCTCAAGTGACGCGATCGATTGCATCCAGGCGTCGACGCCCTTCTCCATATTTGCATAACACAAATTTGTACCTTAATAATGGGAAAATAAAAATGAATATACTATAGACGAAAAACATGACGCGTCACCATGTTTCGGCTCTGCGCCAGTGTGAGTTGAGCCTAAAGCTCATTGTTTTTTTTATTCCGTGGTTCATACCATTGTCCGACACGCTAGTCCAATACGGGTTCGGAACTTCAATGTTTCCCAAGGACCGTGAAACGTCTTCGAAATGCGTATTTCATCACGATATTTTCTTTCACCGTTAGCGAGAGGTATTGCTTCAAAATATCAACTATTACGTAACTTCTAAATTAGAGAATTAATAGTCGTTGGTATGTGCCACCACCAGATTCGAACCGTAGTGAAATAAGAGAAGTATGGTTACTCCATACAAAGCAACAGCACAGCTTGTATGTGTGCGCGACCGCAGCATGCCGTGTACGAACGTATACATTCGCATAATCTGGCGATGCATTTGTGCTACATAACACTGGTCGTCCCAAAACACGGAATATTTTATCCATACAGATTTAAACCATAAAATCGATAAATCGCATCGACTATTTTGTATCTCGCATCAATACTAGTGTATACACCTTGTATGCCATTGACTTACAAATAAATGGACGACGGGTCTAATACAAAAACCACGAAAAAAATGTCCCAAGTCAATCTATTCGAAATTTAAATTGTAATGTCATCGCAGTATCGCGCTGTCAGTAGAACAAATGAAGACTAAAGCGGAGTGTCGCGCTCTGTATACGATTTTAGCGCCTTAAAAGTGCGGACACTTTTTAGCGCGGACCCGACGTCCATATAATTGTAAGTCAATGTTGTATGCGGATCGTTTTCTTTTGGTTTTGAGCTTCGCGTGATGTTTTTGAGGTAATTGTTCAAATTTCGTTTCGTTGCAGTTGATTTTATGCTTTGTTGTTGACTTTTTAATTAGTTGCTGTTGATTTTTTATTTGTTGTGTAATTTTCTTGGTTATTAACATAATAATTGAATCTTTTCTATTTTGTTTATTTATTATTAAATTAATGTAAGTCGATTCTCTCTTCGTTACAAATTATCTCGATAAGGCATTTAAATCGATTTTTATTTCATTCGATTTTTCGTCACTATATCTCTAGAAACTGCAAACGTTACCAGAATCATGCTTTATGGGATGAACGCATTTATTCGACACGAATTTTATCGCGTTCACACCGTCGCCAAGCGGAGTCCACGTGGCCGCCGCACAGCGACCGCGTGCATTTAACTGTCATGGCAAAATACGCTCTATTTATTTAGTTCTTACGTTTTAACTTAAATGAGCATCCCGGGCATGCGGGCGAGTCTGGCTTAAATTTGATCTGCGCGGTGGCCGCGCGGTTGTATTCTTCAGAGGAATTTAAATACTGTTGCCTAGACTATAGAATTCAGATTCGCCGTCAATGTTCATGAAGGCGTTGTAACTGGGCGCTTAGGCTATCATAGTTGTCATACAATATCGGAATAGAATCAAATCTGTCATAATTTTTAGTATAGTCTAATAATTGCATACACCAAGACGCCCATTAATCTTAATAAACTATATGTAAATTTATAGATTATTCCTTATCTCAACCCGTGCGGGTTCACTGGGTTTGAACATGGTGGCGGCCAACCGCGTCATAATCCTCGACACGTCATGGAACCCAGCCCATGATATACAGAGTATATTCCGAGTTTATCGCTTTGGACAGAAGAAGGATTGTCACATCTATCGACTGGTTGCTATGGTAAGAAATCCTTTACGATATGAAATTATTTTCACAGGTGACAACTTCGGTAACCTTTGAATACAAGACGACTTTTTTATTTTCAAGACGTTTAATAACTATCCAAAGCTTAATAGACGTTTTTTCTTTTACTCTCACTGGACACTAAAACATTGCAATACGACTCGTCAAAATTAGCAAAAAGAAAGTGTACGTTCTGTAGTTACTGCCCGCGCCCACACTCGTTATTTCATTCATAAACAAAATTTCAATTCTTTTTTTCATACTTTGACGTGCTTAGGACCACCAAATTGCAAGAGCCTTCTGCTATTCTCTTAGAATTTAGACGACCTCTGTAATCGAATGGCTTGCACACCGGTTTTCATGGAGGTCCCGGGTTCGATTCCCGGCCGGGTCAATGCAGAAAACTTACTTTTCTGTTATATCTCCAGTCTGGATGTTTGTTGTACAGTCGTTGTTTCCGATTTCCATAACACAATTGGTTTAGTTACTTACTTTGGGATCAGTTCCGTGGATCAGAGCATCGTATGTGATTTGTTGTCTAATAGCTACTTAAAACTAAAATAGAATCCGTTATTAACCGAATACAATTTATTTAGTGATATCACATATTAACTTACGTCGAATTAAAAAATACAGTACGCTGTATACATAAATATGGAAAACAAAAAATAATAATTAATTTTTCCCAATGTTTATTGAAGTAATAGCATTTAAGAGCTCTTCAGAGACGCTCAGCAGCCCTAACACGATATTTAATAACGAAAATCTAAGAAAGGGACACATTACTGTAAATTAAAATTGCTAACATTTTGTTCTTCAACTCTAGAACCGCTACTTTGATTACAGGGCACAATGGAACAGAAGATCTATGAGCGATCTGTGTCGAAACAGGCGGTGGCGTGCCGCGTAGTCGATGAACAACAAATCGAGCGGCACTACAACATGGCTGAGCTTACAGAACTCTATCGGTAAGAATTATGTCAAAAGTGTCTTTGGGATGTAAGTGTTGAAAAGTATCTAGGATATGACTCTAATATAGGTATCAAAAAGTTGTAAAAAAAATTTAATTGAATGAGTGAATTAAGATTACCGTAATTAGTTCTAAGAAATTTAAGTTCAAGTAGTTTTATTTCATGTAGTACTTATTTACGAACTTTAGATATGACGAGAGTGGCTTAGGCGTAGCTGGTGGCGTAGCAGCGGGCGTGCGCGATGTAGCACTGCTACGCGTAGCTCGCTTGTCAGCGCTACACGCAGTCCACGAGCACGACTCGCTACTACGCGGGTCCGCCGAGCCTTCGCTGCCGGAGGACGAACGCGCAGCTGCCTGGATGCAGTTTCAAGAGGAACACGCTCACAAACGTATGTTAAAGCATCTAATGCCCCATATACATATTATTATAATGGTCACACCTCCCGTATCAAATTCAACTAGCTCACTCGAAAGTAAAATAGCGCTCGTTATGAGTTTTCATTAAAACTGAATATGTGATCTATTCTTGATCCATCCGTGATCCATTTTTGATAATGATAGTAATTACTATCCTTATATATTAATTACGTCCAAAATTTTTGGACTGTTTAGACTAACGAACAACTCGAATGACTCTTGTGGCAATTAAAAAATTAAAAAATTGTGATTCATTTCTGGTAATTAATTATGTATGCGTATTTCATATTAGTCTATCACAAATGACTCGTATTTATTAGTGTTCTCTTTCAATTTCTAAAATTAGAAACCAGTAATCATGCTGTTTATATCTTTCGCGTACAGAGCGGCAAAATCAGCTAACATCAGGCCATCTCAAACGCAACAAACCAGTAAAAACAGTAAATGACCACGATTACCAGCTGCCGCTACCCGAAATACCCGAATCATCTCATTTACTCCAATACCCGCAACTTTCTAATTTAACCGAAATCAAAACAGACACTTCAACCGCAGTGCCAGAACCTAAACATAAAAAACGCAAGAAACCAATCAAACTTAAAATATCTTTACCGCCTGCCCCACAAGTACTTGAACAAAACAAAGAAGCTAAGTCCATACAAGATGGAATGGTAAAGAAAATTATGGACATTCTCGTTAGTCGCAACCAAACTCAAAATGCACAGGAAATAACCAAACTAGTCGCTAAAGTACGAAAAATAGTTGCTTTCGGACAAATTGATCAGGAAAGTTTCGAAGATGAAGTGACACAAACTGTAGCAAATGTTTTACTTGGTAAGGAGCCTATGCCTCCGACAACTGTTGCAATGCCACAAGAGACCGCTCCTAAGCCACCCGTGAGCGACGTTAAAACTGTAAAGGACGTTAAACAAAAGAGAGGAAGAGGTAGGCCGAGAAAACCTGTACATAAAACACTGGAAGAAACTTCAGCTGAAATTAGACATGAAAAATCTGTGAAGATATGTGAAAAAAAACCTGATGCACATGAGGAAGAAAAAATAGAAGACGGCAAAAATCGCAGAAAAGCCGCAATTGTAGCCAAGAAACAAATAAATTCAATTGACGACGAAATAGTTGACTTGGATGCGGACGACGACTGGCCAGGCGCTAGCGACAACGATTATACTCCTGAACAAATTACACCTAAACAAAAAACTGAAAAACCAAAACCAAAATCGAAGAAAGAACAACATAGAACTGTGGAACCTGAAAAAGAACAGGACATTGTGAAAAAAGAATTAAACACTGAAATAAATAGTATACTATTGAGTGACGATGATGATGCTCCGGTTCAAAAATCGACAAGTAAAAGTGAAAAATTAAAAGCTACTGTGGATGCGCCAATTCCATTACATCCTTCACTATTAAGTAATAAGAATTTCATAAAGATTATAGCGCATACGTATCTCGAGGGTAATTCTAGTTTGGATGAAGATGCGGCTACTTTAGCAGCTCAGTACAGTGCTTTGAAGGCTCAGAAGGAGGTTGAAACAACTGGAAAACCGATTGACAGCGGACCTATTTACGACATCGCCTTTAAGGTGCGTGTTAGTGTATAGATTTTCTGAAGCTAGTTCTGATACAGAACTAATTGAATATTTATGAGCGGTTACACACGCCGACTCTTAGCAGCGTGTTTGCAGCGATTCAGTCGCTAATTGTTCATCTTTGCACGCACTCGCAACTTGAGCAGCAATACAATCGCGATGCAAACACGATGCAGTCGCAGTGGCAGTGATACGATCACGACGGTGCAAACGGGCGAAGATGCAATCGCCAGTAAATCGCTAGTGTCGCGATGTAATCATCGCCGTGTGTAACTGCTCTATGAGTTATGGTTCAAGATTTATTTACATTTCTCTCACAATTATAAATCATCAGTATGCGCTCCGGCAGACCCAATCATGAATTAAGAAAATACGCCAACGCAAAATAATTGTGATCAATGGAAACTTCAATGTTATTGTCATTAATTAAAAATATTATAAATTCACTTCAACAGGTACTTGGTCCAGATATTATAGCGAAACTCTACAAAACGAATTCTAAAACAGTGACAAAGTGTGAGCCGTCCATATCAAGAATCAGGAATGATTCACAAGATAAGCCAATAGCTAAATTAAAAGCCAAAACTATTGCGGAGTTGACTGGTAAAACCAAACCACCAACTCCACAAAAAGATATAATACCTGAGTCTCCTCAAATAAAGGCGCAAGTACCGCAAGCGAAAGTGAAGAAATCCAAAACAAATCCTGGGTTCGCGAAAATAATGGCGACGGGAGTTGCTATGTCTGCCGCTGGATCTTCTGAGACTACTGCTTCGCCTACTGTCGTGCCTATTGGAATGTGAGTATATTTTCTTTGATTATAAGCAAATATGCATGTGGAAAGACACCGCGTCGTTAATTCTGTTCTAGAGATTTCCTTTATTCCTTGTGTTATGAACAGTATTGACAGCTCATTACCCCACCGGACATTGGATATTTGCTCCCTCCTTTCGCAGCACCACTAAGGAGCTTGTCACTCTACACAGGATTTTGTAACATACTAACAACCTCGCAGCGCTTATTACTAATATTGTAAATAACAACTGTTCCGTTACTTATAAAAAATAAAATATTTAAATAGATCGCTCCTAACAGTGAACTCTGTGCGGTAATGAAAGAAAGCGTTAGCGTAAATACCAATCCGATGCAAAACGCAAGAGCGGGGCTGGGTTTCGTCGAGGAGGACACTTGCACGTTTGAACTTACTGCAGATCTGAAAAGTGTCAGATAGTACAACAAAAACTATTTTTTTGTAAATTTATTAAAGTTGTTGTTTATGTAATAATAATATAATCCTGCGAGGTTATTATTATTTTAAAAAATAATCCTGCATATTCATTATAGTTGAATACTACTCATTAAAACGTGGCATCTATAGATTGGGCTGTCCGACACATTGTGGGAAAAAACGCTATCCAAAAATTACCATCCTTCTGCCAATGACGGTGTGTGTAAGGAGATCGTACTCGTCAATCTTTGGTGTTATGTGTAAGATGGAGACAATAGCGGTCAAGCTATAGGTATGGATTATGGAACTTGTACAGAAAATTCGTGATTCAGTTTATAATTTTACTACAGGCGACATTGCGGTTTTTTTATTCCAAGTGACGGGACGAACAAGTCGTGCGTCCTGGTGGTAAGCGACACACCTTTCCATAACAGTCGCAGTGCTGTTCAGAGATTTACATAGCAAAGATCTGAGGGGCACTGCCACTGCGCCCGTCACCCTGAGGCAGGTTGAAAAGTATGGGACTTTTCTGCCTGTAATCTCATCAGCACTCTTACCCTTCAAAACCAGTACACAGAAATGCTCACATTACTGCTTAGCAGCAGAAATAGGTAAGGTGGCAGTACTTCCCTGGACGAACTCTTTCACAAGAAGCTCTAAAGTTGCGTTTAGTTTTTTAAATTGTATATTTTTTACACAGGTTTGCAAGAGCACACAGCATAGCAGAGACAACTCAAATATCCACACAACCGAAAGAAGAAAGCATATTACCTGACGACGACGTCATCATCAGTGACAATCTTACACCCACTATATCGGATAATCTAGCTCCGAAGAATAAGCATCTCCTTCCAGTCAATAAAGTGACATCACAAGGACCTCCAATACCGAAAATAAAAATCTCAAAAGGCAAAATAGTGCTATCCCCTTCTTTAGTTATACCACCAGCAAATACCACTGTACAGAAACCCAGTGTTGTTTCTGATACTGCAAGTGATACGATCTGCTTAGATAGTGACGAAGAAGAAACTATCACCCCTACTGTGCAACCAACTTCAAACGCTCGTAAATTAGTAGCGGTGAAATCTACTGCTAAGCAACAGCAACCTGTGCCTGTACAATTGACAGCGGCGAACCCGATCAATCCTGGACAACCCCAGATTATTCCTGAATCAATACCAACTTTACAAACTGGAGTCATTAATCTTGGAAAATCCCAAAATGCGAATTTCGTTGTAATCCCAGCATCGCATGCCAGTAAACTTACCAAACTACCTCAGGGCTCCATACCACCCAATGTGAACATTTCAAGACTCTTTGTTGGCTCGCAAAACACCGCAGTCCCAATGCAGATACCAAATAACGTTAATTTGCTAAATCCTCATTTAGACGGCTTACTAAGCTCAAAAAGTGTGATAATGAATCAAATGCCCCAAAACCTCAACTTTGTCAACCAAATACCTCAAAATCTGAACATGTTGAATCAAAATTTGAATGTTGGACCTCAAGCATCGTCCTTCACCTTACAACCTCAAAATATTAACATAGTTGGTACTATCCCGACAAAAGTAATTACAGCCCCACAGATAATTAGCTCGCCGATAGGGACTATAAACCTTGGATCAATATCAACCACGGGTACTTCCACTCAAAATGTAAGCAGTTCAGAATCAATACTCCCAACTCTTCCGTCTAAGACCTTGTCAAAACCAGGACCTGCGTCTAGCAAAGCTAGAAACAAAACCCTATGCAAACCGGGTGATATACTGCGTATCACAAAAACTGGTCAAGTGGAAATTCTCAATAGGGATGATAATGATGCTGCAGTGGGCCAGCTTAAAGCAACTACATCAAAGAAACAAACAAATGACCCTCAAACCTCAGTCTCACTGTCGGACGACGAGGAACCTGAACGAGTTTCTTCAAAATTTAGCAAGGTCGAAAGCAAAACGAAAAAAACAAAAAGATCTCGTAAAATATCTTCATCGAGCAGTAGCAGTGACAACAGTTCAAGACCATCTAGTCCAAATGATCCTTTATCTATATTGAAAGACGTTGTGCACATTCAAGCATCAGAAGATCCTTTCCCCGTCGAAAATACGCCGACAAAATCAAATTTACGACCGGAAAAGGTTGTCGGAAGCACTTCAACAAAGAAGTCGGCATCTTCAACACCTTCTAAAGCTACTAGAAGTCAAAATGATCCTATGCCTAAAGTGTCACAAGCTAAAAAAGATAAAATTTTAGATCAAATCAATAAAACTAATACAGTGTTAATGAAATTGAACGATGTATTTGGGCCGGCGACTGAGGGAAAAGGAAAGAATCAGAATATAGGAAAAATTGATTCAGTAGATCTGACTGACGCAACTCCTTCCACGAGCTCTGTCCTAGACAAACTGAGTAGGGATATAAAGATTGGTAAAGCGTCAAACAATACTCCTACTAAGATAGTCGGCACCTCGAAGAATATCATTCTAACAGGCAGTGGAAAAGCTACGGTGGCATCTGTAGAGAACCAGTAAGTATTATTTTTACAAGTTTTCGTATTTCCTTGCTTTGACTAAACATTATACGATAATGTAGGTCTCTACCCCTAACTAGTTCGGGAACATGTAAATAAATGGTATCAAGGTAGGCGAAGAAATAATGAAGAATATTATTGAGTAGATATATCTTTACTAGAAAAATTAAATTCAAAATAATCAAAGCTACAAACTGAGTATATAGATAAGCGCGCGCGTAAGTCTTTTTAGCTAGAAGCAGTCCCGGGTGGTCGGTTGGGAGTGGGCGCGTAGCGATAAACCCTCACAGGAGCACGGAGGAGAGAGGCATGCAGCGGAGGGAAGACTTCTGCGACATCATCGATCAATTAATTCTGTTAAGTGACATAACGTTATAGTTTTACATTTTTTGCTAAAACATCTGGGTATCATAATTTTATAATAAATTGCCCCGACAACCGTGCCAATCACGGTGTATTTGTCTCCTTTTTAGGAGCCCAAAGGAGCCTAAACTTTGTAAAAGAATTTAACAACGATTGGCTAAAGCGGTGTACAAGCACTTCAACGAATTTAAATGAAACACATTTGCAGGGCAAAGAAGTCGATTCGCGTGACTAACGTTGAAATCATGCCGGCGACACCCGCCTTCAAATCTTGGACGGTTGCGAAGAAACGCTCCTCGACTGCCTCAACTAGTGCCGCTAAAAAGAAAAAGACAGGTGAGCACATTTACTACTTACACGTACTTTGAGGTAGCTTCATGGAAACATTTTATCACGTTTGTATTCCACTGTGGTAAGCGGAAGCTATGGATTTCCACCCGCTACGCTGTTCTCATAACTCATTAGCTTCCTCCACATACATTTGCCCACATTTTCGTACTCACCTGTTTCTTGGCTCTACTTTAGGATACATTCATTCTGGTTGAAATACTCGTATATACGACGAGGTCGATATTTCCCCACGTTCCTGAAAGTATAACTAGTTTCATTGCGTTGAGTGCGCGCTGCGAATACTGTAATTCAATAGCTTGGATATTTTTTTAAGAATCTTAAAAATTCATTATTTAGGCTTAAAAATAAATAAAATTATGCTTTTAGAAGCACTAAAAATAAATAAATAGAAAATGCACATTTTTGAGTAATGCATCAAGTCTTGTCTGCCTTTGTCTGTGTGTGGCAACGTAGCACCCAAGCGGATGAACTCTACTCAAAGAGATTTTTTTATTTGAAAGCTATGTTGAGTGTGTGCGTTATTTATTATTTATTTAATTTTATTGAGATGATTTTTAGTTATGTTTAGTGTTTGATGAACATAATTATCCTCCCAGTTACTATAGGGATCTCAGAGTCGTATTCCAGAACTCTACTCAATACTCAAGTCAGGACTTGAGTATTGCAGTGAGCATTGAAAATCATACTCAAGGCCTGGCCATTAGGGTCGTATTTCCAGTGCTTGAAATCATACTCAAGTCTGCTCAAATCCTGACTTGAGCATTGAGTAGAGTTCTGGAATACGACCCTAAGTCATAAGATAAATAAGTATTTCCACTTGTCTGATTTATTTGAAATTTAATTGTAATACTATCGATATCCGATGATACTACTATATGGTATGTTATCTTGATCTGATGCTGCAACCAGAGCAGTTTGCACTCTACGCAACTTTTCAATTATTTACAGTGAACTACCATATTTGGGCTCATTAAATTTACATCTACGTGTTATTAGGTTACATATAGTGATTTATTGCCTTTTTAATTTTTTTTTAAATTTAATTACGCCTAGAGTGAAGGTGAAGATTTCGGTCACACATATAAGAAAGACCTTTCCTTTTTATTTAATGTTTTTAAAGAATATCTCGTAATATTGCAAATAACACTGTGTAAAAAGCATCGTTTGATGAATAAAACCATTTAGTACAAAACAAGATATGCTAACAACAACATTTTACAACAGACAATTATTTCTGACAATCTATATCCAAATCAAATACGAGTAGAGTTTCATTCCGGATTTGTTCCGAGTTTTGGCAAAAGAAATAACAAAAGATTATTGTCCCGCCGCCCGCCATCCGGCTTCACCTCCCTTCCTCGCTTTGTGCCTGCATGACCATTTCGTGGTCTTTCATAGATTGGCTTCAATGGGAATAGTAATAGTCATATAGAAGCATTTTGTAATAATATTAATAAATTTGAAAATAACTCAATTTACCATAAAAAAATTTGTTGCAATGTTTGTTCAGAGATTTTCGATCTTATTACTACTGAAAACTCCGGCTTTTCTTGCTAATGTCAACCTTACATAATAGATAGACATGGCAAAAACGTCTGTTTGTCAATAATCTCAAAGAACTGCCTCCGTGGCCGAACGGTTACCATGCCGGACTGCCACGCAGAGGTCCCAGGTTCGATTCCCGGGCCGAGAGAAATAGTTGTATAGCCTACAATTATTTCTCTCGTGAGTTTGGGTGTAATTTGTGGTTGTCTATGTGTGTGTCCATGGCACCCGCGACACAGGGTTTCCCTAGTGCGGGGCTATGTTAAGTGTGTGCGTTTAAAAAAAAAAAAAAACAATTATACTGTTGTGCGATTTTTTAACAACTGTTATTGTAAACTGTTGTCAGAAAACCTGTTATTCTGCTGTTTTGTAATTTTGCATACAATATGACAATGATAGCGAATGATTATTGTGTAGTGTTGCCAGACGGTTACATTTCTTACATTTTTCGTAACTTTTGATGGACAGGCGTGTAGCTTGCTACCAGGCGCACGAATTGTCCGTCACTTGATATTATAAAAAAAATCTTCTGGCGTAATACGTAAATAATTTTTGTTAAGGCAATTTAAAAAAAAAAAGTTACTATTTTTTTTTTTTTTTTGTCGTCGAGTTGCGGACACCAGCCCGTTACACCAAGTACCAAGTACTAGTTTAGTTTAGATTTTGTTATTGTTAATCCTAAATAGTTTACGAATGCACCCAAATTAAACCAAAAACTAACTTAGATATCATGCTAATAAGGTGAAATCAATAAATTACCGGTTATAGCTTGATTTTTCTTGAGCGTACTTACTTTTTTATTTTTAGGATTTAAGCGTATATAATATATTTTACAATTGCAATTTTTAATTTAAAAATAAAACGAACTTGTAAAATGTAAAATTTAAATTTGTAAAACGTAGACAAAAATATAACTTTTGTAATTTTCGACTCAAGGGCCCTGGCAACACCACGGCAACACTGTTGTGGAACCTGTTATTTGAGATTTCAGACATTCGCAGATAATGGGCGACTATCCGCGATTCAAATTCATTCAAATCAAATTGTTATTGTTATAAATCTATTGTAGCCATTAATCAATAAACAAAAAACAAATTGTAAAAGCTGTACTTAAATTGATTAATAGTAACTGTCGATATCGAATATTAAAATCGACATTATTCCAATTGCATAAAGCTCAAAATCGTAGTTTCATATATTTGACTAATAACAGTAAGATAATAAGTTTAATAACAATAAAACATAAAATGAGAACGAGTTTGTGCTGAGAAAGAGAGACTTTATGCTGTGCACTGAAATATTATAATCGTAACATTTGCAAATCGTTGCATCGTCTAATCATCTCACTGCCTATGGGCTATTTATTGCGTACGTGCTTGTTCGCGCGACCCAATCGCAACAGCAGTTTAGACAGTTGTTCGATACTAAGTTATATATTGCTTAAGAATAAAGGATTACTTAATCTGGTGTTGTAATAATGATCACCTCTAATTAACAGGTATTCACTCTAATCCGGCGATATGCGCCCAGAAGTTTCAATAAGGCTGTATATTAAGTTTTCCCGTTGTTGCTGTCGTAAAACTCTCATTGAATTTAAAATTCGCGTGTTAAACTTTAAAACTGCTTTTCTGTTACAGGCTCGGCTCTAGATGACCTGCGGTTCTTCAACTGCGACGATGAAAATGATAATTCTAACATTGACATGAATATTGACATCATTGAATTGGAGTAATATCACACAACCCGTTTATACGGTGTGGTTTTTAGAGATAAAAGAGATGTAGAACACCTAGTTATTAACTGGACCATCTTTAGTCAAGTAATGGAGTCTTCAAACAATATCTTGTTTACTTACTGCAACTAAAATGACTAATAACCAATGTTAGGCCAAGCCCGAGTCTGGTATTAATAGTATATCGGATGAGATGTCAACCAGTCATTCTCAGACTAGTGTCCACTAACTAATTTCCGTGGCAATTTTTATTATTTAAATATTCAAGTATATTAAATAATATTTTACAATACAATACTCGAATATTAAATAATATTGCACGATAAACAATCGAATACTTAAACAATAAAAATTGCCACGGAAATTACGTAGTGAACACTAGTCCGAGAATGACCGCGATATTTCCTGTATTTATAAACTCAGGGTCGTATTCCAGAACTCTACTCAATACTCAAGTCAGGACTTGAGCATTGCAGTGAGCACTGAAAATCATACTCAAGTCCTTGCCATTAGGGTCGTATTTCCGTTTTTGAATTGACAACACTAAGGGTCGTATTCCAGAACTCTACTCAATGCTCAAGTCAGGATTTGAGCAGACTTGAGTACGATTTCAAGCACCGGAAATACCACCCTAATAGCAAGGTCTTGAGTATGATTTTCAGTGCTCACTGCAACACGCATGTCCTGACTTGAGTATTGAGTAGAGTTCTGGAATACGACCCTTAATCTATGAGAACTCGTTGAGGTACATACAATTGGCATTTATTATTAGTAAGATATTCTTGCAATTGAGATGCTTTCGTTAAAACAAGTGTATCCATACTATTTCGACATTATTGAACTCGATTCGTATATTGATTTGCTTTTATAAATATATCAAAGTTTGAATGTATGAAAATTGTCACACGTGGAAGTGTTAACTTCGGTAGAAATAACCACTCCTCTATTTGTATAGGAAAAGCGTAGGGTTATAGTAATGTATTAATAAGTATTTGTATCGATTAGATATCATTATCTTATCTTGTACGACAAATTTATAAAATATAATTCTTATGAGCAGTGCACAGTTATCTGATTCAGATTTCGTACCGTGTACCTTAATTGTCGACTAGCACGATATGTTTTGCATGCATTGTGATCACGGAAAGTCTATGGCTTGACACTGACTGCTGTTGGAATTCAAAATTACTTGAAATACAATTAGGCACAATTATAACTGGAATCCATATATTGTAACCGCTTAACTTTACAACAAAGAACCAGTGGTTCTGCAGTCTAGCTATTCAACAAAAACGGTGCGCTTTAAAATACGTTCCAAAGTGCCTCAAAACCTCGCCACGGCGATACTAATGTTTGTATTCCCATTCATCAATAACCCCTGCAATCAATACAATCATAATTATCAATAGTGATATGACCAAATGAACAAACAAACTAAGATTGTAACTAGTTTTTTGGGGTCTGGAGAATATCAGTTTTTTTACAATTGACGTGCATCACAAGTGCTCCTATACATAGTAGTAGCCTTCCCTTTTTATTCGTAAACTAAGCTACATGTCCTTAGAACTAACTGTAAAGTACAGTCGATTTTAAGTTCTTTTCCATTGTGATATGAATCAGAATATTGATTGTAGAATTTATCTTGTGTTTTTGACAAAGTGATCTGTTTTGTTCTTAAGTTTGTAACTGAAGGTGTTTGTATTAAAAAAGGGTGATTATGAGAAATCGATCAGGTAGTAATTGAAAGATCTTTAAGTGTGATTTTTGGAAATATTCGAAATATGCCTTATAGGCATAAAATATGGCATAGTCTGATTATGTTTTACCTGCAGATCGTTTCTGTCGTTGGTGCAATTAAATAACATTTCGGATCGTGGTCTAGTTTTCAACAGGCGTACGAGCATTATTAAAAGCGAGTTGTGATATTCGAATACTAAGGACGCCTTCAAATTAGACGCTTGTAGAAGCGCTACAGTGGCGCAGCAGCCGCGCGTTGCGTCTTACTTCACTAATTGTTACTGCAAAAGTGACGCACGTGTGTCACAACCGTGGCGCCGCGACTGCGCTTCCAGATATTGTATGAAAAGTAATAGTGTCGCGGCTGCCGCGCTTCAAAGCTCAGCGTCTGCTTTGAAGGCGTCTTAATGCAACTAATGCTAAAAGCTCGAAAAATTGGGACAGCTCTGAAATAGGTATACAAGATTTATCTTTAAACTTTATTTTGACCATTATCTTCCAATTCCTTAAATGGTTGCCCACCTTATACCTTAATATCCTTTCTCTTCTTTACTCTTCACTATTTTATTATTTTATCTCTCCTTACCGTTCTTCAACGCTTTATAACTCTTGTACACTCTACCGTCTCTTTTGCCCGCCTGATACTAAACATACGTATTAAACCTTTGCCTTTTCCTGAAACTCTTGTACAGTGTCTGTGGAATTTATTTCCTGAACCTATCTCATTCGCTTAACTCCTTGAAACTACGTGTCAGGAACTTCTTTTCCTTAGCTCCTGAGTCGATTATTTTCTCTCCTAGCCGTATATTTACTTCTTACATTTTCCTACAAAAGTATTGTGTACTACATGTTATTATTATCTACGTATGCATTATTTGTATTTAAAATGAAGTGTATGTATTTAAAATATTTCTATTAGGGCCTTCAAATTCGACGCTTATAGATGCGCTGCAGTAGCACCACAGCGGCGCTGCTGCCGCGCGGCTACTAATTTTCATACAATATTCAGAAGCTTAGTTGCAGGGTGATTGTCGTGACACGCGTGCCACCTTTGCAGTCACAATTAGTGAACTAAAAATTACTGAAGCGCTACAGACGCGCGGCGGCCGCATCACAGTCGCGCTACTGCAACTCGTCTAATTGAAGTCGCCCTAAAAAGTCTTCTTTCGTTGTGCTCTCTTTGTATCTATTTTTCTACTGTGGAGGTGAATTCACAATGCACAAATTCTGGCAATATATTGCCGTAATTTATCGCGTTGCGCGATATAACCTTGAGTTAACTAATCAGGAGCTGGACTTTAGCCCCTGATTGATCAACTCAATTTGCGAGAATTTTGTTCATTGTCAATCCACCTTTAGAAGGAAGAACTTGCTTTTGTTACACTTTTTTATTTCATGACCTTGGAACCAAGTCCTCCAGTCCAATATTAGAGCTAATAAACATAAAAGTTTCACTTACTTTTATGTTTTATCATTGTTATTTTTAATATGGAATAAAGTATTAATTTCGTTCATCCATTTAATAATATTCTTTTTTAATACAAACAATCGCTTATTTCGTAAATTTTGCATGTGTATATAGCCATAGGCATCAAAATTATTTTTGCGTAATGTTAAAGACTTAGTTATTAGTAATGTAGGTTTGTGATGAATATATTGAAATAATGGACACTTTAAACTGCCTATTCCTAGTTGGGTTTATCATTTTTAATAAAAACTGTATTTTTTATTCTGTGCAAAATTATTAGGATATTGGTACAAGAAGAACTGATTTTTATTTGAAAATTGTCTCGATGTTATGTTATAGAACTAAAATATGTTCTTTACGTATATTTTGTAGTTTGTAAGTCAAATAAATATTGAAATTAAATATGACATTGTACGTTTTAATGATAGTAATAATATACCAGAGAAGCACACTAAGGAGATTCCCAGTTCTCAAGTTCAATTCTCGAGCATGCGCAAGAATTCCGCGACGGTTTTTGGCTCGTATCAAGTTTGTACATTACACAATTGACTATAAAGTTCATTACGTTATATACACACAAAATATCGTAGATTAGTAATTTAGTATATAGGTCCCTATATACTAAATCTATGATCCTAACAAAAATTCGCTTTCATTCCGTTCCGCCGCAATATAAATGGAGCCTTAGAGTGACAGGCGCAATGGTCAGTGCCCTCCAGATCTTTGCGATTTAATACTCTGAGTGGCACTGCAACTGTTATGGACAGGCGTGTAGTTCACCATAACGTCTTATTCGTCCAGTCACTCGATATCATAAAAAGAAATCAGAGAGAATACACCCCGGGGCACTACCCGTGAGCATTTTAGAAAAGTACGTTTTGCAAACTGATCCCTTTGGGAATGGAACTCTGTACCTTCTCATCCAGCGTCCACAGCGCAAACCGTTGGGCCACAGAGGTCATCATTCGTAATCATCGAGTATATAACCAGAAATAGAGACAAAATAAGGGCCATATCTTCCTGGTAACACATTAGCGATACAGCTCTTATAAATATCAACTCCCGTTTGCACTGACATATAGAAGGCCAACTACTGATCTGTGTCTCCGTATATTCCAAAAAATATTCTGTATTTATTGTAATAAAGATAATATCTGTAACAATGCCGTGCTGTTCTATTCGGTGGTGTCGGAAAAAACATTCATTTCTATTCATTTCTTGCAAAATTACATAATTAAATATGTAATTTTGCAATTTTCGTCCATTATAGCAAAGCTCTGAAGTGAAACAGTTGACTACACCCATCAATTGTTTCGAACTCGGGCTAGCCAATCGGAACGCAGTTGTCACATTAATGACATGGCACAATAATTTTCAAACAAATTAGATGACATTTCGTCTCTATTTCTGGTTATATACTCGATGTTCCTAATTGAATCGTAGCACGCACTCTCTATATTTCGTGAGTGCTAGAATTCATGTATTATATCAATGTATTATATTCTAGAATTAACATAATAAGGATAGAAGTGTATGATTAGTTAACGCACACACTCAACATAGCTAAACTAGGGAAACCCTGTGTCGCGGGTGCCATGTAGACACACATAGACAAATACAAATTACACCCAAACTCACGAGAGAAATAAATGTAGGCCATACAAATATTTCTCCCGGCCCGGGAATCTAACCTGGGACCTCTGCGTGGCGGTCTGGCAAGGTAACCGTTCGGCCACGGATGCAGTTAACATGTTAAATGTAATCGCATCGTCACGATAACATGAAAATACTTTTTTTTAGTTTTAAGGCAATCCCGAATTTTTAGGGTAAAAAAAACAACGTACGAAATTAATTATAGACTCGTATATTCTCTTCACTTATAACAAAATATATTAAACATATTATAATTTACGCAATTAAAGCTTCTAATAAAGACAAAATTAAGCCAACAATAGACTGACCAGCCGGTTTTATCACTTCTAACTTATTTTTTTTTTAATTCTACGTCACAATCTAGAACTTAGATAAATGCTATAATAATAATGCATTCCGATTAAAATGTTTAATATTTGTTCAAAAATATGTTTAAACAAACTATATACGTAAAAATAATTGCATTTCACAATTTTGTAACGAATATGATGTCAGTTATGTCCCCACATCCCTAATGATCAACAAGTTATAAAACCAAAGGTTATATTATATGCCACAATCGCAATTGCCATCGATAAATAAGAACCATACTAAGCGGCGATTGTTTAGTAACTTCTTTATTGAGATTGTTTAGTAAAAATTATTTCCACAAAGATCGGACACAAGACTCGCATGGGTCTATATGTCAAACCAACTGAGCCTCAGATCGAGACTCGATCTGTAACTTCAGGCCAACTCAAAGCGGGGATTTACTCCCGTTCTGCGGCCAATGTCCAGCCAAAGCAATTATACTGTCAAGTAAGTAATACTCGACCAAATTAAAAAAACGCATGTTGCGAATGAAGCTCCATACTTGACATTATCTTTTCATTTGGTCGAGTATTACTTACTTGACAGTAATTGTCTTGGACGGACGGCGGAAGGAGAATGGGAGTACACGGGTGTGCAATATATTACATAAATATTATTCACATAACGCTCATTTGGCAAAATTTTACTTCCTATAAACTAATTTATAATAGTAATTCACTTCATATAACGAACGTTCAATATAAACTTACATTCTATAATTTCATTTTTTATAAGTAACACTCATTCACTCGACATTTTATCTAAATTTCATTTCATCTAGAAATGGGTTTATTTCCGAAAAACCGGTATCCCTAAAACTAATATTGTATTAATTATAATTTAGCTCGAAAACGTGTTTGGAAATGCAAACAAATTCGTTTCAGGCAATCGCCGGCCGCTGCCGAGACACGCTCGCTCGACTCGTGCTTTTTTTTTTCATGTTCTAACCTAACTTACTGTATGACACCAAAGAATCCAGTGTCTAACAATAACAATTTAGTCGAAATGAACTTCAGCATTATAAACTATATTAAGGAAAACTACTCTCCCTCCGCACCCTCGGCTTTTAAATTACACTTCGAGTATCGAACAGAGTAGTAGTAGTACCATGGCGAGCCGGGTTTAAAGTTATTATTTATGAAAAGTGATATTAACACCATGTAATAATAATAGCGCGTACACGCTCATAGCCCAGCACTAGGGAAACCCTGTATCGTGGGTGTCATGGACGTACCATGACACAACCACAAATTACACCCAGTCACAAGAGAGAAATAAATGTAGGCCATACAAATATTTCTCCCGGCCCGGAAATCGAACCCGGAATCTCTGCATGGCAGTCCAGTATGGTAACCGTTCGGCCACGGAGGCAGTTATGTAAATTAGGGCCTAGGGCCCATTGAAAACCAGTGTCACAACCTAGCCTTGGTTGTGACTTTAGCTGAATGGGATCCTTTTGTACACGCCACAGCCGCACACATGTCACTATAGTATTATGCAACTTGTTGTTGAAATGTTTTTACGCTGTTCTTTGTGTTATTTCTGTTTTAGTCATATTAGTCTTTGTTTCTGTGTTTTTTTTTATAATGTGGCGTTACAATAAATGGTTTCTATTTCTAAATTGTAAATTATGTAAACTGAGATTATACGAAATGATTGTTAAATAATATGAGCTTTTATAAAAAAAACTTATAAAATATGAATGTTATATCAAACAAGATTTATATGAAGTTAAATTATAGGAAGTGAAATTGGTCCAAGTAAAAATTATATTAAATGAACGGTATTTGTTTTGAAATTATTTCATTTTCGTCTACGTCAGGTGCACCCGGGACTAGTCCCCTGGTTAGAATCCTGTCAGCTAGAAGGAATTTTTCTTTGTGTTCGATCTTTGTATTAATAATTATAACAAACTAGTGGCATAGTACAGTAAGACAAGTGTACAAACGTAGAAGCGTGCTTATAAATGTACGCGCCCGCGCCGCGCACACATTCGCATAATCTCGCAATGCACTCGTGTTGCAAAACACTGGTCGTCACAACGCGCCTTTCATTATTATACGAAAGTGTACGTCCGTCTAAGGTGCGCGGCAGTCGCGCACACTTATAAGCCACGCTGTTACCTACCATACTTCTGTTATTTTGTACGAAGTTACCATACTTCTCTTATTTTATTATACTATACTGCGTCCAACCATTTATTTTACTTTTGACAAGCATGCCTACGAAGTTTCGTAATTATTGACATGCAACCATTTTAAGACTCCATCGTCTACTAAGGCAACCATAGACAAAAAATGCAAATGGATTTTTTTACTATAGTGAAGCGACGTGCACTTTAGCTCCGATATTTATCGATTATGTAACGAAGATCATTCAAGTTGATAAATTTTGGAACTTGTCTAATAAATTATAATGAAATGAAATTAATTATAAATATTAATAAATATAATTATAATAAAATCTTATTGTTTATTATAATTAATCGTCAGATCCTTCTGTACATGAACGGGAATCATCACTTGAATCCTCAGTAGCAACAAATAATTATAAATTTTTGAGTATATAAATTGTCAAAAGAAACATCACGTTCCCAATCAGACAATATCTTTTTTGAACTAGCTCACATTCGCGATTAAAACTTCGTCATAGATAAAATCGATTGTTATAAAACATCGAATCGGAAATGCAATAGGACATCACTAATGGATTAGAATTCGAGCTGTAAAAGTAAAATAAAAGGTTGGACGGAGTATAATGGAGTAATTTATCAAATCGTGGTAGTAAAACCCCATGATATTCAATAAAATCAATAATGCATATAGTTAATCTCATTTCTGAACACGATTTCTGCGTTTTAGTGGCCTACGTCAAGATCTTTCGAATTATCCACAATGGAATCAGTATCCACGCACCCTGCTCTTTTACTAGCTGCCTATCATTATAACGGGACAAAGATACCCTTATACATTATAATGTAAAAGTAACGGTACTTACTCGCGTAGTATTTTAGTCGGAAGCGGTCCGACTAGTTTCGACCATAATCGATGGTCTCCTTCAGGGGTTGATACACCCAGTATACCCAGGTCCGAGTTGAATGCACTACGGAGGGATTCTGATGTACTGGTTCTGCCGGCGGACAAAGGTAATGCCACTGTCATTGTTGACACGCGGGTTTATGAAGAAAAGATGAATAACTTGTTGTGTGACAGTGGTACCTATAAACAAGTTACCTATAACCCTACCAACAGAGTGACCAATGGGCTGAATAGGTTACTAAAATCTCTGCCGGATGACCTTTTATATGACGAAGATCTATGGGTTGCCTAAAATCCACAAACCGGCATGGCCCCTTCATCCTATAATGAGTAAAATAGATTCGCCAACATATAAGACTGCTCGTTTCCTGTCAGATATACTACTTCCTTTCACGGGTAAAACATCAAGTTATGTGAGAGATTCTACACATTTTGTACAGTTGTTGGAAGGAGTACGTGTTAGTGATAACGGGATATATGTTGTGTCATTGTTTACAAATATACCGATAGAGGACGTACTTATGATTGTATCTGTTTTAGTAGAGTATATTAATTTACCTGTCGGTTATATGAAGTTGATATGTCAAGAGTGTACTCACTCGGACGAGGAGATACTTTATGTGGAGGGTTAATTACTTTTTACAAATCGGTGGCGTAGCAATGGGATCACGGATAGCTCCAGTGGTGGCTAACATATTATGGAATGGTTTGAGGATACTGCACCGGTGCACATTCCATTCGAACCGAGATACTGGTGGCGCTATGTAGATGACATATTTGCCATTATGCCTGAAGAGGGAGTAGAGTCGCTACTGGCACACCTAAACAGCGTTCACCCGAAGATCACCTTCACCGTGGAATGTGAGCAGAACGGGGTTCATCCTTTCTTGGATGTGTTGGTGAGACGTGAACATTACGGTCGGTTGTCTTATGCGGTGTATCGGAAACCAATGAACGTGGATAGATACCTGAGAGCAGATTCACATCACCACTCGGCACATTTAGCCTCAGTTCCGCGGACGCTCATTAATAGAGCTTTGAAACTTTGCGACCTGGATTACATAGATGCTGAGCTAAATCATGTGAAGGATGTGTTGGTTGGTAACGGTTACAAGTAGAAACAGAGTTGGCGTGTGGCAAATGCATCAACGAGGCCTCGACCAGCATCGGTAGAGAGAGGGGTAGCGTGCTTACCGTATGTCAGGGGTGACGGATGTGATTGGAAACTTGTTACGCCAAAGATACAGCATCAAGACAATATTCCGTCCTCTCACACAGCTGCGGCAATTGTTTCGCTCTCCAAAGGACAGCGACCCTCTGGGGGTCCCCGGTGTACTATATGGTTCCCTGTGACTGCGGCAAGTGTTACGTTGGCGAAACGAGACGGAACATGGCTACTAGGCTAGCTGAGCATATCCGATCCATGAAGAACCAAGATGTCAATAGATCTGCGGTGGCAGGCCACTTTCTGAGCTCCGGTACTGGTCACTACATTGGGTTTGATAAAGCTAAGGTTTTAGCGCGGGAGAAGTATTTTGTGCCCCGCAAAATCCGAGAAGCTCTTGCAATAAGTAGGCGACCAAATTTTAATAAAGATGGAGGCTAGAGCTTGCCACCGACCTGGAACCCGTGTCTTCATGGCGTTCGGTAAGCAGCTGCAGATGTTAGTAGTAACGACGTGGTGAGCTCTGTGTGCTGGACTGTGCCGACAACAATCCTACGGACAGCAGTAGCGAAGAAGAGTTCCAGGACGCGCTGACGCAACACATCAGCCCCCCGAGTTCCCCACTGCGGACTGCGTCATCGGCGCGCGCGCAGTGCTAGACGTGACGCGGTCGCGAACGTTACACTAAACCCCTGAAGAAAACCCATCGATTATGGTCGAAACTAGTCTGACCATTCCGACTAAAAAACTACGCGAGTAAGTGCCGTTACTTTCATATTATAATGTGTGATAACCGCGTTAGTTTTCATAATAAAATACCCTCATTCATACCTGTGAAATCAGCTATATCTTATACATCCATGTGGAACAGAATTGACACCCAATTGTACTAATTATTCTAATTTATTTACAATTTACATTTATTACAGCCAATTTAACCCTATAATACATTGTTTGTTACATAGAGCCTTATTATGTAGGACCCTTATTTAAATTTTATGAAGGTCAACGCACAGTAAGCCGTTTCCCATATGCCGTTGAGACTAATGACGTCTCGTAAATTAGTACGGACTAGTGTGCGTTCACCTCTGTTACAATATTTGGTTTAATACATAAAAATCTCAAATAGGTACACGAAGATAATAAAAATGCATCATTTTGAGCGATTAACCATGGCGACTTTTAGAAGCTATACAAACGCGCGTTTAAACGCTCGATTGCATCGCGACAATTACGATTTATAGGCGGTTGCATCGAAGCAAAGACGCAATTGCATCGATGCAGTCCCTTATGTTGAATCATTAAAAACTGCTTAAGTCGCACGTGTGTGTAAAGACACACGATTAGCAACTGTATCGCGACTAATGTTGGGTAATGAAAAAATTTCCATTTTGAAAAAACATTTTTTTTTTCGGATTATTTTCCAATGTTTTTCCTCTAATTTTCCACACTTGATGTTGACACCTGTCAAATGTTGAAGTTACTGAACGACAACGATGGAGCCATTAAAAAGGTTTTTATTACTTTAACTTATTCAATAAATTAACTTATTCAATCAAACAATCTCGTTCCTCTTAATGTGGCTTTTAGTTATAAAACTTTATTTTATAATTTACGCTAAATTTAAACATCAAAAGATATTTCTAAACGTAGAATATAATATTATGAGTATTCGAAATTATATTTTTCAAATTTTTCGGGAAATTTTTCGGAAAATTACCAAACAGTAATCGCGATTGAATCGCTGCAGACGCGCTAAAAATCGCCGTGTGTAACCAGTAACTGCACATAAGCGAAAAAACTTTAATAATGTAATATAATGACTGAAAAATATAAAACATAAATTTTCACGAGGAATACATTTGAGAAATTTGAAAATTTACATCAATTTCTTAGGACATTTTGGATTTTCTCCATTGGAAGTTATTTTTCGTCCACGGACCAACAACGCGAGCGATACACAAGAGATAGATCTTAAGAAACAGAGCTCAAAATTTTATTTTATGTCTACCTCCACCATGATTATCATTGTTTATATTTACGCACAACAAATCGGTTATAGTTTACTGATTCGCTGTTTCACGTTTGCAGGCGGGTTATTTCGGTCTACGGACCACATAACCGTATTATTTGAAAGTCAGTGTGAACTTCACAATGAAATGCTTATTACTACATTTCGGAAACATGTTCTTGAACTTTAGAAATTGAAACACAAATAACAAGGTCTGCGATTTCCCTCCGAACTTAAGTGAATAGGTATCAGGTGAGATTATGACTAAGAATGTGGCTATTATATATTCTATAAAAACTTTGGCAATTTAATGACATGCGGAAGTTAAACAAAAAAATATATATATATTTTAATGACTCTGGCAAATTTATAAAAATACACTGTTAACAAGCAAAAAGAAGATAGAAAAGCATGCCGTTTGATATTATGGAATATTCAATGGGGGACCGATTAATTTAACAGCTTTAAACTAAAATGAAATCCTATTTAAAATGAGAGACGTGCACTGGTTTTAAATTAGTTTACGTTTTCCTGAATCGAGGCTTATCTAAGCGTCAAAAATAAACGATTACAATAATCACGAAGTAATGAAAAGTAGGAGGTCGAGTCTCACCGTCCATTCACCTTGGAGAGGCGGGATATATCGAAAGAACAGATCGCGTCAAGAAGCGCGGACCGGCCATCGGATGGACTAGTTGCAGCTGGTGTTTGTGTGTCGTGGCCGTTTATTTCAACCGCTGTAAATCAAAAAGAATTAATTAACGTTAACAGGTAGAGTTTAAAATATTTAGTAAGTCATAAAACCAAGTATAGTTGTAAGGGAGACTGTAACAAACTATTTCTCTACTGTAAAATACTTCCGTAAAAGCAAAAGTTCAATCAATATTAGGCCGATATTGAAAACTATTATAAAACTGAATTTAAAATTAACGAGTCGAACAAATATATTACTAGGGGAGTCCGTGAAAATAAATATGTATGCCGAAAAGTAAACAACTATTATGGTAAAAGAACAAATAGACATTTCTTGCCAATTATATTCAACAAATTTAATGTTTTGAGCGACAGAGAATTGCTACATAAATTCACTTTGAAAAAAAATTGATATCTCATGAAATCATGTAAATTTTGTTAAAATCTACGCAGGTTTTGATAAATGTATTAGTACGGGGCATTGACCTTTCAAGTGGTATTAATATACCATATTATTGTGAGTAACCTTGCCAAGAAATTGCAATGGTGAATTTTTAGTGTACGCTGATTTGTATGTACGGGGGTTTGATTAATTTTAATTTATAACAATTTTTAATTATTCGTATCACAGTTGTATGTTACGTCTACCTGTGATAAAGATGACGATATGCATTATCACAGATATCTTGATTAGGTAACTTGACAATAAAATTTTATCGCTTACATAACTCGACTTTTATACCTATGTTAGAATAAAAAATAGTTTTCAGCAACTTTCGTATAGGAAATTTCTTACCAATATCATTGACCAATTACTGAAGAGGATTGCTACTCGCGACACATGACATCGTAGTCGGGTATTTAATACCTATAGGTACACTACATGTCGCGAACAGTAACCATCTTGTAGGCAATTTGTTTTACATTGACGAGCTGGAATTCATCAACGCTACTCTAATTTCTAGTTGTTGTTTATGATATTCGATGGCTGTCTGGGATAGCGGCCTATCTCAAAACTATTAATTCATCACGAAGAGGATTTAAAAGAAAATCTCGGTGTCTTATTCACAATTTTTGTTGTTTTATTTATTTTGTTGTATTGTTATCTATAAAATCTTAAAGAATATTTTTTTTAAATTGCATATAAATAATTATTACATGTATATTTTTAATAGAATAATTTATTAATAGTTCATTTTATTTTTTTTAAATTGTGGTAATGTTTTTCTTTCTTTTTTAAATGATGTTTTAATATGATTATGTGAATGATGTGTTCGGCTGTAATTGGCTTACAGACTAGTCTTACATAAATATAAAATGTAGATTTAAAAATGTTAAGTGTGTTAAGCTGTTGCTGAACCAATAAATAAATAAATAAATTTGAATTTAGTATCTTCTGAATACAGCTGTATAACAAGCCAAAAAACAATATATTTTGATTTGGGCCACTGTTCTTGAATCATCATCCTCGATCCATTATTCATCCAATTACTGAACACAAGTTCATCTAAATTGTTAATTTTTGTAAGTTCATACACACATTCGCTGAATTTAGAACTATGTTTATGAAAAATACAAAAATGAGACGTATTTTAAAGTTTTTCATTTTAATTCAATACAGATAATCAAATCTTGTTAAAATGTATATGACTAAAAATTAATCTCGATACTAGTAGGCCAACTATCCAAATAAGAATAAAGAAGGTAATTAGAACGTCGTAACATTCACAATTCAGTCATTTTTGGCAAAAATTTATTTTCTTTCACAATCTATCGATAAAACTATCGACAACAACTACATAACTATTCAAAATTTTATGAAAACTGGCAAACCTAAAAATGTTATTTTACTTCGTCTTCAAAAAAAAAACGGACTATAGTAATATATATACTCCTGCAAGAATTATATTATTTTACAAAATATCATGTATATTTGTAAATAATCCTGTATATTGAACTCATTTTCTCTTAACTGTGACTTGTTAATGTTGATTTGGGAGTTTTAAAGACATATGTAACTTACAAGCAACAGGCGGTGTCGGCGACGAGGTGGTACTAGCGCTATGCGATGGCGCCGCGTCGCCCAAAGACGACGTGGACTTCCAGACGCTTTCTCGTTTTTTCTGCACACAACACACACATATTTACTACAGATCCATTGTGCTAGCTTAAAAGCGACAAGAAGTATCGTGTCATATGACGAGACGAACAAGTCATGCGCCTGGTGGTACGCGACACGCTACTTGCAGTTGCATTGCCACTAAGAGCTTTAAATCGCAAAGAGTTAAGGGGCACTGTCCCTGCACCCGTCACTTTGAGACATAAAGTTGATAAGTCCCATGTGCCTATAGTTTTTCACCAACACCTTTACCCTTCAAAATAGGAACGCAGTAATGTCAAAGTCAAATAATCACTTATTCCATAGGTAAAATTTTTACACTTGAAAATGTCATTAGCTACTGCTCGTTCACTGTGCCGACTTCCCTGAGAAGAACGAGCAAGAAACTCTAGGGATTGCTCCCTTCAAACAAACTTAAATGCTATGGAATAAATACACTTTCAATCGTATTTGTGTGGAATCTAGACTCATGTAGTCTTTCCATACGTCTTTATCTAACATGTAGTCTACAATTGTGTAATATGACTTTTCAATTAAAATACTTTTAACGTAAGTTTTAAACTCAGGAAATGGTAATCTTAATATATGCTCCGGAATCTTATTGTAAAAACGTATGCAGTTCCCCATAAAAGAATCGTTTACCTCAGTCAAACGAAATCGTGGTATCACGGGGTTTGGACGTAGTTCTAAGGTTAATATTATGGATATCTTAACGATATCTTCTTAACGATATCATCTTTCTTCTATGGATATCTTCTTTCTTAACGAATTTATATATTTTATTATATTTTGTATATTTTTACTTAATGATCACACTACTGCTAGGTGTTGATATATAATGTACTTAAAACAATAGCGTAAAGGTTCATATTTAACACCATTGCAACCAGATTACGACTTATATTTTTAACCGATTTCAAAAAAAGAAGTTCTCAATTAGACTGTTTTTTTTGTGTGTATGTTACGCCATAACTCCGATATTTGTGACCCGACTTCTATGTTTCTTTTTTTGTTGGAAAGGGGGTACCTCAGTAGTGGTCCCATTCAAATTTGAAGAAAATATCCACCTTTAAGGCTGCCTTTCCACCAGAGATGTGCGACTTAGCGAGGCGGTGTGCGAGAAAAAATCTACCAATAGGATTATTTCTTTCTCATAGCCTCGCTTAGCGCAGCTCCCGTGGAAAAGGGTTAGCGGAGCGAAGTATTTGTACATACAAAATAGCGAGAGATGTGTACGAGGGATGCGGGCGAGGAATGTATGCAAAACTGTGTACTAGAGCTACTGTATGACACTAACTAACACTGACACATCGCCACCGCTCACTCGACTACACCGTACCCCGCATGCGCATAGCTGAAAAGATTTTGTAACGCATCCTCGCACCGCGCCGCTGCACATCCTCTAACCACCTCGCTACCTCGCATTTCTCTGGTGGAAAGGCAGCCTAGGGTGGCAAATTAGGGTATGCAGCTTATTGGATTTCATCCACTTTCCGTTTACCCATAATTTCCCAAATTGGTCCCTACCGCCCCAGTGGATCCAGTGGCGCTGAAGAGTCTTAGCGTCTTGAAGGGCCTCAGAAGCAATTGATTGTAACTTACCGCTCGTCTTTTCTGTTTCCGCAACTCTTCTTCAGAATTCAATATTTCTTGTATTCGCACTTCTCTTTTTGAGGTGCGCACCTGGAAAAACGGAGACGCGTGACTTTCATTATCTGCCACATTGTCATACGTATTTTTAATTATAAGTAATTATTGTTCTTTAATAGACATGGAAGTACCTTGCTACTCCGCTAACCGTGTGCCGGTTAAGTCGCATACAACGAAAAGCCGGGAGACAGGAGCTCTAGGTTAGACCTGTGTTATGGTCTTCTGGTCAATAACTTCTTTTTATGATACTAAGTAACTGGAACGAACAAGTCGTGCGTCTACTGGTAAGCTACACGCCTGCCCACAACAATTGCAGTGCCACTCGGAGCGTTAAATCGCAAAGATCTGAGGGGCACTGCCACTGCGCTCGTCACCCTGAGACATAAGTTGACAAGTCCCATGTGCCTGTAATTTCACCAACGCCCTTACCATTCAAAATCGGAACGCAGTAATTACTCACATTACTGCTTTGCGGCAGAAATAGGTAGTGTGGCAGTACTTCCCTGGACGAACTCTTTCACAAGGAGCTTTAAAGCTATGAAAGGTTATTTACTTCCATTTTTATTAATATGGCTTTGCGCCTGAAGTAACGCCTGAATTTATGAAATATTTAATTCAATTGAATATCATGCTTTTACTACCACGATGTTCATCTATACTTTGTGAAAATGCTCCACTAGTTTGTTATTGATATAAAAGATCGAAATAACACAAAGAAAAATTCCGTCTAATCGACTTGATTCGAACCAGCGTCTGTCGTCTCAACGCGGTTACATCTCCTACCAACTGAGCTGCAGATCGAAGCTTGTTGAGACGACAGAAGCTGGGGGACTACTCTCGTTCTCTGTCCGACATCCGTCCAAAACAATTACTGTCAAATAAGTAAGACTCGATTAAAGTCATAAGACAATGTCAAGTATGAAGCCTCATTCGCATCATGCGTGTTTTAATTTGGTCGAATATTGCTTATTTCACCGTAATTGTTTCGGACAGAGAGCGAGAGTAGACCTTTTGTTTCGAGTCCAGGCGGACGGAAGGCATTTTTCCTTGTATGTGTGCGATCTTTGTATTACGAATAATAATAAATTATTTAATTCGCACCCCTCATGGAAAATATGTGGGTTATGTTTTTCTATATCCAATGGGGCAATAAAAATTTTTAACGTAACTCCACTTACGCCATTCTTCTATAAAGGATGCGAATTGTTCTTTGTTCTATTATCTTACCAATTTCTGTTCACTCCGCAATCTAGTTTCTGTAGCAACAATGGCATTCCTTAATTCATCCTTCACGCTTAAAGGGAACTTGAGGTGAGCTCTACTATCGTCCCGTGGTGTGATCCCGTTGAGTACGGAACGTGTGAAAAAAGGTAGTCTGAGTAGGCTGTCTAATTTCGGGACGCCATGTTTGCTTGAAACTGCTGATAGGCAATAGCGGAGAACAGATTCTGAAAGAATAAATAAAAAAAAAATTAAAGATACGCTTTAAGATGTGATTAACTAAAGTAAGGACAGCAATGACCATGGAAGCCCAAAACCATAATATCATAAGTAGTGGAACGTCTGATCGGCGCGAAAGATTGTCACATTATTATTTTAGTTGTGTACCTACAAGAAGTACTAGTTAGCATTTTAGAAAAAAAATAATTAAAAATTAGATGTTCATCACTATGAAGTAGTGAACATCTAAATTATTTTTTTTAAACTCGTGCTATATGGAAATAACCTTGTCAAATGCAATTCAATTCCATTAAATTTATAGCTCCATATTAAGGTTACAAAGGTCTTAAATAACATGTAGGTCCTTATTATATGACACAGACAGACGGCACCTATTTTAAAAGAAAAACAATCTCTAAAACAATCAAACAATCTCAAAAACTTAAACATTCTAGCTCTAATTAATAACACTTAGTTACTACATACTTCTACTCTACTTCCTATGCTGATAATACTTACATTGATATTTTTACCAGGATCGCGAATTGGTATTTCGATTATCGGGATTTCGATCGATAAAATAGAAATTAAATGCGAGTATGTCTGTACATTGCATATCTTATTATTATACCAAAACGTATAATACAAATAATAATTATCTAACGAGTAATAATCGCGAAAACCAAAAACTCCATACTTACCAAAGTCTTCATAAATTCCAGAAGGATAAATGTCCCTGTAATACTGGTCTAATGGCTCAGCGAAAGCCATCTCATACAACGTCCTTCCAAAGCAATACACGTCAACGGCCTCCATGGACGACGTCTTTCTCAGCTCCAGTAAGTACGGCCGGTCGTGGCATGGTACACCCATTAGAATGTTCTCGAGATCCAGTAGTTGGACCTTTTGGTTCTCAATTGCTATATTCCCGGGGTGAATGTGACCTAAGGGATAATATTCAAAAGAATAATTGTAAGAAAAAAGTGCAAAAGCTTTCATAATGTTCTCATATATGGCGCTGACGGCAAAAAAGCCATTTAAACCCAATACAAAGATCTGCAACAAGTACAAAGAGTAATTCGTAAAATCTGTTGACTCAATCAGTAGCTTAGTTGGTAAAAGCGGTAGCCCTGGTGTGGCAACAGATGCTGGTTCGAGTCCAGTCAGATCGAAGGAATTTTTCTTGGTGTTCTTCGATCTTTATATCAGTAATCAGCTTCTTGTGAAAGAGTTCGTCCAAGGAAGTACTGCCACCTTACCTATTTCAGCCCTCAAGCAGTAACGTGAGCTTTACTGCGTTCGGGTTTCCAAGAGTAAGGGTGTTGGTGAAGTTACAGGCATATGGGACTTGTCAATTTATGTTTCAGGTAGACGGGCACAGTGGCAGTGCTCCTAAGATCTTCATGATTAAAAGCTCTGAGTGGCACTGCAACTGTTATGGATAGACATCGAGTATATAACCCGAAATAGTGACGAAATGTCATTTAATTTGTTTGAAAACTATTCTGCCAAATCATTACGGTGACAACTGCGTTCCGATTGGCCAGCCTGAATTCATAACAATTTACGGATGTCGTCCATAATTTCACTTAAAATCGACCGCAATCGAGCTTTGCTATAATGGACGAAAATTCAAAAATTACATATTTAATTACCGATGAAATGTGATTCCCTTTGTTTTGTAATTAGACGTTTTTTTTTCGTTTTTCCTATACCACTGAAGGGAACCACCCATAGTTAGACATATTATCTTTATTACAATAAATACAGAATATTTTTGGAATGTACGAAGACGTACACATAGGTCAGTTGTTGGCGTCATCAGTAGTACACTACTTCAGTTTTCTAATTTGTGATTTCAGTGCAAACGACAGTTGATATTTAAATGTGATATAAGGTCTATTTGCCTGATGAGTTGCCAGGGATGGATAGCCCTTATTTCTCATATCTATCACTTACCACCAGGTGCACGACTTGTTTGTCCCGTCACTTGGTATTATAAGAAATGTAATAATATTTGATTAATATGTGTCAAGGTGACTTCTACCACGATATGCTAACGATAGCACTTTCGCACGTTATGGAGAATATCGTTTTCACAAATAACATATACAGTGGTAGGATGAAGTTTTATTTTCATTTTCATTATCGCTATTGACATGGTAAATAGCACTTGTTATAGGACGTAAAAAGGAATGCTTCGTTATTTGATTATAAGGAAAGGCCATCCTCCAACGTCCATACGTAATGTGAATATAATAAAAAGTCAACATTGCCTTTATAACATTCCTTAATGAACATAGGACATACTTTGAGGCTGCATCAAAATGTAACTCACCATGTGGCAATCCCTTTTCATGTAAAAACTTCAGAGCCACCAACATTTGATATCCGTAATGAGCTATCTGTCCAGACGTGAAAGGTTTTCTCACTTTTGGATTTCCATATTTAGATAAATGATTTTTCGTGTAGTCCGTGCCGTATAACATGTCTCTAACAGTGCCCGATTCGTGTATCCTTCTAACTACGTATGCACCTGTTTCTAAATTGTTAATTGCGAGGATTGAGTCTATAAATGGATGCTGAAAAGAAAGACACGTGATTGTATTACAATAATAATAATAATAATAATAACGTACACACTCAACATAGCCCCGCACTAGGGAAACCCTGAGTCGCGGGTACAATGGACACACACATATACAACCACAAATTACACCCAAACTCCTAGACCTCTCCGAGACCTCTGCGTAGCAGTCCGGTATGTTAACCGTTCGGCCACAGAGGCCATTAAACAATGGACGATCTTAGTGGTCTGACGGTTTGCATTGTGGGCGTTGTATGTGGAAGTCCCAGATTCTGGTTTGGGTGTTCTGGGTAGTGCGCGTGAGCGAATTCCTTTGCTCTGGTACTCATAGTAATATGAAATTTCCCAGTTTGAGACGAGGTCATTGGAGTAGTAATAGAGCTCCTTGTGAAAGAGTTCGTCCAGGGAAGTACTGCCACCTTACCTATTTCTGCCGCCAAGCAGTAGTGTCATTATTACTGTGTTGCGGTTTTGAAGGGTAAGGATGCTGGTGAAATTACAGGCACATGGGACTTGTCAACTTATGTATCAGAGTGACAGTTGCAGTGCCCCTCAGATCTTTGCGAATTAAAGCTCTGAGTGGCACTGCAACTGTTATGGATAGGCGTTTAGCTTTCCATCAGGTGCACGACTTGTTCGTCCCGTCACTAAATAATATAAAAAAGGTTTGGCACATTATTATTGAAGCACGCTGCGGTTGGACGAGCAAATCGCGGAACACGAAATAGAGGTAAGTCGCATCAAATGGGACGTAGTAGGGTTATCTGAAGTCCGAAGACAGGGCGAGGACATGATAACTCTCGAGTCAGGTCACTTGCTCTACTTCAGAGAGGGAGACCAACTTTCAAAGCCAAATACACCCTGACGGTCGAGCGGTTGGAGTCCCGCCACAACGTAAATTTTTATTCGTTTGTGGTGAGAGTGCCGATCTTTCGGTCTATCTATCGAGTTTCATGACGGAAGAGTTTTGGCCGAAAGAAGTCATGTATCGGCGATACCACGGCCGGTTACCTGACTTGCGCCACACATCGCCGACAAATGCAATTCGTGTAGATTAGTTAGAAATAGTGCTTTATTATATTGTATGTATGTTAGTCCTTAAGATATATATTATATGGGTCATGTGGCCTGAACTAAATAAATAAATAAAATAAAAAATCAATAAATAAAAAATAACACACTTACAATTTCAACTTTGAACCGTTCTTATCCCAAGAAATATAGTATTAATTTGAAAGTAAATTTAAAGCACGCTGTTGACTATACAAAGGAAAATACTTACAGATATATTCTGTATACTCTTGAAAGCTGTCTGCAAATCCTTATCGCATAGATGCCTGTCAGGGCCATAGTTCTGCCACGATAATAGGCAGTTTGTTCGAGTATCTCTGTCCGTTACCTGAAATATATAAATAATATGTCCAATGAGTAACACTCGACCAACTTAAAAATCAATGTCGAGTATGAAGCTTCATTTGCATCATGCGTGTTTTAATTCGGTTGAATATTAATAGTGTTCGATTATTAATCAACAGCAATATTTAAATGCAAGAATTTTATTAAATAAATTCTATTTATTTAGCCCGCAAACTGGTATTCGGACAATCGGTTCAAAAACGAAAAGAAAATATTGACACCTGCCCATTGACTTAAAGTCAATGCACCTGCCCATACGTTTTTGATAAAACTTATACATAACATGGAGTATTTACGTAAAATTACTATTTAACAAATACTGAGACATTAATAGAATTTTTTCAAATCAAAGTAATCACTCGACTATGTTATAGTTATTAAAACTTGCCTAGTTACTATTTATTTATTAACCGACTTCAAAAAGGAGGAGGTTCTCAATTCGACTGTATGTTTTTTTTTGTATGTAACACATACGCGATAACTTTTTTTTGAACCGATTTTGATGATTCTTTTTTGTTGGAAAGAGGGATGGACCTCAGATGTGGTCCTATTTAAATGTGAAGAAAATATTCCACCTCTAAGGGTGGCAAACTAAGGGATGAATGACTTTTAAGGTCGGTTTTTTCACATACAGTTTACTGATTACTGCGTTCAAAATAGGTGGTGTGCCTGCCACAACTGTCGCAATTGCCATTAAATCTGTGAGCCAGATTTGGTAGATTACGTCGCTAATTTCCACGAACAGTGGCTCAACTCATAGTTTCCCAGAGTGGTCCCTACCGCCCTAAGTGAGCGCTGAAGAGTGCTAGGGTGCTAGTGCTAGGGAAGCAATTGGGGGCATTGCTGTTCAAGGGGTGCTAGAACATTTGAAAAAAAAAATTATACTGTACTACGTGTTAAGTTAAAAAATTCGTGTTTTTCATTATTTTTTGTGGTTGTGGGCGTTAAAATTTTTTTATCTTGCCTAAGTGGGCGGTGAGCCAAAAAGTTTGGGAACCTATGCTCTAACCAAAACAAAAATCCGTTTTACTTTTTACACAGCTGTTTTCAGGACATGCTATTTTTTGTTGTGCTAAGACACCGAGCTTTCTACTGATTAAAATAATCTCATTAGGATCGTATACTTCGGATGCGCGCGCCGTATAAGACTCATTATTTCTTAAACAATCTCCCTTATGAATTGGATGTTTTTGATATAGGCCACTGTTGTAGAAAGTCATCGATATGTTGCATGCTTAGAGGATGGAAAAAAATAAAGTTGCATGCATTGACTTACAAATAAATGGACGACGGGTCTAATACAAAAACCACGAAAAAAATGTCCCAAGTCAACCTATTCGAAATTTAAATTGTTATGTCATCGCAGTATCGCGTTGTCAGTAGAACAAATGAAGACTAAAGCGGAGTGTCGCGCTCTGTATACGATTTTAGCGCCTTACAAGTGCGGACATTTTTTAGCGCGGACCCGACGTCCATATAATTGTAAGTCAATGGTTGCATGTAAAGAAAATGTCGTTCTTTTTTCAAATTTTCAGAAACGTTAATAGTCGTTCGCCAAAATGTTTTCGTGTTACTTTTCCGATTAGTGACGTATTGGTTCAATGTGCGATGTATTGAGATAAAAGTATGAAATGACGGGTGAACCACCGACTTATATGATGTGCATTATTTTATGTATATGTATCGTTTTATATAAAGATAACATTTATTATTCTCGTATATAAAGAGAGCCATGAACTCTAGTGCGGTGATCTTATCGGAAAATTAGTGATAACTCTTGTACTGAGTGCAACTTGTTTGAGATTTATGATTCACATTCTATGAATAGTTTTTATAAAATTACTCATTAGTAGTGATGTATGGAAAAGGATATTTACCGAATATTCGGTCAAACTATTCGGTCTGACTAACGCATGTACAAAAATTGGCACGAAAAACATAACTTATTAACTTCAGTTATGATAAATTATTTTATACAATGCAACATAAAAGTTACTTTAATTTTCAAATTTATAATTTTAATTTATGCTTCAATGAAGAAAGTATTTGGGTAATTCTTACAAAACCTCGAAATTCTTGTCTTTTAGCGTTTAAAAAAAAGTATTGAATTTTGCCGCAAAATTAATATTTAATATCAAGCTATAATCAATTGCTACTAATGCCCACATAAAATATTGATTAGTCTATTTAAATAAACAAAATAATAATATAAAAATGTCCCTAAAATCATTCCCTCACTATGTCCCAAGTTCCATTATCAAACACGTTCTGTGCTTTAAATCAATACATTTAACAAAAATAACATTTAAATTTTAAACATTCGATCAAATAAAATATGTTTTTGCGAAATCAAAGCTATCCTGTGGTAAAAAACCAAAAATAAATTTAATAAACGTATATTATTCATGTCTCAACCAAAAAATCATTATCTCACTTTTACCTTCACTCGATTTGTGAACGCAATTTTAATCTTTGGTAAATGCATTTTGTAAGTTTTTAAAAGTTAACAGCAATGTAAACGTTTCAAAATGACGAAATTCAGCTTGTGTATGTAAAAAGTTTCTACTACGAAAAGATTTAATTTAAATTTCTAAAAGTTACATTTTTGACAGTCATTCCCTCACATTATTTAGAAAGAAGTTAAGCATATGATTTTATTTATTAATTATTCACTCAGACGAGTTATTTGTAGCAGCAAGCTTACACAAAATATTAAGTCTAAAGTAAGTTTATATCGCTATTTTTTCTTAACTTATTTTGATTTCGTCATTCCCTCACCCTCAAATGTTCTAACTGCCCTATACATTTTCTTAAAAGTCATTTATTTTGGGGACCACTATATCATCAAAAACGATTTACGTAAGTACTATGAAAGTGACAAAAAATAAATACAATTTCTTCATAAAAATTTTAATAAATATCGGAAGCACGAATTTGGAAATTTCATGAGAACTGCCTATTTGTTTATTTTACTTCCTTTAATTAACCTTCACAAGTTTAATTTAATTTTGGTTTCCATATACACGATAATTTGTAAAATACTTAAATATATTTAATTATTTTCTATATGTTTATATATATAACATAGAAATATTCAAATATATCGTTCTAAAAGGTGATAACTCTGTGCGGTAGCAAAAGAAAGCACCATTACCAAAATTTTGACGTATGACAGCACGCGGGAGACGTTGCTAAAAATACAGATTTAAAAAGTCATTGAATAAAAGTTATTGTGTATGATGATAGTAATACATAACTTATATTGTTATAGATAGTAATACAGTCCAGAGAGGATGTTATTATTTTACAAATAACCCTGCTTGTAATAAATATTTGGTGGAATTTGTTAGTGGTTATTTATACATGAGTAAACTACACCACAACAAGCAGGTAGTTTTAATTTGATATGTTGCCTTTTTCTCGGTCTCTAAAACAATTCATTATAATGGGTCTTTCAACAAGAACTTTGTTTTCTAAAACAAAATAAAACAAAAAATTTAGATGAAGATGATTCAAATTTTTATTGTATTACAAAGAGAAAAGTTCGGCAATTATGAATGAAAAATGATATCTGGCAAATGTCCACCACGACCACGCTGACAGAAGTCGATTCTTTCATCAAAATTTTTAATCACTTTTTGGCAAAATGTCGGTTCTATTTCGGCTATCACATCACGGATTTTGAGTTTTAAGGCTGTAGTCGATTCGATTGGCTCCGTATAGACTCTGTCCTTAAGATAGCCCCACAGAAAATAATCCAGTGGTGTTAAATCACACGATCTGGCTGGCCATTTAACAGCTGAATTTCGGGAAATTACGCGATCACCAAATTTGGTTTGCAATAAATTGATCGTCTCATTAGCTGTGTGACATGTGGCACCCGAATCTCATCGTCCTATGTAGCTATTGAATAGTATAAAAAAAACTAGAAGGGCAGAGATAGCGCCTTTCGGTTTAGCAGGGCAGAGTAGATTATTTTGCACAGATAATTTACAATAACGCAGGCAAAGAAAAATAAATCCTCGCAAGTTTCTCCTTCTTGGCGCATAGACGGCGATGTAAAATTATCGTCATTTATAAACTTATGTACAGGCAAAGCAGTTATTTATTATGTCTAAGCTGGTGCTGTGTTCAATCACCATGAATTTCTTTTGTACTTATAACTTCAACATTGGTGTTAAAAGTCAATATCATTGCCACCTTTTGTACGTTGGTTATTATCCTCCTTCTGGAGTTACTCTCGGTTTACCAGGTCGGCTTAATGCTTGTTTATATAACTAAGGAACTGTTTAGATATTACTCTATATAAATATAGTTAACAACCCTACTGTGATTAGGTATACTCACAATGAAATAGTGCTTTCGTACTCTCCATCCAATGTCAGGCAGTGGGGTTTTAAGATCATACCGTCCATCACCTCTTAAAGCTATTGATACGGTCTGTAATGCTTGTTCTAAAATAACATAAATACGTTTAGTAAATTCTTTGAAAAAAAATGTTATTGTGCAATATGTAATTCACATAAAACATAAAGACAAGGGCTATCTTGAGGGTATACAATATCGGTGCCAATAGACATCAGGGAGAATGAATAGTGCCTACTGCCTTACATTTATAAAGAAAAGGAAAAAGTACACAATACAATACAAGACAGAAGCAATATTACACTTTGTTACAGGAAACTACAGTTTATCAGAATTGTTCATAATAAGTACACTCTATATTTATTGTTTCCTGTTAATATTCCTTTACTCTGTCTATATATTCTTGAACAAAAACGATAAGTGTATCATATTGCAGAGTCAGCAAGCATTACTTGGTTCTGTAATACTATAGTAATTGTAATTTCATATCAGTTTAAAGGACTTAACAATTGGATGGTCCAGACGGTGTGTAATTTAGCAATAGACTACGAAATACGTAATAATAGCATAAAAGCGGCCTCAGACCCTACCATATAAAAGAATTGTCAGTGGTAATTTATACAGATTCTGCATATTAGACAACAACTACTTTTCCAGAAATTACATTAATCATATACATAATAAATAGCTTGAAGAGCACAAGCAGTTCGCACAGAAAACTGATGCAAATTTGCGTCATAAGTTAGACAGAGGATATAAACAGGATAAAGCAAATCAGACTGGTTTTAATTATTAATAAATATAAATATTACCTGCTAAATTTAGTGGATAGTTGCTAGGGTCCAAGAAGCTTCTAACTTGCAGTGTTAGAGCCAGGATCTGGTGTTTAAGCACTTGATTTATATATGTCTGTGAAATAAAAGCTTTACATAATTTTTTTTGTATCTATCCCCTAAGTCTATTCCCTGTCTTACTGAGTGTTGAGATAATTTAAAGTGCAATGCATCAATACCTCACACATAAGTTGTTGTAAGTTATAAAACAGCATGTTGTAACTAAATATGTTTTGTCTTACACTCATAAATCTGCTTAATGGATTCCACCATAGAAAAAAGCATAAAAAGCACACTATAATAAAATTGACAATTCATTTTAGAAAAATTTACACACTTATTGGGTTTTGTCTAAGAACCCTTGTCATATAATAAATTGACTTGTGATAAAAACTTGAATAACATAGACATTAACTGACATTGACTGTTGTTTAAAGGATTGCAGATACTATAGAACTGTAACTAAATTAATTCAGGAACACAATTGCTCTTGCATTAACAAACAACTATTTCTTGTGTCAAGATCATAGCAAATAAAAGGCCTGGGGTAAGACTTCCAGTAGGACCTATTAGGGAAATTAACTGTTCTATAAATTGGTTCTGAACTGGGTGTCTTAATAGCCGTATGGAATCAATTACATTATTTTTTTTTTTATAATAACAAGTGACAGGACGAGCAAGTCATGCACCTGATAGTATGCTATATGCCTGTCCATAACAGTTGCAGTGCCACTCAGAGCTTTGAATTGCAAAGATCTGACAGACACTGTCACTGTGTCCGTCGCTCTGAGACATAAGTTGACAAGTCCCATGTACCTGTAATTTCACCAGCACCCTTACCCTTCAAAACCAGAAAACAGTAATACTGATATTACTCTTTGGCAGTAGAAATTGGTATGGTGGAAGTACTTTCCTAGATGAACTCTTTCACAAGGAGCTCTACTGCTACTACTCAATATTAATATATTGCTACTTAATATTACCATATTACTACTCAATATTACTATATTACTACTCAATATTACTAAATTACTACTCAATATTACTATGTTACTACTCAATATTACTAAATTACTACTTAATATTACTATATTACTACTCTATATTATTATATTACTCCAGTACACATAGTATAGTTGAAGAAATATTAATTGCACTGATGAATTTTATCGCTTTGAATTACAATAAGGTAATAAAACCATTAACACTTCTTTTAGTTAAAGCATACATGTACTTAATGATCTTGGTCCACCAACATTCTGACATTGTTTTGTAAACTGTGGGTACTTTGTTAAATATTGGCCGCTGACAATTTTCTTACCATTTACTATTATTCAGAATATTAAGTTCAATACCAGCAAGTAAAGTATTTAAACTAGTTGTTTGCACTATACTGATGGTGTCTAGATTTCATCAACTATACTGAGCATTCTCTAGTTTGAGACCAGGTAAGTTTTGTGGCTGCATGGCACATTAACATTATTGTGTTCTCTACTTACACCAATGAGACAAAGGGGGGAAGTAAATATGTTATTATTTTCTAATTTTTCCTTGACCATTCAACATGGATTGAATAATACCTGTAAAGCTATCTGTCTCTCAGCTATAAAGGAAGGTTGCATATTTCCAATAAGTTTCTTTGGTGGCAATGGCAATTCGATGTTAGCGGACTGCAGGCTCGCGTGCAGCGCCGCGAAATCCCTGTACCGTCGAGACACATTCCATTTATCCTCCTTATTCGGCCCCCTTTGCACTCGTAAAATATACTCCTACAAACAAAAACAAAACCAACATTATGCAACTTTGGAATGCATAAACAACCATCTACGTGTAGGCGACAGAATTCAACAGACTTACTCATTAGACCGTGAGCATTTCATAACAAAAACCTCACTCACCGTGTGTTTGTTAATGTTTTGTGCATTTTCTACTACACAGATTAGTTTCTCAGTGTCGTCCACAACAATTCTGCTCTGCGATATTTTTTCGAATATAGCCATCACGGCGGCCAAGATGTAGCTGCATTCATTACAATTTAGTCTAGTATTATTTAGCGATGACAAGCACTGATCATTTTGTTATCACTAGGGAAAAAACAGAAAATTGTCCGAGAAACTGAAACGAAATTGAAGTTCTGGATTTGACAACTAGAGTGATTGTTCGTTCATTTCACAACACAAGTTTCACAACGTTATTGAAAATGTAATAAATATTTAAAAAATATGTTAAAGTTTAATTTTTCAATTTGAATATATTTGGCCCACTTTATAAACAGGAGTTAACCGGTCTCTTAATTTATATTTAATTTATTTTTGAAAAAGCAAGAACAGCAACTATACAAAAATTAAACGAATATAACCTTCATTTGACGGCTGTCAGCTGTCGCTGATAATTTGTCATTTTTAGTTCCTTTTTTAATTTTCAACATTATTCGTATTTTCACAGCATTTATGATAAGAGTAAAAATATTTTATAGTAAATTTTAAATTGTTAAGTTATGTTTCTCTTTGTACAACTTTGTCTTCAAAATATACTAATATATGAACGTTAACCGATACAGAAACTTTATGGTTCAGTTCCGTTTCTTAGCAGTACGCTCAAAATTCAGTATCAATTAACTCACAGACAGTTATAAACCGAAAATATAATTCCTTGTTTTGAAAATAAAATCATCTATTTGAGCTATATTATATATGGGTTAATATAATCTTGTAAATAAGCTATAAAAATACTTTTTAATAAAGATATAGATATATATGCATTCTAATCAACAATAAAACTATTCACGATATTTGAACGATCTTGATTCTGCGGGTAGGCCATAGATAAAATCAATTACCTCACTTCCGGTTCGACCGCCGACGAAACACGAGCGGAGAAGTACACGAGCCGTGCCACAGAAATTAATAAATTTGTGAAAAATGTCGCTGATCTCCGCTCGTTTGGCCTCTTCTGTGGCCAGGCGTTTACCAAATGCCGCGACACAGGTATGCGTTATTTTATATTATAGTTACAATTTTCCGGAGAAGTGCAATAAGCGATAGATGACCGGTGTTCATGTCCGAAATCTGCCCATTTTGTGCCAAATTGTGGATCGTTCTCGTGAATAACTCGCTTTGAGTGTTCGGGATTAGTGTTAAACTCTGTTTCGTGAATTACCTGACCTTTATGTGATTTATAAATCATGATATGGGAACTAAATGTCTTATGTATGAACCGTGTTATGTAATGTGTCGGTCAAGTATTTTCTGTTACCGGGACATGCCTATGGCAATTAAACTCGCGGCAAACTTCAAAAAAATGTGTCTGACGTACTTAGAATATAATAAATAATAGTAGTGAGAACTTCGGTAAAAAAGTGTTAAGTTGCTGATGATTTTGGTTATGTCTAGGTGTCGAAGGTCGCGGTGCCCGCGATGGCGGTTGCCTCGCGCAAGCTGCACATCTCGGCACCGAACCGGGCTGCCGAAATATCCACCATCCTGGAGGAGAGAATCCTCGGTTCCGCACCCAAGGTCTGTCAATTTGCTCTTGTTACATAAACATATCCGTGCATCTACCTGCCACAAGTTTTGCTGACTTATCATCTATTGTAGTGAGAATTGTAATCTTGAAAATATCAATTTTAGTTATATAAATCAAGCAGTGATTTAAATATTTGTGAACCAGATATAGATGAAAAATATTTTATCCTTATTTGATAGGTGTCACAGAAGCATATTAAAAATAACCATTGAAGGGGGGTTAGTCTATTCCACAAATTGTCGCCTTACTTTCTCTAACTCGTGTCTAATAAAGAGTCATAGTAATAGAAATTCAGGAGATGGCAAAACTCCATATTTATTTTAAATTTCTTATCAAGTGTGTTAATTTGGTTGCATTACTTTAAGAATATGGAAAATCTAGTGTCTAAATATGAAGGAACTGTGGTGTCAAGTTAGCTTACAACATTTTTATACACAATCCATTTTTTGCATTTCAGTAACTTTGTGCTTATATGGTCCTTTTTATTATTATGGTCTTATTTATTACTGGACTTAACTTTTGAATTATTAAATTATATAAGAAAATACTGCTGTCGTATAAAAAATTGCTTAGCCTTGAGGTATTACAAATCCCTATTTTTTGGCCCCTGACTAGGACATCATTTTAAGGGCCTGTTCAGCATATGAAACCAAAGGACTTTTACAATGGTTATGCCTTCCTGAAAAAAGTAATAAAATCAACTGTTATAGTAATTGTTCACAAGGTTTAGTAAAAATTCTACCCAAATATTTTACCAATGGCTGTTTCTACAGTTCTGTGAATAGACTTTTAATCAATTCCTTATTTTAAACCATTGGTATATTAAAGCCACATGATCATAATATCAAAAGTGCTTTTATCGCATGAAAGTAATACGAACTACATGAAACAAAATTACATGATTATCCTATTTAGGCATGAATTTGTTTTTAGAATCTTAAATTTTTTTCCTGATAGTTGATACTTTGCAGATATGGCCTTATAACAACCAAGGGTGCAATTTAGGGTGTAGACCACAATCTGCTATGCTGTTGAGAATTTCACACATCTTCCAAGGGGTGTAAACCTACTCAGATTGATACCTCCAATTAACACTATGCTGACTTAATTTTTATCTTGTTCTGTTTTTATTTTGTTTTTTGTTTCTTTTTTTCACAAAATTTGTTTTTTGTGTTATTTTTTCCAATTTTGTTTTTTGGTTCGTTATTTTTTGTTGTCACGAAATTCCAGGAGTATAATGTTAGCAAATAAATATGGTTGTTTGCAAAAATAACTGAAAATGACCAAAAAATAAAGTTAGCCTACCAAGCCTACCAAACCTACATTGGCAGTACCAAGATATGCAGGTTGCATCACAATGTCAAAACTATTTTTTTTTGTACTGCACCAAATTCTTTTTCCTTATAATTCAGGGTTAGTTAGGACTTTAAAGAAATAATTTTACCATAGTTGCTAAATGGTGTGTTGCGTATAATAGAAGATTTATCTATTGCCCTTAAAGTTATCAAGTGTTCTAACCACAATGAGATAAATAAAGACCAATGTAACCCTTGATATGTGTACTATTTATGTCCTTGACCCTATGTAATTTGGCTCTTTTTCTGTAGGCTGACTTGGAGGAGACTGGCCGCGTGCTAAGTATTGGTGACGGTATTGCCCGTGTCTATGGTCTGAAGAACATCCAGGCTGAGGAGATGGTGGAATTCTCCTCTGGTCTCAAGGTAAGATATTATATTAATTAAATATATTAATTAAATTGGTGTGTTCCTTTGTCACAAGTTGAATCTTGAGAATATATTTTAAAGATTTTATTTAAATTGCATGCTATGGAGGTCACAGGAAGAGCAGGCAGAGTGGAGAAATATATTGAGGAAAAACAATTAAATATATTATTATAGTGTATAAATGTATAAGTAGACCATCAAGTACTTTCTAAATGATGTTTATTTATTTATTTACATTACACAAAGAAACAATATAAAATAAAACATAATGCTTACATTTTGCAGACTTGAACTAACAGGCATCATTTGTTTAAACACTTTCTTACATCCAAGATTTGAAAAAAATAAAACTATAAGTCTGATTTAAGATTCCAGAAAACACATCATTGCAAAATATATACTGGCTTTAGTGTTTGCATGAACCATAGTCAAAATTTGTAAGATGACAGAAACTAACGACATTGTACTCTTTCCAATAGGGTATGGCCCTCAACTTGGAGCCTGACAACGTAGGTGTGGTAGTATTTGGTAATGACAAGCTCATCAAGGAAGGAGACATTGTCAAGCGTACTGGTGCCATCGTAGATGTGCCTGTGGGTGAAGAGATCTTGGGCCGCGTCGTTGACGCTCTGGGCAACGCCATTGACGGCAAGGGACCGATCAACACCAAGACCCGTATGCGAGTCGGTATCAAAGCCCCGGGTATCATCCCCCGTGTATCTGTGCGCGAGCCAATGCAGACTGGTAATTTTAGCACAAAATTATTACTTATAAATCAGTTAACTTGCCATGCCAATCAGAGATTTATATCACAAAAATCTGAGGGTCACTGCCACTGCGCCTGACACTCTGAGACATAAGTTGATAAGTCCTATGTCCTTGTAATTTCACCAGCACCGTTACCCTTCGAAACCGGAATGCAGTAATGCTCACATTACTGTTTGGCGGCAGAAATAGGTAAGGTGGCAGTACTTCCCTGGATGAACTCTTTCACAAGGAGCTCTTGTGCTACAATATTACTTTGTCCTTTATTGTTTTATATCGAGACATTACAATTTCACTACCTATTCTTAAACATATATTTCCATAGGTATCAAGGCCGTGGACTCCCTGGTACCTATCGGTCGTGGTCAACGTGAGCTGATCATCGGCGATCGTCAGACCGGCAAGACTGCGCTGGCCATCGATACTATCATCAACCAGCAACGGTTCAATCAGGGCCAGGACGAGAAGAAGAAGCTGTACTGCATCTACGTCGCTATCGGACAGAAGAGGTCCACTGTCGCTCAGATCGTGAAAAGGCTGACTGACGCTGGTGAGGAACATGTTTAACCACCCTGGATAGACATGCGTTTATTCTTGGATAGATTTAGATGTCAGACTGTACCACTAACTTGCCAAGGGTACCAAATAGACACTTGCGTCGCGCCACAGCCGCCGACAATTCTAAGGTCGGCGGACTAAAACATTTGTATCAATATAATTATATATTTTTTGTGTTGTTTATAGCGTTGGAAGATGTGAAGAGAATGATAAATTTGAAAAAGACGAGTCTAGAAAAAGTTACAAATTAATAAAGTAACAAATGAATTTGACTTATGTACTTTAGGTGGTAGATGTATTAATTGAAATGAATGATGTTGGATTTAGTCAGAATCCAATCCCTGTGCTATAGTCCGCCGACCATAGAATTTTTCCACACCGTCGCATGTCCCAAAATCGGTGTGGCGAGAAATTTATTTTAAAGAAGTATCATTATTATAATATTGTATTTCAATACAATATTTCCGTAAAATTAAAATTAATTACAGATAGTGTCTACAAACATCCTATTCATAGTAGATTTAAAGAGTGTTTATTTTTGTTTGTTTTTTTTACAAACATGCTGTGATTATAATTAAGTTTTGTTAAATGTTTGATCACCATGATATTCAATTTTTTTTTAAGTTAGTCCACTAGTTTGTTATAATATTACTACAAAGAAACTTTTGCTTTCTTAACTGTGTAGAAGACCACAGATTTTATTTTTTACATGATATGCTGCCAAAGCCTTATTACCACCTCTTGAAGGTTTTGAACGCTTATGTAAATGATCTAAATCAACAAAGAATTATGACACATTGTTTATTTTTATGTGGAGCCCATTGTACGTTAATAACACTTTCAGTATGAGTGAAATAGTTGTGACCTTAATAATATAATGATCAAATTACTGCTTTCGTTATTTTCACTAAGCGGAGAGATGTCAAATTAACGAAATCCCATTTACTGTTTACACATCTCTGAACCATTTTTCGCTTTTCGGGTGTAATGGGCTTTATAAAACATTCCAGGCGCCATCGGCTACACCATCATTGTGTCCGCGACGGCTTCCGATGCTGCGCCGCTGCAATACCTGGCGCCATATTCGGGCTGCGCCATGGGCGAATTCTTCCGTGACAACGGCAAGCACGCCCTTATCATCTACGATGACTTGTCGAAGCAAGCTGTAGCCTACCGTCAAGTGAGTAACTTTTGATGAGTGAAGATTTTTAATTAACACTAGCGGACTTTATCAATATGGATTGAGTGCTTATGAATAAGATATGAATATATAAAACAATATAAAGATAGCTACATAAAACAAGTAATAGAACAACAAAGAACTAACTTAACTGCCTCCGTGGCCGAACGGTTACCATGCCGGACTGCCAAGCAGAGGTCCCAGGTTCGATTCCCGGGCCGGGAGAAATTTCTCTCGTGAGTTTGGGTGTAATTTGTGATTGTCTATGTGTGTGTCCATGGCACCCGCGACACAGGGTTTCCCTAGTGCGCGGCTATGTTGAGTGTGTGCGTTAAAAAAAAAAAAAGAGTGACCTACAAAGTAGCCAGAAACAAAAAAAATTGAATTTAGAAGTTAAATAGGAAAAATATTTTTTTATTTATTAAGGCTTTGGCAGAGCCATCAGCCTAAACATGAAGTTTGTTTCTGTAAATATCCACAAAGAGGATAGGCAATTTGAGGCGGCGTGTTTGGATTGACTCCTTAAAACGGGCCGATACGGATATTCTAGTTCGAGATTCACATAATTTCGCGTTTTAATCTTCGATTAAGGCACAATAGCACTATCCTATTCCACTTTAAACTAGATTTCACAAAATAATTGAAAGTCAAAATAAAAACGACACTTCCCTCCAAAAGGTCCAGAGCGAATGGAAAAATATTATAAACGAAAAAAAAAATTCATGCAACTATTGCAGCTCGTAACAAACACGGTGTAGTGGGCAAAGTTTAGATTTAAATTTATTTTTTAACATAAAGGAATTTGGTTACAGTAGACTAAATTTATTAATATTACAATTTCCATTACTTTGTTTGATTTAAAACAAAACTCAATACATATTGTGTTTTTTTGAAGATTGTCACCCATATGATGCAATGATTAAATGAATAAGGATAATCTTCATTAGAGGGCTCGGGAAGTCCAATAATGTTTGTTAATTCGTGATTGATCTCGACTTGATTTTTGGTAACATAACATGCAACAGTTATGGTTACAGCTCGCTAGTGAGTATCCGGGTTTATGTTGCAATTGTTAACACATCAGATCAGACTTGTTTGGAAATATAACATTTTTTTGAGTTATGTTATGTTATATTTCCACTGACTGTAGAAGCCGATGTGCCTAGATGCGGCAACGTCCGTTACAGTAATCTTTGTACTGTCTTAGTAGATTAGTTTGGATAAGGTTTGAATCTGGTCACTTTGTCACTTTAGATTGAGTTCAAAAGCTTGCCAAGAAGCTGACTCGGATTTAGTATCTGCAGAGCCTTGAACACCGCCGCCCTTTAGTTGCCTGATTATCGGTGTTCTACAAGATATATTCCGCCTTCCCCTTTCCATCATCGGGGGACTAGATGCAGCGACAAGCTCGCGAACCACGTACACACTATGGTTTTTGGTAACATAACATGCAACGGTTACAACTCGCTATTGAGTACCCGCCTTTAGATTATATGGCTATGAACTTAGTTAAGACTTAGGTTGAAATGTACATTTCAGATGTCCCTGCTACTGCGTCGTCCCCCGGGTCGCGAGGCGTACCCTGGTGATGTATTTTACCTCCACTCCCGTCTGCTTGAGCGTGCCGCCAAGATGTAAGTAGGCGTATAATATAATAAGACAAGTAAGGTAACTCCATACACTCGCATACACCTCTTGTTCAAATTTAGAATTGCTCAGCATTCCGTTTCTATTTCATAATTATACTCCCATAATCGAGATACCATTCCGCGATGCTGTATAAAAATATCAATAAGTAAGTACTGCATTTAAGAAAGGTTATTGCAATATAGCGCAAGAATATGACAACCCTACGCTCCGAGCGAAGTGTAAGCACTTACGCGCCGAACAGGCGGGAGTTACCCTACTTGTCTCATTGCTCTATGGTAGGTTTAATGTGCAACTAATGGTAAAAAACAGGACGTGATTATCGCCGCAATTTATAGCGGAGCTTGAAATACAAGACATTGCTATAATTTTTTTGACAAATAGTGTTCACTGAAGGTACGGAGTGTACCAAACTAAACTACATTTATTCATATAAACTTTTTTTTTAATTTAACACATTTTAACATTGAATAATTTTTTTTAAACTAAAAAGACTCCTTAAATTTATTATTGTTATATTTTATTATTTGGTTTTTCTGATTGTCTGTTGATCTATTTATACAATATTGTTGCAATGAGAGGGAAAATATTGCTTTGTTAAGGCTACTAAATAACTTTTTTCTGGGCAAACAACGTTATATTATGGTACATAAAGAAACATAGACTACAGGGTTTAAACGTTACTTTGAAGCGCACAAAACGGCTCTTAACTTACTTTTACGGCACGGTGAAGTTTACTTTAAAAAATAATCATTTTGAAACCTGCCCCAAAACAATGTTAGTGTCATTGATATATTTCTTACGCCTAGCCTATTTCTACTGCACATAATTTCAAAACTATTCCGGTTGATATAAAATGATTAAGTATCATTCTCTTTAATTACTTATGTAATAGAAAGGCAAACGATTTTAAATCCAGTCAAATTAGATGAAATTGTGAGCAGAGCAATCGACATTCTTTATAAATTTTTGTTAGGTAATCTGTAATGTTAAAAATACAATATAAATATAAAAAGTCTTTCGGGTGCCTACTAAACTAAATACTTAGAAATAATGGGATGCCTCTCTTAATGTTTTGTTGGCTCAGGTTATCTGTTTCCAGATTTAAAAAATAAAAAAAGAATATATAAATGCGACTTTGTACCTGACCACATGACCACATGACCACAAACAAGTTGTGGGCCTGGTGGTAAGCGACACGTCTGTCCATAACAGTTGCAGTGTCACTCAGAGTTTTAAAACGCAAAGATATGAGGGGCACTGCCACTGCGCCCGTCACCATGAGACATAAGTTGACAAGTCCCATGTGCCTGTAATTTCCCACCACCCTTACCCTTTAAAACCGGAACGCAATAATGCTCACACTACCGCTTGGCGGCAGAAATAGGTAAGGTGGCAGTATTTCCCTGGACGAACTCTTTCACAAGGAGCTCTACTGCTACTTGTACATTAAAAAAGTAACATACCGTTTTTGTTTTGATTTTGACAACTGTGCGGACCGTTGAGGTGCACATGACGCATGTATGGAACAAAAGTCGTTCGTTTCTTAGCATCCGTTTAATAAAATAGTTTATCATGAGCAGGTACAGTATACACCAATATAAATTTCTCATCAGCTATACAATCTCTAAATAAAAATAAATTTTTCAGGTCCGACAAAATGGGCGGTGGCTCCCTGACGGCTCTGCCAGTAATCGAGACGCAGGCCGGTGACGTGTCCGCGTACATTCCCACCAATGTAATTTCCATCACTGACGGACAGATCTTCTTGGAGACCGAGTTGTTCTACAAGGGCATCCGGCCAGCCATCAACGTCGGTCTCTCTGTGTCGCGTGTAGGATCCGCTGCCCAGACCAAGGCCATGAAGCAGGTAAAAAGGCCTTATAAGTCATCCAAGTGCAAAGTATTACATTTGCGAGAAATTACCTAAATATGGGTTTGATATACAATGATTTGGTGCAAGAACAAATTCTTTGGGGTGCTAACAGACTGCCGATCTACAATTTCAATTCAATTCCAACCATTGACTGTATTCAATGCGAACGGTACTCCGAGAATCAAATGCAACAATTACCATTGTTATAAGACAAATTAAAATGGAGGGTTCCCGTAGTAATGTTTAATTCCTTAATAAAAATTAAATTAGCATTTGGGATCATATTAGCATTTCATATCTAAATATCGTTTATATACAGTGACCTATTTATAAACAACTATCTATACATATCGCTTTCGCGCACACAGTCCATCTGCGATGTCCCATTACACTCGTATTATTTTAAATATCAGCATGTAACATGGTTGGGGCAATGCCTTCTCAATAAAGACAGGATTCTCCATAATCGACACTTTCGGCAAAATACCAAACCTTATTTGCTTGTAGAAAAAAATGATAGAAAATTTTTTTCCTCCTCCCACTGCAGTTTTGTTGTTTGTCAATCAGATACAGAGCACTTGACAATATTTTTTATGAGGGGTTTTGGGTGAGTGGTATCTATAACTAATTAAATCCGTTGTTTAGGTGGCAGGTTCCATGAAGCTGGAATTGGCCCAGTACCGTGAGGTAGCCGCCTTCGCTCAGTTCGGCTCTGATCTGGACGCTGCTACTCAGCAGCTGCTGAACCGTGGTCAGCGTTTGACTGAGCTGCTGAAGCAAGGACAATATGTGCCCATGGCTATTGAGGAGCAGGTTAGTTGCTACCTTTATATGCCTGTACTTACAAAGCAGTGCAGCAAGTTTTTATCCGAAAAGCAAATGAAACTTCAGTTCACATGTTTCATCTGTACCATATTTTTGCCATGCGGCGGTACATGCAACATGAACACTATTATCCGCCCTATGCGTTGCATGCTTCAAATAAAGGAGGAGGTTCTTAATTCGACTGTATTGTTTTGTGCATATCGACTCATCCGAAGAACAAAGACCTATGTGCAAGTTTGCTTATTCTCAAGACATCGTAGATTTTGTACGTTGTTCTTAACTGTGGATATCAAATCGACGGTTGTTCGATTTTATATTTCCGAAACGAAATGATACATAAAATTCTGGGAACACCTACAGCTAGGTCTTATTTTGAATAACGAGGTTATGTATTTATCCTCTTTTCGTTGTATAATCACATCGGACTCTGTTCTTCGGATGAGTCGATATCTTACGCGATTACTCCAGCATTTGTGAACCGATTTTGATGATTATTTTTTGTTGGAAAGGGTACCTCTGGTGTGGCGCACTTTCCAGTAATCGATTTCTATAAAACTTGGCAATTAGATGTAATCCCATAAATCGAACTTATGATGATTTTTTTTTATATAAAAAAGTTGTATATCACTTCAAATCACCACGCAAAATAGGCGCCCTGGCGACGAATTGCGGACACCAGTTACACCGTTACACCAAGGTCACTTAAAATCTTTTAAATAAGTTTTGTATGTAACAGTATTTATCATATCAAATTTGTTAAACTATATGTATTATAGGTCGCCATCATCTACTGCGGTGTCCGTGGTCACTTGGACAAACTGGACCCCAGCAAGATCACTTCCTTCGAGAAGGAGTTCACAGCGCACATCAAGACCAGCCACCAGGGCCTGCTCTCCACCATCGCAAAGGACGGCCAGATCACCAAGGAATCCGATGAGGCACTGAAGAAGATCGTCACCGACTTCATCGCGACCTACTCGGCCTCGTCTTAAATGACGTTTTTTGACGTTCTAATTTGACGCAGAACTGTACCATATATAAGTCGAAAATGCCCCGTTAATAATTATGCATTCAGATGCATGCAAATAAAGGATGATACGAATTTCCTAAGAGTAATCAGTATAAGTACGATAAACCATACGTAAACGTAGTTTTGGCCAATATTCGGATAAATCGTAAAATTGTTGGTACAGTCCTTCTTCAAATTTCGGTAACAATATTTAAGCGATTCTGTTAGTGAAACCACTGTGCCTCACAGTGGTCTCACTAGCAAATCTTTGTAGTTTATCATTTGTATGCACTGTATTGAATGTGAATACAATCATGGAATGTATTTATCTCGAAAGGAAAGAGTGGTATAAATAAACATCATACACTTTTTTGTGCGTTTTATTTGGTATCACTTGAAATCTATTCATATCGGCAGAGCCGAAATATTTCCGATCCATGTCGTGAAATAAATGCAGAAATATAGTTATCTTTTATCAAAAAGACGTGACTTTTTTACTTAGACGGTAGAAATATTTTTTTTATAATATAAGTGACGGGTCGAACCAGTCCTGCGCTTACTGTTGGGAAATTTTCCGAAAAATTTCAAATAGTGGATTTTGATCGGAAAAATCCAGAAAAATGTAATTTGGAAGACTTCTAAGTTCTACGTTTAGAAATATCTTTTGAAGTTTTGTAATTATCCCACATTTATGACACTAGTATCGGGTCATGGAAAAATTTCTATTTTGAAAAAAATCATATTTTTCCTTAGAGGATGGAAAAAAATGAAGTTTTCCTTTAATTTTCCACATTTGACGTTGCCACCGAGAGTTTTCCTTCCTATGAGGAGGAGTTAGTTTGCGTTAGCATTCTTAAGGAGCATCGTGTAAGTTTGGGAGAAGTATTTCTATGTTGACACCTGTCAAAAGTTGAAGTTACTGAACGAAAACGATGGACCCAGATAAAAAAGGTTTTTTCGCTGTGGTCAAATCATTTTAAATCTCGTTTTTCTTTAGCTACACAAGTTTATTTTATAATTCACGCTAAATAAAACTTAAATAAATATTTCTAGGCGCAAAACATAATTTAAGCCTTCGAAATTATATTTTTGCAATTTTTTGGGAAAAATTTGCATCATATTTTGAAGTTTTTCGGAAATTTACCCAACAATACCTAACAGTATTATTTAATCGTGGCAGATATTTTTAATTAACTTAATTTTTTTTTACATACCTCTTAGCCAAGATGTAATAAATTTAAAAAAAAATACGCGAACTGTTTATCGATCGGCTGATTGAGCTTGGCAGTAAAAATGAGCACGTTGTGGTACTGTCACTGTGAGTTTGAGCCGGTTTTTAAAATAGTTAATGTTACTGAATAAATTGTCTAAAATCCCGTACACATTGAAATATATAGTGTTTACCAGAATTTTACGATCTCAGTATATATTATTTTATGTCACTTTAATATAAAACTTAGCGCTAATAATAATGGAGTCTTTCGAGAGAGCACACGTTGCTAAAACCAAAGATTGTTCCCAAAAAGAGACTAAATCGGGAGAAAACAAAAAAGAGCAACTGAGGCAAATGCTATATGGGTACAAACATAGCGATAACAAGCTAATTAAAGAATCTGAAGACTTAAAAATAGATTTCGAAAACTCAAGTTCTGTGAGCGGAGTTTCCGATCTCAACCTTACTAGTTCCAGCGTTGAAGGCGATGAACCGCCAAATTTAACGAATAGTGATCTTAAAGATACAAGCCCATTTAATAGTAAGGACTTAAGTAGTCTAGATGTAAATTCATCAGAAGTAGAACTAAAGGACAAGAAAGAGCGCGAAAGCTGCCAGAAATTAAATCCAAAAAATGAACCAGAAGGCTCAGCTGAGGGTCGAAATCGTCAAGTCAGTGCTGAGTCCCTGTCAGACTACAATGAAGAGATTGAGTCACCTCCTGAAGATGCTGATCTTCCAAAATATCCACATTCAGCTTACGATACCATGTTTGATTTTACATCGGAAGATTCTGACCCAAGGTCTGACGATGACGAATTTGACCCTGATGGCTCATTAGCTCAGAAAATACTTGCAAGATTAGAAGAGTCGAGATATTACAGGAAACAAGGTGAAAAGAGAAAACGTGATCCAAGTAATATGAAACGAACAAAGAAAAGGAACAATGTCAAAAAAGAGAATGAATGTGAAGGTCCTTCCAGGCCTAACGATGATATTAATAAAGATGTTGAAATGGTATCTCTTGAAACGGAGATGTCTAAGATACCATTACCTAAAAAACTATATATGGATATTTATCTTACCAGTGAAAGCTCTGAAAGCAGTGATTCAGATCTAGATACTAGTGACATATCAGAAAGTTTATCTGAAGATGATGATGTTATGAAAGAATCCAATGATCCCACACCATTTGTGTCTATATTAGCTGCAAATGTACCAAGTCAAAGTCTAAGTGATGTTTTAGGAGATTATTGTCATCCTACAGTAAGAAATGTGCCATTTGAAAGTCAGAACATAAATTCTATTGATAATTCTGGGATATTTACAACTGAAGATGAAAATATTACAGATTTAGTTGAACCAAATGATGAAATTGGGAGTCTCATTCCTGAGATAGATAATACTGAAACTGTAGATGATATGGAAATACCTACAGACTTGGATACAAGTTCACAAAACCCAAATGAGGAAAGCACAGTTTATGATGAAACTTTGCAATCAGAAGACATAACAGAAAAGGAAGAATCGTTAGACTCTATTAATCCTGTTATAATAAACCCTATTAAAGTATATTATGGTAAAAAGTCATGCATTCTTGTTATGAAACATCCTGCTCAAGTTTACATGCATGGTAAAGTCAAAGTTAAGTCATTAGGTGGTACTGTAGAGATATTTGGGTATACTCTTCAAGAAAACACATATGATATTTATGCACCACATTACAATTTTGCACAAAGCATAAAAACTGTAGAGAATGCAAATGCATTTTATGGTTTATTTGGTAAACTCACAGCAAGCGGTTTATCTGTATCAGATGCTGAGGAAGTAGTGACTTCAATTGGAGAGCATGATGCAGTTATCTACTTGCAACCATTGACGAGCAGAAAAATTGAATTTGTACAGACTAATTTCAATGTAACTGATTTGTTTAGCAAGCAGAATAGGAATGTTGATAATTGTTTAAAGAAAGCCTCTAACTTATTAGGTTGTTCGCTGTATTTGTCAAAGCCATTGAAGAGTTTACAGGAACCAGTCAGTTGGAAACAAGTCATACAATATGGACTGGGTAAGACGTTGATAATTTTATTTTAAATAACATTTTGCTTTTACTATTTTTATAAAATCGTGTAAAATATTCTGTTCTCTATGAGAAAATGAGAATAAGAAGCCAATATATTGTGAAGTTTTTATTATGTTTTATTTTCTTTACTTTTAAGTTTATTGTGTTTTGCATTTTTTTTGGAATGTTATGAAATACAAGCTGTGTACCCCACCAACGGTGGGGTCGGGCTCGGCCTGCGGCGCGTGGTCGGGTTTAGACTGCAGGTTGTGCTTTTGCTCTTCGGTAGCACAGCGTTTAGTACTATGGGCGCTTGATGATGAGGTTCTGGGTTCGATTCCCGATTTGGGCCAAATTAGGAAACGGACATTTCTAAGTTAGTTCTAGTCTGAGTATTCTGGGATATTACCCTCGGAGTGATCGTTGTTCTGGTATTCATAGTACAGGAAATTCCCTAATTTGAGTCCAAAAATTTGGTGTGATTGGCATTTTTTTCCCTAAATAATTATCTTTGGCATAGTTTCCAAGTAATAAATAAATAAATAAACTACATTGCTAAGTGTGCCTTCCATTTTGAAATATTGTACTCGTAATAGAGTTTCGCATACTATCTACGTACGGTGGTGTGCGGACGCTTCTGGCTTCGCCCGAAATTATGATTGAAGCCATGCCATTTTCAGTCTAATTAGAGCAAATTTTTATCTACCGCAGAAAAAGTTTGAATGGTAGCCATATTGAAAAATGGCGAGAAATAAATTATGACCGCAAATTACTATTAAGCACCCATGGAGACCCCGACATACCGATTTTCAGTAGAATTAGAGCAATTTTTTTCTGCCGTCAATGAACACTTATGTGGCAGCCATGTTTGAAAATGGCGAAAAAGGGATCAGACCAAACTTTTTTCTGCCACCAAAAAACGCTTGTATTACGGCCATGTTTGAAAATTGCGAAAAACCAATTATGACCACAAATTGTTATCAAGCACTCCTAGAGAACCCCACATGCTAATTTTCAAAGGGATCAGAGCAAATTTTTTTCGGCCGCCAACGAACGCTTCTGTGGCGGCCATATTTGAAAATAGCAAACAACAAATTTTGACCACAAATAGTAGAAACCTCCATATGCCAATGTTAAGCCGAATCAGAGCAAGTCCCTTTCGGCAGCTATTTTTAACAAAAAAACGAATGTATGGCAGCCATATAAAAAAATGGTGAAAATAAACTTTTGACCGCAAATTATGATTAAGGGCACCTAAACACCCCCGCATGCCAATTTTCAGCCGGATCGAAGTAAGATTTTCTTCGACCGCCATTTTGAGTTCGCCATCTTGAATTTTTTTTGACACAGGCAGTTGTTGACCGCTGTTACCCTCTATGACATTCCATCCAACACCTATCTCTAATAGTTTTCGTGATAGAAGACCTTGAAGTTTGTACGAGTATGACGGCGATCTTGTTTATTTTAATTTCGAACATTTTGTGCATCCGGCGGAAATTGACCAGGGTGTACCTCATAATAACAATAATAATAATAAAAAGTGCACAAATATCCCCTCCATATACTATAGTTTTTGCAGGCCGTTGATCACTCTTTCATATTTTCCACACTCAGGTCATCTCATGTTTGATTCTTTGCTTTGGCACCTATCCGCGTACAACGGTATAAATATCTTTTTTCCACCATATCGGCAAGTATGCGTTCTATTTCTATCAGTGAGTAAGAACTTGTTGCTTTGTATATATAATATTCTCAAACCTGTTCTATTTTCTGTGTATAATACAGTTTTCTTTTATTCACAGCTGACCATATTAGCAAGGGCATAATATGTGGAGGCAAAGGTGCTGGCAAATCCACATTTCTACGTTACTATGTGAATAAACTCCTTGTTCAGGGACCAGTTCTGGTCATAGACCTGGACCCTGGGCAGTGTGAATTCACTGTGGCTGGCAACGTGTCGGCCACGGTTGTCACAGAGCCTTTATTGGGACCGAATTTTACACATTTGGGGATTCCGGAGTTGTAAGTTTGTATGTTACTATTATAACAACTGTTATTTATGCTATAAGCGATTGTTTCTCAATATCGTTTTATTAATTTAGATAATGTTAGATTATTGGCAGTGTGGTGGACACTGCCAATAATCTAACATTATCTAAACTTCCTAACTGATTTAAAGATATTTTAATTACACACATACAAAAAATATCTAGGGATCAAGCATGTTTTTGCCAATTACTGAAAATCAGGTTTTTTAATTAATGTTTCTAATTCCAACAGTTTTTTGGTCAATTTCATAAAAAATAAGTAACTAAATAAATATTTTTATGTGCTTGCGTCGTATCTTTGTATTTGGTTTTTCAACAACTTTTTAGTCGTAGCGCCATCTATGAGAAATCTATGATATTTCGTCACCTAGTTAGACACCTTTACAGCTACTAGCCCGACTAGAGATTTAAATACAATGAACAGCGACATCTCTAAAAAGTCGTTGAAAAACCAAATACAAAGTTACGACGCAAGCACATAGAAAAATTCGTGAGGTCCGCTGGTTCGTTCCGTAACTAAATAAATAATTTAATAAATTTATATAGGTAGGGTACCAAACCTTATTAAGGCACCGGCCCTCATTTAGGTATCCACTGTTTGTACTAAGTACTACACAAATAGTGCGTACTGTATCACTACAGTTTACACCAGAAGACGCGCGACCTGTCTTCTGGCTCGTATCTAGTTTGTGTGTTACACAATTCTACAAAAATTCGCTTTCGGTGCCCTCACGGGCACTGACTGTACATTTTTATTTAAGTTTAATAGGGTAATCAAATATTTAAAAAAATTACTTTGTTCCCTAGACACATTTGATGTGTGTAATTTGATATATGTGTTTTCCCTTTCTTGACCATTATTGTTAAGGTAGCTTCATTCAGAGCCTATGCAGCTGCGATTAGTAATTGATTTATTGTGATCACCACCATTATAAGTCAGAGCTAATACCAGTAGCTCATTAATTACAATAGTTTCCCTACAGCAACGCAACGCCTTTAATGTTCGCAGATACAGCCATCCGTGTAGATAGGTACCTACTTACTCAGTCATACGCATATATGTAAGGGTATACACAAATTGAAAATTAAAAATGTTACTAATTAATTCATATAACATTCAGATTCAGATTCAGATTCATTTATTTCTCAAATATAACATTACAGTATAAATTGCACTACATGTCAAAGTATAAGAAATTATATTGAGATCGTCAAAAAGGAAAATTATAAGAAAAGGACACAATAATTAGAAAATTAACAATTCATTATATAATATTGTTGCCATTAAATTATATATCAAATATCATTCTCCATCAAGGGTCGTCATAAGTTGATAACAATTATACAAGAGTATGTTAATGCGGTAAAAATTAGAATAAAAATAGAAAATACTGAATTCGTTACAATTTAAAGTCCATAAATTCTTTTACGGAGTATATAGGATTTTTCAAGAAAAGGTCTTTCAGCCGGCGCCCAAATATTTCGTCAGACGGTTCAAGTCTGAGAGTAGCGGGTAAACGCTCATAGTAAATAGGTCCGATGACACGCGGGTTTTTCTCTGCAAGTGCCATGCGTCGAGGGACTGTTCTCAAATGACCGGTACGGCGAAGTGGGATGCCAGAAACATTCACAGTACCAAATGAAGACAAATTATTTCTAACATACATTGTAATTTCGTATAAGTAGAGTGAGTAGTCGAGAGAAGTAGAGAGAGTCATTATGCGTTGCGCTACAAAGAGATTTCTGCAGGAATGTCTGTGTTTTACCCCAACCAATACGCGTACGGCACGTTTTTGCATTAGCATGACTCTATTGGCATCCGTGGAGTTACCCCATATGAGTGAACCGTACGACATCAGCGAGTGGATATATGCAAAATAGACCTGTCTGCATATATGTATATATTATGATGATTATATCATTTATATGTGCCTAACAATCGAACCGATTGGTCTCAAATTAATTACCTGTACAATGAGTACCACAGTAACGGAATTCACTCCGGACACTATCCGGTCACAACACTTCTAATGTATTTTCAAGTACTTAATGGTTCCTGTATTGTGATTTGATTGATAATTTCTGAGTCATTAATAGATTCAGGCGTTACTTTGCGGAAGTCCATATTAATAAATATGGAAGTAAATTAATTTGCTACTCCGCGAACCCAGTGAAGGTTAAATCGTGCAAAATAGCTGCGTTTGTGCTGAATATTTTTTTCATACAATTAATTTTACCATCCTCCTAATTTACTTCCATTTTTATTGATAATTTCTGAATTAGGCTGAAATTACATTTTGCACCGAAAGCGAATTTTTGTAGAATTGTGTAACACACAAACTAGATACGAGCCAGAAGACAGGTCGCGCGTCTTCTGGGGAATTCACGTGCTGTCTCAGAAATTTCCGTAGGTACCGTATCGCAATAGATTATATTAGCTCATTATGTTATGTACAATTTTGTTACAAAAATTTGCTTTCATACCGTTCTGCCGTAATGTAAATTGTGCCTTATTATTGACTAGATGTAGATAACTATAACATTTTCCATTTAAACTATTTATTTATATAAAAAAAACTATTTTGAAGTGCAAAACATAAATTATTTGTGTGTGGGACTGATTTTCAGCCTGCCCTTGATTATTGAAATCACATTGTGTATTTTGGGCCCTGTTTCGCAAACTTATTTCAGTACATAATCTTTCATAATTTAATGCTCCAAATATAATTAAAGAACCGTTTTATATCTTAACTAAATAATAAAATTAATAAAAATTACAAAACTAAATTCGAATAATTTCATAAATAAATAATCTCTATTCAACTAAACATATATATTTTACACCGCTCTATCTATAAGTATCTGTTGTATCTATTTACTTATTTATATGTATAAGTATATTGTACACTTTAATCCTAAATCAATCAATCACAGTAAAAAATTCAAATTTGCATAATGTAATCTGTTTTATTTATTTGTCTATTGGCACACAGCAAGGCTAGTCCTAGGAGTGTCTCTTTCTACGTGGTCAACATTGTTTTTTTCATATGTTGCTTAAAAGCGTATAGAGAACAGACTTAATTTCCTAATATAAATTGTTTGCAGGTCACTCCATGTAGCTATGATCAACACAATGGATCATCCAAAGAGATACGTTAATGCCGTGGAAATGTTAATCTCTTACTGCTACATTGATGAGAGACTTAAGACCATGCCTTGGGTCGTCAACACCATGGGGATGACAAACGCTTTGGGCCTAAAGTTTATCGCATTAACCATTCTGAAAATAAAACCTACATTCCTTCTTCAAATCGACTCGAAAAATGAAAAGAAGAGATTCGACTTCCATCTTTACCCGCAGACCGTTAGAAATTTATATTTCGAAGATTTCCAGAATGATCCATTTTTCAAAAATATTACGGAATCGCAAGTAGATTATAAGTTCTTGATATCACACCACACTGAGAAGTCTCCGAAGAATAACTTTTCGCTGGCGCCGCGGGATGAGAGATATTTGAATTATTTGGCGTATTTTGGAGAATTATTGGACACACACTCTGGGGATATTTTGGGAATTGTACCATATGAGTAAGTAAACTTTCTATTATATGTGACGAATTCTCATTGAAATTGGTCATACGAGCACATAGCAATATTTGCAAGGTCTACTAGTTCGTTCCGTAGCTCAGTTGGGAGAGCGTCAGTCACGGTATGGTGAAGGCTCTGGTTCGACTCCAGCCGGGTTGAATGATTTTTTTTTGTGTTCGATCTTTCTACAATTAGTAGAGTATAACAACATCGTGATATTCAATAAATTTAATATGGCCAATTTTTAAGTGTAGGGAGCCCAAAATGTCTCCCCATTAGACGACAATCAACCTTACAGGGCCCATTCATTAAATGACCCATTAACTACCTGCATGGGTGTCCGTCGCGCAGGTTGGAGACTGCTCACACACTATCCTGCGTATGGCCCACGTATGGAGTCTCACAGGACGCATTGCAGGATTACAGGATGGCTTGCAAGCTGCAACTACATTCATAATCTGCATTACGCGGCAGACGGCTAGGCGGACTGCAATGCAGGATAATGAATGCCCCTTTTCGGCTACAGTGCAGGATAATGAATAGGCCCTTTAACTCCATATAATTTAAAAAGAACTAATTTTCCCAACACCCGATTTATTGATAAAAATTATACATAGACGATAACTGACTGACTTCCCGATTCCCGGGGCGACGTACCGCTCTTTACGATTTTTAACTGACTCGATTAACAATTTGTGTTTCACGCAAAATATCGAAACTTGCACATTGCATTATGGAAAAATACGCCAATAAATGTATCAACCCTTGCAAAATGATAGTATTAGGTAGGTTGAGTTATAACAGTGCGAATATAAAAATTATTCTATATTTGTTTATTAGACCCGTGTGCATTTTTTGGACCTGTTCTGTTTTTATTTTGCTTTTTCACAAATATAGACTTTTTTGTTTTTTTGTTTCGAATTTTGTTTTTCTTTGTTATTTTTTGTCACAAAATTCGGGGAGCATAATATTAGTAAATAGATATGGCTGTTGATAAAAATAACATAAATTGACCAAAAACCAAGTTGGCGTAATGTTCATTGGAGGTATCGATTTGTTTAATGTTAAAAAGCACTTCTGACGTATGACCACATGTGGCGTTATTATACCAAGAGTACGAGTTGTTGTGCTTGCAAAAGATTCTGAAGTATTAGATCCCACTGCTGGGCACCGGTTTTCTTTAAGGAGAGGGTTAAGACATAGTCCACCACGCTGCTGGTTCAATGCCAATAAATAATTTTAAATGCCCTTAAAATTTGTAAACTGAAAAACAAAAACAAAAAGAATTTGACAAATACGAAACCTAATTCAAACGTAAAGGTGCATTTAGATTAATAGAAAGATAATCGTGACGTCAATGATGTAATGTTGATTTTTGTGTTATGAGCGTTCGGATCGGGAGGTAGTGATGGGATTTATCACTTTAATTGAACTGATAATCGTGCAGTTTAACAAGCGGTAGTTTTAGTTAATATCAGTTAATTTTTTAAATGAAGCAACTATATGAAATTGTAAGTGTAAACTCCAGTGGAGTATATTTTATAAGCTTTTTGCTTGCAACGCGATGTTTGTGCGCGTTTGAATTCACTACAGCGTGTCTGCGGCGTGTATACGCGCAGATGACGCGCGAATAACGCCTGTCGTCGGCGCGTATAATAATAATAAAAGAAACGAACGACGAACGAACGAACACGCTATCGAACGCCTGCAAATAAAATTCATAAAATATTTAAATTTTCGAACTAATAACATAAACGATTACAGGAAGTCGTGTAGTAAACATGGCCTCACTACACTTAGCGATAGACGTCGTATGGAAGATATGGCTGTTTTGTACGATATATATTCAGGAAAATTAGATTGTACAGAATTAGTTCATAGGTTAATCAGCTTAAAAGCTCCTAAGAAAAGGTCACATCATACGCAGCTTTTTCATGTACCGCTTGTACGGACAAACTACGAGGCTAACGACATGACCGTGAGATTGCCTAAAACATACAACAAGTATTTTTCTGACATTGACCTGTTTTCCATGTCTAGAACTACATTTAAAACTGCCTTGCTTGGGAACATCAGAGGTATAAATAAATAATTAAAAATAAAATTCTCATTTTATTAATTAATCAACGTTAACTTTATATAATTTATTTGAATTTAACTCAGCTATTATAATTGAACCATTTTACTTTAACTTATTTTCTTAAACAGTTTTATGCGTCGATTTCGTGCGCCATGTAAGCCGAGTTGCAAGCACTAACGATGCGAGCAGTTTCTTTCTTTGTTAGTTTTACCTGCCTTGCACATTCTTTGAGGAAATAGGGGGAGGCGAACCAGACACTCACGCTCTATCACACATACACACATATACCTACACGACAATTTATATCAGTAATTTACAATTAGTTATGAACTCAGTTTTTTTGTACCAATTTCAATTTATTTTTCTACCCAATGTTGTAATCATAATATCACATATTTTGTATATAATGAGTTTCGTTTGAGTGTAATTGGCTTTTGTACTGCTTAAACACATTTGTCAAATAAGTTTAAGAATGCTGTTGAAACTTTGTTCATTGAATAAAATAAAATAATAATAAAGAAAATTCCTTTGCTCAACAGTGAACAGGACCCCTGCGATTTGTACCTTCCCATACCTAAAAAAAAATCTTAACGTTAGATTATAGGTCAATAAACTATTTTTCAGGATTTAAATCGCGTATATTTGTTTTTTCAAATAAACTAACCTTTCGGGCCCTTTACAGATCTCATAATCACGGTCCCATAGTCGACCAGGGGCTTCCTTTCCTATGTGCAACAATCGCGAAAACCTAAGAATAATAGTATAGATTTATGTAAAGTTGTTTTTATTAATCTGAAACTCCTAAGGGTTCTATTACAGTCGTCGACACGAATCCGACTTAAGCCGATTACACAATCACATTGCGCGTATTAAAGTAACGGCGAAATCCCGTTTCGTTGCCGGTCGATGACGAACCGCCTCATACTAGTTGAAACGATGCGAATGACATCTTTAACATACGTAACAAGCATAAAGTTTTTTCTGTTCGACGTAAAACATTTTTACATCCAATAGGTTGTTTGGTACGCATTAAAAGAAACCGCTTTAATAAACCTAGAAGATATTTATTTATTTTGTACAACTTACAGCCAGTGTAAGTTGTACATACAAAATAAATAAATAGTAAAAAAATAAAAAGTACTCTTTTGACTAATAATGTAAGTCAATAGTCATATAAGGGTTGTGCCTTTTTGAGATTTGGTCCAGAGAGCTTTGGGTGGTGACCGTCTCCAAGTAGTAACAAGTTGACGTTAGAAATTTTGGTTTTTCTCGGGAAAATTCTGCGATTAGGTAGAAACAACTTCGAGAGGGTAGCCAATAGGAGGATTCAGCTTGGGTGGGCGGCGTTTGGTAAACTAAGTCGAGTCTTCAAACAGTACGTTCGACCTGTTATGACATACGAAGCCGGGACGTGTACACTCACGATATGGTTAGTCCATCCGTTAAAAGTCGCTCGGGAGCTATAGAATGAGTTATGCTCGGAGTTTATCTAGGGGTCCATTCAGAACTTTACGATAACTCTATTGTCGTGGGATTTCTTTTCATTTTTACTCACAACACCCGTGACAATGACGTCACACCCGTACGATTACCCGAACTTCTCGAGCGGGAAAGGCTACAAGCGTTATTCAGAATACTGTTATCGAATTAAAGTTACCGAACATCGTATTGTTTACAAAGCAAGAATGTAATATGAAAATATGTTAATATTTGAAATAAAGTATGGATTTTGTCCAATTTTATTAATTTATTTTAATGCAAGACTAATGCATTTCTATATTTTAGGCCTTTAAAGTCTTAAAAATTGTATAGAAAAGGATTTTCATTTTTCTTCTAATCTATTTCACCGACTAACTTCGAAAACCCTGTTGGATAACAAAGAGTTCTGAATCGTGGTCCTGGTAAGACAAGGCACGGAACGAGGTTATCCGGCAGAGAACCGAAGTCGTTGACATAGCTGGTAGAATAACCAAGCTAAAGTGGCAGTGGGCTGGCCATATCTGTCGAAGAATCGACAACCGATAGGTTAAGCGAGCTCTTGAGTCGAGATCACAGCTCGGCAAACGTAATGTAGGAGGCCCTCTGGCAGCAGATGGATGCGACAAGCTGAGGATTGGGGGAAATGGCGCGCATTGGGACAGGCTTGTGTCCAGCAATGGACCGCGATAGGCTGATGATGATCAGCGCAATATTGGAATACTTTACGTGATACGAAAGTACCTAGTTATTTTATATTTGGATAAAAAATGTGTTAGTTAAAAATTAAAAATAACGAATATTAAAAAGTAATTATAATTAAATATTTTGTATACATGACAATAGCATTTAAATATATAATAATTATGTACTTTAGTATGTATCATTTAAAGAAAATATTATAGAAAAATAAAAATGTGCTTTAAACCACTTGCGCTGATAGCCTTAATTTTATCACCGATATTAAATAAATATTATTTCTTCAACACAATTATTTTACATTACATAAGTAGGTTTTACACACAGATAATTAGTGTCACAGAATGCAGCATTTAGCCAATCACGGCGATGCCAAAAGGAGTACAATATTTTTGAAATCATCCTTCTGAACTTCATAACAACATTGTAAAAATAATTCAAAACCGTACACATAACTCATACTGGCATAACATTAATTGAACAGGTGTCATACGAGTGCTGTTAAAAGTCGTGTTTATACCATACCGCGATAAGACTGAGTTTTATGAACCATAGTCCACGTAAATATTTGTATCGATGTATGTATACTTATTATTTTGTTTTATTGAGATATTTTTTAAAACGATTATGTTATTATTGTACTTTTTATTATTTAAGTGTGGACGTGATGTAAAAGCTAAACAACAGGATGTTACGAAAATTGTTTTATTATATTTTTTTTCAAACAAACCGACATTTCGGGACT